CAGGAAATCGAGACCATCCTGGCTAACATGATGAAACCCCCGTCTCTACTAAAAATACAAAAAAAAAAAAATTAGTTGGGCGTGGTGGCACACGCCTGTAGTCCCAGCTACTCTGGAGGCTGAGGCAGGGGAATTGCTTGAACCTGGGCGGCGGAGGTTGCAGTGAGCTGAGATCGCGCCACTGCACTCTAGCCTGGAGACGGTGCGAGACTCCATCTCAAAAAAAAAAAAAAAAGTATATGTCCAATCCAATAACATTGTAATTATTAGGAATAACATTGTAATTATTAAGAATAACATGGAGTGATGCTACAATGGAGAATACCACGTGGCTATTAAAAGTAACATTAGTTAATATTGGAATACTATGTAGCTATTAGTTTTGAATCTTACATGTTGGAAACTAGACTGACTGCTTTGCTGTATATAACTTAATTCTCTCAAACCACCTCTCCCGATAAGAAGGCGATTTTAACCTATTTGACAAATTCTTGGACCAAGTTGAAACATGACGTGTATATGAAATACTGTACATTTTCCAGAATCAGAAATATATGCTATGCACACAGGTGAGAATTTTGTTAACAGCAATAGGAAGGGAACTTGCAGGGATGTGAATTAGTAAATTTATATTCTTCAGTTTTCTTGTAAAAATATTTTTAAATGACTTATATTTTCTAATTTGCATTTTCTTTTTCTTTTTTTTTTGAGACGGAGTCTCACTCTGTCACCAAGGCTGGAGTGAAGTGGCGCCATCTTGGCTCACTGCAACCTCTGTCTCCCACGTTCAAGCAATTCTCCTGTCTCAGCCTCCCAAGTAGCTGAGACTGTAGGCGCATGCCACCATGCCCGGCTAATTTTTGTATTTTTAGTAGAGGTAGGATTTCATCATATTGGTCAGGCTGGTCTCGAACTCTTGACCTCAGGTGATCCACCTGCTTCAGCCTTCCAAAGTGCTGGGATTACAGGCGTGAGCCACTGCACCCAGCCCTAATTTGCATTTTCTAAAGTCCTGAATCATACTGTAGTCCTCACTTGTGTAAACCCTCCTCATTCAGTTCATACAAGCTAAGTTGCTGCTTGTGATTTAACAGAGACATCTCCTTCCAACTGTGTCATTCTAGGCCATAAATAATTCAGAAGTACTGGCAATTACATAGCATTTTGATCTTAATATTATAATTTCAATTAAATTAGCAAGAGAGATTTTTCTTTGATTTTTACATCATTTTCTGATTCTCTTAGTGACATACAGCCCCCTGTATCTGAGGGTTCCACATCCAGGGATTCAACGAATCAAAGATCAAAAATATTTGGAGACCGGGGGCAGTGGCTCACGCCTGTAATCCCAACACTTTGGGAGGCTGAGGCAGGAGGACGGCTTCATCTCAGGAGTTCGAGACCAGTCCAGGCAACATAGGGAGACCCTGTCTATACAAAAAAATAAAATAAAATAAATTAACCTGGTGTGGCAGTGAATCGCTGTGGTCCTAGCTACTTGGGAGGCTGAGGATCACTAGAGCCTGAGAGGTTAATGCTGCAGTGAGCATGATCATGCCCTCTAGCCTGGGCCACAGAGGGAGACCCTGTTTCAAAAAAAAAAAACTCTGAAAAAGTAATAACACAACAATTAAAAAAAAAAAGTATAACCACTACCTACATAGTATTTACATTGCATTAGGTATTATAAGTAACATAGAGATGACTTAATGTATAATGCAGCTGTGCCTCGGTTATACGCAAATATGCCTTTTTTTTTTTTTTTTTTTTTTGAGACAGGGTCTTGCTTGTTGCCCTGGCTGGAGTGCAGTGCTCATTCCAGCTCACTGTAACCTCAAACCCATGTGCTCAAGGGATCCTCCTGCCTCAGCCTCCCCAGTAGCTGGGGCAACAGGCACATGCCACCATGCCTGGCTAATTTTTTAATTTTTTATAGAGAGCCTTGTTTTCCAACCTGCTGCGCTATTTTCTGTAAAGGACTTGAGTATCTGGAGATTTTGGTCTTCATGGGGGTCCTGGAACCAATCCTTCATGGATGCTGAGGAATGACTGTATATCACACACACACAAAGTTTACTGGCTTCTGCAAACAAATTTTGAGCCTATTACCAAACAGCCTGGTCAACAAATGTACATCTAAATTAAGATATGTAAGTGCTAAAATTGTTTTTAACTTAAAATGCCATATGTAATATAGAAATGAAAACTAGACACTATTTCATTCCCATCCATTGAGATAATAGTGGTGAGCACTTAGGATAAGCACCAGGCTTGAGTTGCTGCTCTTGTCACTTGTTCTTGGAAATTTAGGCTCTGTTACACCACCAACTCTCAAATCACTTCCCTGCTGTGGAGCTAAACTTGACGTCCTCCAGAATTTCTCTAACTTAACATGTTGAATCTCTGAGAGTACAAAACTTGAAACAAGAGAAAGTGATCTGCCTGGCATCCTCTGTTTATTGAATGGTTTTATTTAATTCTCCTTTACATTGCCACCTTAACAATCCTTCCAGCTACGTATCTTAAAGGATGTGATGGAGAAGTTATCAACTGGTGTTTTCAGGTACGCTAAAGTAACCAAATCATTGTTGTTTTTCTATTTTCAAGGAGCTAAGGCAGGCAGTCCCACTTTTGTTTTAGCTCTCGCCATGTGCCTGTTGCCTCCATATTTTATTATTAGGTTGGTGCAAACATAATTGTGGTTTTTGCCATTGAAAGTAGTGGCAGAAACTGTAATTACTTTTTTACTGACCTTATATTTCATTTAGATAAATAGCTGCTCTTTAATATTTATCAAAGTGTATCTGGTGGCACACCAGTAGGTACTCCCAGAAATAGAAGTGGCTTGTGAGTTTTCCTCACTCCATTATATAGTGTACCTCACCCTTTGCTTTTCCTCATCACCCCTCCCAAAGCAACTTGAAATAACCAATAGCTTGAAGGAGAGAAAACCATGGTATATTTGTTTAAAGTTGAATGTTTATCACTTATAAAAGAGGGAGTAGGCCGGGCGCAGTGGCTCACCCCTGTAATCTCAGCACTTTGGGAGGCTGAAGCGGGTGGATCACCTGAGGTCAGGAGTTCGAGACCAGCCTGGCCAACATGGCAAAACGCTGTCTCTACTAAAAATACAAAAATTAGCTGAGCCTGGTGGCAAGCACCCATAATTCCAGCTACTGGGGAGGCTGGGACAGGAGAATTGCTTGAACCTGGGAGGTGGAGGTTGCAGTGAGCCAAGATCTCACCTTTGCACTCCAGCCTGGGCAACGAGAGAAACTCCGTCTCAAAAAAAAAGAGGTAGTAAATAAAGAAGATAATTTTTTTTCCTTCAAAACTTAACCACTTTTAACATTGGAAACACTAATGGACAAATTTGTTTGAATTACTTAAAGTAATAGATTTGAGGCTGGGTGCAGTGGCTCATGCCTGTAATCCCAGCACTTTGGGAGGCTGAGGTAGGCGGATCACTTGAGGCCAGGAGTTCAAGACCAGCCTGGCCAACATGGTGAAACCCATCTCTACTAAAAATACAAAAATTAGCCAGGCTTGATGGTGCATACCTGTAATCCCAGCTACTCAGGAGGCTGAAGTATGAGAATCGCTTGAACCTGGGAGGCAGAGGTTGCAGCGAGCTGAGATCGTGCCACTGCACTCCAGCCTGGGCAACAGAGCCAGAGTCTGTCTCAAAAAATTAATAAAGTAATAGATTTGAGCACTAGGATTTGTCATATACCACCCCATTTGTTCTACTTTAACTTGACCTGACATTTCTAATTTCATTCCTTCTCAGACCTCAGTTGGATGAACCCATTCCACTGTATGAGGCAAAAGTTTCCATGGAAGCTGTTCAGAAACATCAAGGAAGAAAAAAGCAAGTTGTTCAATTTTAATTTTCTTCTTTCTCAGACTTCAATCGGATGAACGTATTCCAGTATTTGAAGCCAAAATTTTATTTGGAAATTGTTGAGAAAAACCAAGGAAGAGAAAAGCAAGTTGTATTTTTAAGCACGTTTCCCTGCTAAGACAAGATGCTCAGTTGACACATTTGAAAAGTGTTTGAAAAATTCTTGTGCAAATGATCAAGATAATTCTATAATTAACATCTTAAGGGAATTTTCTAAAGGCCTTTTCATTATTTCTATATATTTTGCCCCTGCTATAAAATTCCTTCCATGAAGAAAACTGCTTTCAGCAAAAGCCACACTACTCTATTGATAAAGCTGTTGCAGGCCTTTGCTAAGCTATCAAAGTAACGTATTAATTTTCTGTCAACTCCGTTCTCAACACCTTCCTTAAGTCTTTGCTGTCATCATTTAAGCATTTGAGTATATTTTGAAGTCTTAAAGGACCTAGCCCATAGGCACTTAAATTTTGTGTTTTCAACTATTCATTCACTCCGGCTTTCCCCAGGATCAAAGAAGAGGATCTCATTAACTTGCCAGTGGCCGCTGCCTGGAAGGCTGAGATGACCAGGCACTGGGAAGGGGGAAGGGAGGTTGTCGGGAGGCTGCGCTGGCATAGGAAGCGTGCTGACGTCTTATCTGAGTTCTCTATTTGGGGGTTGAGGAAGGTGGCCTAGTCCCCTCTCCTTGCCTATTGAGAGCAGCAGCCACTGCCCTCTCTCAAGTTTGTGGAAGCAGCAGCCCATGGCCGCAGCTCAAGTTTGTTTCCTTTTCATCCAGGCGCCAAACCCTGGGCTGATCACATCCCTGCTGCGGGCTTAAATAGCGTTCAGCTATTTCGGTGCCCCACAGGGTAGTGCACATCAGCGCCCTGGATCGCACGCTTTCCAGAAGCGTCGCTGAACCTGGCGATTGGACTCCTGTCGAGGACCCGGCAGAAGCGCCAGGGCAGGGTCACCGCTAGGACAGTGGGCGTTGACGGCCTCCGGGGATCGCGGCCGTGGGCTGGGTCTCGCGGGCTGCCCGCTGCGCATGCTCCGCTAGGAACCGGCGGGGGCGGGGCGGGGCGGGGCCGCGTCGGGGACTGGAGCGAGGCGCGGCGCCACGTCGGGGGCGGGCCCGGCGAGCGCGGGAAGGCTCTGCGGAGCGGCCGGCAGTCCTCAGCCTTCTCGCGTCATGGCCCTATCGGTTCCCTGCTACTCACCCAGCTTCCGAAAGCCGCCCGAGGTAGTGCGGCTCCGACGGAAGAGGGCCCGGAGCCGTGGAGCTGCCGCCTCCCCGCCCCGTGAGCTGCCGGAGCCGGCGGCCCGCCGAGCCGCCCTGGCGGCGGGGCTGCACCTTCGCCCTTTCCCTGCCGCGGGGGGCAGAGGCGGTGGCGGCGGCCCGGCCGCTGCCCGGAGGAACCCTTTCGCCCGCCTGGACAACCGACCGCGGGTCGCCGCGGAGCCCCCCGACGGGCCGGCCCGCGAGCAGCCGGAGGCGCCGGGCCCGGTGAGTGTCTTGTAGCCTGGCCGCCAAGGGGCTCTGTCATGGGTTGAGCCAGCTGTGAATCGGGGGTGGAAAGTCCTCGCGTTGGAGGCAAGGAAATGGGCGCGAAGACTTCGGCCGCCAGTGGCTTTAGGGTGCTCCGCGCTGGGAGCCGCGGCTCTGGCAAGGCCGGATTTGCGGGAAGAGCGCGCCTCCGGCTGTCCCGCTGCGGGCTGTACTCACGGGACGCGTTCCCGAGGAAAGTGAGGGGCCCCTTGGAGGACTTAAAGGTGACTTAGAAGAGAGCTCGAAAAACCCTGAGACCCCCATCTTGCAAGGATGCTGTTCGATGGGGCAGGTGACAAACCCTGCTTCCCCCGTGATTCAGGGCCTCCCTTCTCTCACGCACTCCAAATTATTGTGGGGATGGGGGAATGTTGAGGATTCGTGGGGTCAGAATTCCCTAGCATTTGTCCTATCCAAAGCCTTTTGGATCTTTCTGTTGGAAACACCGGTCCTTGTTCCCCTCAATTTTGATACTAAAGTTCAGGCACAAAACTGAAGTGTTGAAACTCATAGATTGGATGGGGTGTGTCTGAATTTGGGTGCACTTGGATTTATTGAGAAGCGTGTATGCCAGGTGAGGCTCTGTACATACTTAATGCAAACTTCAGCATCCTTTAAAATTTAAAGGACAATATTTTTAACCTCAGTTTTTAGATTCTAATCAAGAAAATGATTTGCTATGGGAAGAGAAGTTCCCTGAAAGAACAACTGTTACTGAATTACCCCAGGTAATACTTTTTAAATATCATTAGAATGTGTATTTGTATAAACTTTTTTTTCCTAGCTAGGATTTGAGCCAATTTTTAAAACTACATTTATACTTCTCAGAAGCATTTTGCTTGGAAAGTAGTTTTACAGAGAGGCTTGATCAGGGGTGAAAATACCAGGGGTGAAGATACGACATCAGCCAAGGTAAAGGAGTTGGTTTGATCCAGTAATGATGACTGTAAAGATAGCCAGTGCTAAAATAGGCCTAATAGACATGGGGGTTGTCTTTTACCCTCTAACAGTTTTTAATACTCTTCTTTGGGCAGTTGACTTCTCCAGCTCATCACTCAGAGCCAGCCCTCCTGGCCCACCTCCACAGGTTGTTGCATAGCACTGAACCTCGTTGCTCACCTGCGCTAACATACACACGTTTCCATTCCCCAACTGCTACTGTTGTGCTGTGTAGTTTGATAAATGCGGTTTGTCCTAATGGGAACAGGCTAGAAGAGTTCTCCAAGACCCAGTTTCTCTTGTAAATAAGTGACCTTCTTATGGTCTATCAAAGATAGTTCCCCCTTCTCTGATATTTTATTGTGATATAAAAGAATCCTTGGCCGGGCATGGTGGTTCATGCCTGTAATCTTTGAGAGGCTGAGGCAGGCGGATCACCTGAGGTCAGGAGTTTGAGAACAGCCTGGCCAACATGGCGAAACCCCGCCTCGACTGAAAATACAAAAAAACTAGCCAGGCGTCGTGGCGCATGCCTGTAGTCCCAGCTACTGGGGAGGCCGAGGCATGATAGTCGGTTGAACCCAGGCGGTAGAGGTTGGCACTGAGCCAAGATCACACCACTTCACTCCAGCCTAGGCGACAGAGGGAGACTCTGTCTCAATTTAAAAAAAAAAAAAAAATTCTTGTATCGTGGAGAATGTTGACATGAAAGGACAGCAGACAGATTGAGGGGAAATACATGAAGTCAGAAAATGTTTCTTAAATATGGGCTTTGTTAGCCCTGGATGCAGAGTTTCAGAGGCTTAAAAGATCCAAAATGTTTAAAGACTTGGAATATTTCTACTTCAATACAGACATCTATACTACCATGAAGAATAGTAAAAAGTAAAAAGTGAAATCTGCCCGTCCACAACCCCTACCCCCAACAACAACAAATTCCCTCTTCCCACAAATAACCACGGTTAAAAGTTTAGTGTGACTCCTTTCAGACTTTTTTTTTACAGTATGTAATATATTTTTCGTGTTATTTATTATACAGTTTATATGATTTTTACTTTTCAGTGATCATGAGTATGTTAGCTGATAAAATCTTTAGGTTGAAGGTTTTTTTCTTAATACTCGACTAATTTTTTGCATTCTTTGTTTTCTAAAGACTTCACATGTATCGTTCTCCGAGTCTGATATTCCGTCCTCAGAAAATACTGAGTTACCTGTGGACTGGAGTATTAAAACCCGACTCCTTTTCACCTCTTCTCAACCCTTTACCTGGGCAGATCATTTGAAAGCACAGGAAGAAGCTCAAGGTCTTGTCCAGCATTGTAGGGCAACAGAAGTTACTTTGCCTAAAAGTATACAGGTAACTCTGAAATAAAATAGTTATGTGTTAAAGTAACAAATTAAGTGTGAAATGATCTCCTTTGCAAAATAGCAGAGATACTACCTTCCATTAAGTTTTTCTTTGGAAATTTAAAGATACAAAGACTTAGGAAATTTTGTCTTTCCCAAATGGTGCTTATGGTGCTTTCATACCCTTTTTTTTTTTTTAAGTCAGATTGAGTAATTGCTCATAAATTTAGAGACTTGTACTGCAAATTAATCAGTGTTGCAGGCAAGAATTGTTAAATTATTTTTCTCTAAGGCTTTTTGAGAAAGAAAATACAAAGAAAGAAGTGAAAAGCAATTGAGTGGGATTGCAAGGACTGATGGATTTACTGATTTTCTTACCTGTATAAGGAAAATTTTATAAATTTGGGGGAGTTTGTGAGTTCTAGAATAGTTTTAGCGAAATACATTTTGATTGTTTTAAAGCATCAACTCAAAACTGGGAGGCTGGGCACAATAGCCCATGCCTGTAATCTCAGCACTTTGGGAGGCTGAGGTGGGAGGATTGCTTGAGACCAGCCTGAGCAATGTAGTGAGACCCCGTCTCTACAAAAAAAAAAAAATAGCTGAGCATGGTGGTGGGTGCCTATAGTCCCAGCGACTTGGGAGGCTGAGATGGGAGGATTGTTTAAGCCCAGGAGGTCAGGGCTGCAGTGAGCTGTGATTGCGCCACTGTACTCTAGCCTCGGTGACAGAGTGAGACTGTATCTTAAAAAATTTTTTTTGAAGTCTCAAACTAGGTTAAAAAAGGATTACCCTGAAAGAGATCTTGGTATATTATACATCGTTTCAATAAATAGATTAGGATGATTTGTGATTTGCCATATCAGTGTTTACTGGCTACTTTTAAAACAGCATTTTGGAGAGAGGGCTGGACATAGTGTTACCTATACGCACATGTCCACCCCTATTCCTCATGATAAAAAAGGTAGTGAATTGTCCTTAAGAATGGTAGAAACAGGCAGATGTTCCCATCTATGTTTAAATGTTCTGATACTGTGGTTTAACATTACATCTGGCCCAAATAAGGATAAATTGTGTTTTCATTCCTATAACAGTTATTAATGCTTTCCTATAGAAAGCAGTAAAGATTCTTAGACCTAAGTGTTTGGTATATATTATCTTCAAAAAAATTATGTATTTCTCAATGGGCAAAAACTCTCCACTGTCACCTTTGGATTTAGGATCCCAAACTCTCCACTGAGCTCCGTTGTGCCTTCCAGCAGAGCCTTATCTATTGGCTCCACCCTGCTTTGTCTTGGCTACCACTGTTCCCTCGTATTGGAGCTGATAGAAAAATGGCTGGAAAGACAAGTCCTTGGTCAAATGATGCAACCCTGCAGCATGTTTTAATGAGTGACTGGTAAGATTAGTAAGAAAAATTTGTGTAATTCAATAGTGGATTTTTATTTTAGCAGTATTCTCTATCATATTTGTGACTGGATACATTAATGGCAGAAGGGTATCTAGATCCTTGTGAATTTTATCTGAACCTGTTAATAACCAACACGTAAACTGTTTACTTTTTTGTTGTTGTTTTTTAGCTGTTATTCATTCTTTACCCAATTGTGGTAGAATATATGTAAGTGTTGGTTAAATATATACAGACCGACAGGCCGGGCGCAGTGGCTCACGCCTGTAATCCCAACACTTGAGGAGGCCGAGGCGGGCAGATCATGAGGTCAGGAGATTGAGACCATCCTGGCTAACACGGTGAAACCCCGTCTCTACTAAAAATACAAAAAAAATTAGCCGGGCATGGTAGCAGGCGCCTGTAGTCCCAGCTACTCAGGAGGCTGAGGCAGGAGAATGGCATGAACCCGGGAAGCGGAGCTTGCAGTGAACTGAGATCACGCCACTGCACTCCAGATCGCCCCACTGCCAGCCTGGGTGACAGAGCGAAACTCTGTCTCAAAAAAAAAAAAAAAATACACACACACCCCTAATTCTTTAATGCTACTTCTTGTCAGTCTCTACTTCTTTTTTATCAGCAGCTCAGAGAAAGTCAGCAAGCAATTCTCAATTAAGTTTTGTTTAAAGACAAAGTAAGTGTTTAAGTGGTATACACTGTTAAAGTATTGAGAAGTCATCAGCGAGTCCTCATAACCAATTTCAGTCCTTTAAAGCTAAGTCATACATAACCACAAAAATTCAAACCATTATCTAAAATATTTGTGCTGTGTTTTAAACCAGGTATCAAACTGAATTATACAGAATTATAAACATTGCATTAAATGTTTAATAATACCTAAAGAAAATGTTTTTACTTCATAGGTCCGTGAGCTTTACTTCTCTATATAATTTGCTGAAGACAAAACTTTGCCCCTATTTCTACGTTTGTACCTATCAGTTTACTGTCCTCTTCCGAGCAGCAGGATTAGCTGGAAGTGACTTAATCACAGCTCTCATATCTCCTACAACTCGAGGTTTAAGAGAAGCTATGAGAAATGAAGGTAAAAGTTTAGGTTTAAAGTGAGAATACTATACTATATAGTAAACTTGTTTTAGCCTAAAAGTATTTGAACTTAAAATGCCTTTTACCAGTTAATTAGCAACATTAAGAAATATATTATTGCTTTATTTCTAGGTTTTTTTTTCCTCCCCCACAATTATTTAATCCAGCAGTCCCCAAACTTTTTGGCACTAGGGATCAGTTTCAAGGACGGTGGGGAGGATGGTTTCGGGATGAAGCTGTTACACATCAGATCATCATTCTTATAAGGAGGGCACAACCTAGATGCCTCACATGTGCAGTTCACAATAGGATTCGTGCCCCTATGAGAATCTAATGCGACCACTGATGTGACAGGGAGGTGGAGCTCAGGCAGTAATGTTCACTCACCATTCGCTCACCTCCTGCTGTGCGGCCCGGTTTCTAACAGGCCATACGTGGGTACCAGTCCACAGCGCACGGGTTAGGGACTCCTGATTTAAACTGTTCCTTCCACATAGTGTTCCCTTCTCTGATCTCTAAAATAAAACACATACTGGGCCAGATAGTCACCATCTGAATATACTCTTCTACAAACTCTTATGTAGTACCAGTTACCCTTTTAATAACATAATTTTCAAACTGAGGAAACCCATTAGTGGGTCATAAAATCTGTCTAATGGGCCCAATCAGTGCTTTTTCAAAAAGTGAACTGGGATACAGTGTAACTGACAAAAGAGTGTCACATGTATGTGTTGTCTCCGGAACCTCTTTCAAGGAGATATGTTTTATGCATGTATGTAGGTTTGTGAAGAAAGCTTGAAAACTCTACTGCCTTAATCATTTATAAAAACCAACATTTCAAATTTTTTACACTCTAAAAGTGCAGCTTGCCTGTTAAATACTTTACATGAAAACTCAGTTACATTTTTTTTCCTCATGTAGGTATTGAATTTTCTCTGCCTTTAATAAAAGAAAGCGGCTATAAGAAGGAGACAGCATCTGGATCAAGCTTGGGATATGGGGAGTATGTGATTAAAATAACTTTTTATGTCATCCACTGACTTACGGACTCATGAAATAGATTTGTACAAGAGCAGCTTTGAGAAATAGGGACTCTAACTGTAGCAATTTCCTAGGGAGCAAGCCATCAGTGATGAGGACGAAGAGGAAAGTTTTTCCTGGCTGGAAGAGATGGGTGTGCAAGATAAAATTAAAAAGCCAGACATACTTTCTATCAAGCTGTATCCTTTCAGTTGCTGTTAATTAGAATTAATTTTCATTGAATGACGTGAGAAGTTTAACATTGGCAGTTTTATATGACTATAATCTTGAATTATCTTCAGATCATATTAAAACTAATTGTCCATTGTAATATTAAATAAGCCCCTAAGTAATAAATGGTGAACTGTTAAACCTTTTTTAATCAAAACGTTCAATTGTGATTCTTTGTGGGAGAATAGGTGTGTTTTGACTAGAGAAGAAATTAGGTTCAGGTGTCAGTTTGTAGCAAATTCAGATTGTTAACATTTTGATTGAAACATATGCCTTATGATTCGGTAAAGAGAGGTAGCAAGAGGATTTCCATTTCTTTGTGGGGAAAAGGAGTCTTGGGTGATTCAGAATCAAGATAACTGCTTTACACATTAGGTGAGATTTGCTTTTGCAATTTCCTTGATTGTCATCTTCAGTCGTAAAGAGAAACATGAAGTACAGATGGATCACAGACCTGAGTCTGTTGTGTTGGTAAAAGGAATCAACACCTTTACATTGCTCAATTTTTTGATTAACTGTAAGAGTTTAGTTGCTACCTCAGGTCCACAGGCAGGACTTCCTCCAACCCTCTTGTCCCCTGTTGCTTTCCGAGGTGCCACAATGCAAATACTTAAGGTAATAAAAATCTCCATAACCTAGCTGTTAATACAAAGTACTTTACTTTGTTTGATAGGATAAATTCTTGATTTAAAAAAACAAAAAACCTCGTAGCATTTTTACTTGGTACATATTTTCCCTTTGCTTTCCTCCCATTAAAAAAAAAATTTTATAAGACAGTTACATCAAAGAAATTATGTGGAAATATGTAAATTATATGAAATCCTTTTTATTTTCTTTTTGAGACGGAGTCTTGCGCTGCTGCTCAGGCTGGATGGAGTGCAGTGGCATGATCTCAACTCAGTACAACCCCTGCCTCCCGGGTTCAAGTGATTCTTGTGCTGTGCCTCAGCCTCTTGAGTGGCTGGGATTACAAGCACACATTACCAACCCTAGCTATTTTTTTTGTTTTGTTTTTTCTTGTTTGTTTGTTTTAAGAGGGTGTCTCACTCTGTCACCTGCTGGAGTGCAGTGGTGCGATCTCAGCTTACTGCAACCTCCGACTCCTAGGTTCAAGCGATTCTCCTGCCTCAGCCTCCTGAGTAGCTGTGATTACAATTGTGCACCACCACGCCTGGCTAATTTTTTTTTTTTTTTTTTGCATTTTTAGTAGAGACAGGTTTTCGCCATATTGGTCAGGCTGGTCTTGAACTCCTGACCTCATGATCTTCCCTTGGCCTCCCAAAGTACTGGGATTACAGGCATGAGCTGCTGCACCTGGCCGCCCTGCATTCATTCATTCATTCATTCACTCATTCATTTAGAGACAGTCTTGCTGTCACCCAGGCTGGAGGGCAGTGGCTTGATCTTGGCTCACTGCAAACTCTGCCTACCGGGCTCAAGCGATTCTTCTGCCTCAGCTTCCCAAGTAGCTGGGACTATAGGCTCACACCACCATCCATGCCTGGCTAATTTTTTTGTTTTTTTTTGTTTTGTTTTTGTTTTTGTTTTTTTTGTTTTTTTTTGAGACGGAGTCTCGCTCTGTCGCCCAGGCTGGAGTGCAGTGGCCAGATCTCAGCTCACTGCAAGCTCCGCCTCCCGGGTTCCCGCCATTCTCCTGCCTCAGCCTCCCGAGTAGCTGGGACCACAGGCGCCGCCACCTCGCCCGGCTAATTTTTTGTGTTTTTAGTAGAGACGGGGTTTCGCCGTGTTAGCCAGGATGGTCTCGATCTCCTGACCTTGTGATCCGCCCGTCTCGGCCTCCCAAAGTGCTGGGATTACAGGCTTGAGCCACCGCGCCCGGCCATTTTTTTGTATTTTTAATAGAGACAAGGTTTCACCATGTTGGCCAGGCTGGTCTTGAACTCCTGACCTCAAGTGATCTTCCCACCTTGGCCTCCCAAAGTGCTGGGATTATAATCATAATAAATTATATATGTAAATACAAAATACATACAATTTTATTACTTAGTAATAAAATTGAATGGACTTTAAATTTTTGTTTTTCCAATAGTCTGCATTGACAATGTGTTATTAAATCAGACAAAATACCATATGAAAAAGTGGTATTCTCTGGAATATACATCACCTGAAAATCTCATAATATGGAGAGGATGCTGAACTAAGTATTTGTACTCACGTAACATTGTTTTGATGTCTTGGGAAATAGTTTTGTTCCATAATTGTTAAAGAGAGGAAACCCCAAATGGAAATATATTGAACATATTTTTGGCTAGACAAAAGGTTGAGAGATGATCATAATTTTCCTTTTCTTTAAATTTTCATAAAGGCACGAAGTGTAAATGTGAAGACACAAGCTCTTTCTGGATACAGAGACCAGTTTAGTTTGGAGATTACAGGTCCTATCATGCCTCATTCTCTGCATTCACTGACCATGCTGCTCAAATCTTCACAGAGTGGGTCTTTCTCTGCAGTACTATATCCACACGAGCCAACTGCTGTATTTAACATCTGCCTGCCAGTGGACAAAGTACTTGATATGGTAAGAAAGACACCTATGAGCAGACTGTTTTAGTTGTTTAGCTGGAGGGAAGTGAGTCATTTATGCTGAGTCACTTTTGTGTTTCAAGTAATTAAACTGTTATTTAATTACGAATTACTAGAGGAAAGAATAGCTTTCATGAATTCAGTCCAAGTACAATTTTCTTTTTTTTTTTTTTTTTTTGAGACGATATCTTGCTGTTGCCCAGGTGGAGTGCAGCTACGCGATCTCGGCTCGCTGCAACCTCAGCCTCCTGGGTTCAAACAATTCTGCCTCAGCCTCCCAAGTAGCTGGGATTACAGGCATGTGCCACCATATCCGGCTATATTTTGTATCTTTATTAGAGACGGGGTTTCACCATATTGGCCAGGCTGGTCTTCAACTCCTGACTTTAGGTGATTCACCTGCCTCGGCCTCCCAAAGTGTTGGGATTACAGGCTTGAGCCATGGCGCCCGGGCTCAGTCCAAATACAGTTTTAACAGTGACTGAAGAACTTCGCATTTCAAAAAGGTACAACTTTTATTTTCATTTCCTCTTGGATCCAAAACTCAGTAGTACCTGATTCCTTTATAGTTTAAGGAAACATGATTCACTGTGGGTATTTATTTAACCATATTTGCCTTTAATTTTGAATATACTTAAGGTTTTTAGAGCTAGAATAATTAAGACCTTTAAAATTATCTCATGCATCTCAGTTGGCTAGACTTATAAAAATAACCATTAATGTTTTGGGATTTTGTCACTACAAAAATTCTTAGGATCAACTTCTGTTGATAGGATGAATCACGTGAATGAGACATTTGTCAGTCTCCATAGTAATTATTTGAAACTCTTTTGTGTTTAAAGATTGATGTGCTTTTTACTGACTTGTATACACATTTCCACAGGAGGTTGTTCATAAGGAGCTTACTAACTGTGGTTTGCACCCTAACACTCTGGAGCAACTTAGTCAAATACCATTACTTGGGAAATCATCTTTACGGAATGTGGTGCTGAGAGACTACATTTATAATTGGAGATCCTGAACACCAAAGTAAGCCTAAAAGGAATCTTTGAGGAAAAAAGCCTTCTAGCAAGGAAATTCAAGATTCTTGAAGTTGAAGGAATATACTGACATGTTATAAACATAACTTTTATTACAGTAGCATCTAAGGTTTTAAATCAGTGTTTTCTGCTTTTACTATTTTCAGATTAGATTTTTAGATACAAAGATGAAAAACTCAGATAACTCAAATGAGCTATCTGTATCCCTACAACCTAATTGTATATTGAGTAGAAACTGAATTAATGTTTCCTTGCAAATGGGAAATCACATAGCAGTTACCTCATGGCATTGTGACTAATGGCATCAGGGCAAAAATATGTTACTTTACCATTTACCTAAGACTGTTAGCAGGTTCTTGTTTCATAAAGGTAGAAAATAAATATAGATAACATCTACTGAGCTAGCTGATTGGTGATGCTTCTACCTTAATATCTTTCCTACTGATTTATAATTCCTTTATTTTCACATATACTAAAACTCTAATGCATGTTAATTCAGATAAAAAGGCATTTTGTATTCCACATAGAATAGTGTTAAGAATTGTGAAGTACACACTGAGCTGTCATGGCAAAGTAGTATTTAATGTGCTTATAGGGTGTGGGGGTGTGTGTGTGTGTGTGTGTGTGTGTTGTGTGTGTTGGGATTGTATAATTCACATTTTTAAAATAAAAGTGCTTAGAAATCAAAAGCATTGGGTAAAGAAATAATAGTATCTAAGTATTTGTTCACTTTATAATCCAGAAAATAAAACACCACGTTTATTCCAGAGAAGTTTGTATTTGGGCCTTAAGCTTTTGAAAATAAAGTTTAGAGACATAGCATATGAATACCACTGTAATACACATGAAATATTCTATCGGACCCTAAAAATTAACATAAACTTTAACTTTCTCATAGTCAACAAAATAGTGGCTGGTTGCCAATTTTATTAGATAAGTTGGTTACAGCATTTTAATTATCATTTTACGTCTATCTAGGTGTAGCTGAAATTCAAAATGCACATCAAAGTAAAACTATATCACAACTCAATGCCATACTAAATGTACTTGGCCTCTGCAATAGTAGAATTCTAGTCAGACTTCATTTTTTACTCCCTTCTTATGACCCAAGTGGCTTTAACAGGAATGCAGGACTTAGTGCTGATCATCACACAACATACCACTTTCTTTTTAGAACCTCTACAAAATTTTGAGGGGAGATTGTGGCAATAGCCCTGTGGAACAGATCTTGATCACCTCAATAACACTGGCCCAGTATCTGTCCAGCAGAACCCATTGTGAAATAGTACAAGGTGCACAGCCCTTCACTGATTACAGGCAAGTGTTACAGTAGCCTAGCCATAAGGAAGGGGAGTTACATCATAGTACAAAATACAGTATAAAAGCGTTATTTAACATTCCACACTGAAGATTACTCTGATGCCTTCAAACAATCGTTTGGATGTTAGCCACTTAAACAAATACATCACTAAGGTAAACAATATAAACATACCAAAACCCTGTATGGTTAAATACAATTTCCATGGTACAAAAATCAAAGCCTGGAGATGTTTTTACAGATTGCTTTTTACACAATGTCTTAAATTGCCAAATATTTACAACATTAAAGAGGAAATACATTGTGATGCAGAGTAAAATTATCTGAAATGATTATTATAAAACCTCAATCTATCTACGTGAGGCACTCCTGAAGCAAGTGGCATTAGCCATGAGGTCCTTTGGTACAAGGCCCATTGCTTGAAGAACCACAGTAGCTGCTGTGGCTTTAGCATGCTTCTTATTAGGGCTGGCAAAGCTGGGCTGGTAAGCGCTTCCATTTATCAATACCTATTCAAGAAAAACATACAATTGGGCTGGTAAGGGCTTCCATTTCTCAATACCTATTCAAGAAAAACATACAATAAGAACAGCATCAAACTTTAATATCTATTAGCTTTGTATTTTTCACTAAATGCTAGAAAAATAATTTACAAAAATATAAAACCCATACTATGTAAGTCAAATTATAATCTCAACCCAGAAGCAGCAAATCATTTGGGAAAAGGGACTGCAAATTAAAAGCAGGTCTCCAAATTGAGAAAAAGACTGATAAAAGTATTAAATTAATTCCCCACATTCAACTAGAAAATAACAAATTGTATACTATATTTTGCCCAATTTTTTCCAATTTTTAAAAAAATAGGACATTGACAAGTCATATGAAAGCACCCTTCAGTTTAAAAACCCCACCACTTAACTACAAATACAAATCCCCCACCCATGAACAGAACCTTAATCCTGTCATGTTTACCCCTCACCCTCTAAGTTATCACATTAATAAATATATACAATTAGTGCAGAAATTCATATTTACCCTAAAAAGAAAATGTTTGCGATGATCAGGGCCACTATCATGGACCAACAGAAATTCAGGTGGTTGCCACCTTCTCTTATTACAGATTTCCATCAAAGCAGACACAGGATGTTTGCCTGCAGCGGGGGAAAAAATATCCAGTTTTAAATTATTTCTACCAACTTCTGCAACAAATAATGAATTCAAGGTGGGATTAGGGTAAGAGGAAATTCAAAAATGTGCTCTCACCTGACAGATCTTTCATTGCAGCAGAGAAGTTCCCAGACCTCTTTTGTGCTCTTTCTCCTACTGCAACAAGACCTTTAAAAAAAAAAAAAAGATTGTTCACTAAATAACTTTCAAAGCACCATTTTAAAACAAAGATTCTTCTGTAGGAGTCTGACCCTCAAAATGTATGCCTTCAGATAAAATCAACAGATTCCTAGTACACTTGATTTCTCTATCAATCTTCTCTTCTCTTTTACTGTTTTTCAGCATACAAATTTATATTTAATATTCATAGACTTTGGTATGAGAAATTGTAATAAATACCAAATGTAAACAGAAAACAAAAATTTAAGTATGGCCAGAGGCACGGTGGCTCACGCCTGTAATCCCAGCACTTTGGGAGGCCGAGGTGGGTGGATCACCTGAGGTCAAGAGTTTGAGACCAGCCTGGCCAACATGGTGAAACCCCGTCTCTACTAAAGAAACAAAAATTAGCCGGGCGTGGTGGCGGGCGCCTGTAATCCCAGCTACTCGGGAGGCTGGGGCAGGCCAATCGCTTGAACCCAGGAGGCGGAAGTTGCAGTGAGTCAAGATCGTGCCATTGACAGCCTGGGCAACGAGCAAAACTCCATCTCAAAAAAAAAAAAGTTTATTGCCAAATGATTTCTGCAGATTTACTCTCTCAAAAAAGCCTCAGTTAAGACTCTTCCAAAAAAGGTTAGGATTTTAAGCCACCAAAAAGGTGAAAAAAGCGGTTGTCTCCAAATAAAATAGGTCCCTTTTTTCCTAGCAAACTCCCCTCTCCCTTCCTAACAAATGGGAGATGTTCTCAAAATATGAACATAACCTTTCTACATAACCTCCCTCTCCATAGGCTTATTACAAAGGGGATTAGCTATATTGCTAAACCCAAACACTGCTTTCCCAATTCCATATACAGGTTGAGTATTCCTTATCCAAAATGCTTGGGACCAGAAGTGTGTCGCATGATTCCAGGTTTTCAAATATTTGCATTGTATTTACTGGTCGAGCATCCCAAATCTGAAGAGGCTCAAATCCAAAATGCACCAGTGAGCATTTCCTTTGAGCATCATGTCAGTATTCAAAGAGTTTTCTGCTTTAGAGCATTTCAGGTTTCCAGATGTGGGGTGCTCATCTTGTATGTTACAGGAAATTTTTCAACCTTTGCTAAATAATTCCGTGCTAATACAAGCTTTTCCAAACCTATCCTGGGAAATCTGTGGTTCTCCGAGAGCTTACAGTCAGGCCATGTCCCACAATTCCAAGGAGAACGCTTCCTGAAATTGTACAATACTTACACCAAAGTATTTGGTGCAGAGCTAGTTCATTTCCAAATTCATTAACACAGATTAACTGTTGAAGTTAGCTTCAACTTACTATTTGATTACAAAGATGAAAATAAATCCCAGTTTTACATTTGCCAGCTTTTATAAATGAGGTTTAAACAAGCTATAAAAAATCATACTGAGCTGGCAAGCCTCTCGTGATTCCACTTACATTATTCCAAAGGAAGAAGTTATTTAAAAGATGCCATTTAGCTATTATCTGTGGGAACGATTAAATACTTAACAACTACATACAAGCTACATGGAAGACACAGTGCTGTCCTACCCAGGTATCTGAAGGTAAAAGGAAAATACAGTCAATGCTAATGGTTCCAAAATGCCTTAACACCAGGCAACAGGAAGAAGTAACATTATTGTCAGCAGCTGGTCTACTATACTCTAACCCAACTAAACTACTGAGCTTGTAAAAAACAAAAAAAAAAAAGCAAACAGGGTTTATGAAATCTAGACTAAACAGCATTGTAATAGGAAATAACAAAAAATAAACCAAACTAGAAATAAGGATGGTTCTTTGTCAAGAGAAAATAAAATGGAAATCCTCTTTTCTAAACATGAAATCTGGTTGAATTTGGAGGTGTAATAATATAATTAGATATATACACATTTCCATATTTAGCAACTAGCATAACAAAAGGTGCCTTTTAAAAGTTCAAACTGGTGTCTCTATCCATAGTTATATAAAAGTAAGCTGCTTCTGTGAACCCCAAAAGGGGTTAATGTTTTTTCTGACAAATAGCTGTATATATACAAGAAATGCCTTCAGTTCAAGATCACTGGGTTCAAAAGGATATATTAAAGGTAATGTTAAAGGAGGTGTTAATAAACATTTCAAAAAAGAACTTATTACCTTTTCGGTCTGTCTTAAAATCAACTAGAATGGGTTCCTTATTGCCTTCTTTGTTTTTTCCTAATCCTTCTCCTTCTCTCCAGCCCATTTTTCTCATCAAAACGGCTCCCATTCCTCCAGTTACCGGGGCTGCTCTTAAGAACTGATCCTATCCAAAGAAAGAAAGGTAAAATGTCCCCATTTTACAGTTAGAATGTGGTAACAGATTCATTGTTTACTTTCTAAAAAGAGGAATCTTATTTTACTTCTAGATCTGTTATAGCAATTAAATGTAAATTCCTCTATATACATACTGTAGTGTGTATGTTCTGATTATTTTCACATTAACGTAATAGTATTTTAGAAGTTAAATAAGACAAGTAAATGGCAGTTTTGAAACAGTAGCCCTCGTGCCCCCCTCAAAAAAAAAAAAATTAGAACACTCCTGTTTTCGTCCACTATTTAGGTTCACTGGTATCTCTTCTTAGCTTGCAAAATAAAAAGAAGGCAATGTTAAAACAATCAATGATATTAATTGTCCCAGGTGTACCTAGTTTATGAATAAAGCCCAAAAATCACTTAGAAATAGTTTAGACACTGAAGAAGCATACTGTTGTCATCCAAAGTTTTCTTCCCCATTCTACTATAAAGCAAGTATAAATATTTTACTTTAGAAAATCCCTAAAGCAGCCAAAAAAAAAAAAAACTCCTGAAATTTACACAGTAACAAATAGAAAACAATCACATAAAATATCCTGTAAGTATGCCAAAATGAATTTGAATTCTTTTAAAACCTAGCTTGATGTTAAAAGACTTTTAAAAAACTCCTTAAATGTTTACATACCTAGGCCTCGGTAGCAGCAATGTTGTGAATAGTACGGCTGGCACTGACCGGGGCAAGAAGACAGCTACAAGGATTTGGCCCTGAAACAAGTTTCCATACAGAGGGGTGAAAGTTCACAGGTTATTCTGTGAACAATCATCTCTCTTGTATCCAACCCACTGAACCATAATTTCCATCAAAGCAGCAAACCACTTAATGTCCTAAGATGCACAAGTATATACATTAGCATGATCAACACTTATTTTTACAGGTTAAGAAATATTCAATGCCTCTTATTAAAGGGCATCCATGTACATATAACAGTATTAAATTCTACTGTTGATCTTTATGGCCACTTTTTAAAAATTTGAAACATGTATCTCCAGATCATGCTTTATTTTCCCCTTGTTACTAAATTTTATGTTTTTATGTTCTCTACCAAATATATATATAAATATACATATAGCAAAAGTCATTAACTTATCAACAGAGTAAAAAAACTTTGGTAGCTCAGGAAATAGTATGTATTCACATCTCCTATATTGATAAGTTAATACTGAATGTAAAAAAAAAAAAAAACATGTTTGTATGCAGTAGTAAAACTATCATCTTTTGTTTCCCAGCTTTATAATTAAATGCTGGGGAGAAAACATGCCAATGATGTGTGACTAGACATTAAGTTCATCAAGATGCTCTGATGGAAGGAGGCAGCTGTGGAGGTAAAAACATACCCCTGGTTCAGTTCCTTATTTGGTGCAGGCCATGCAGTGTAGATGTATAAAGAGAAAGCTGATGCTTGGATATTAACTGCCTTGATGCTACACACCTAGAATGTCTTTTACTTACTTCCAGGTTCATCCGTCCCTCTTTTCCAGGGAACACTCCTAAAAAAAAGGGCAACTGTGCAGAGTACAATATAAATCCCCAGATAACCCAAGTTTCCAATTTTGTTTCCATTCCCTAGTATCGTCATCTGTTTCTTTACCCCAATGTGAAAAAGCTGATTAATTTAATGAGACCACAATAATAAACTCTTATTTATCAGGTCACATCCAAATCATCCCATTCCAGAAATAAAAGTTCTTTTAAACCAACTATTTTAAGTGTTTTACTGATTAATGAGAATACTGATAAAACTTTGCTTTTTTTAAAATCTAAAAATATACTGCAACAAACTAAAAAGAACACAGAGGATGTTGGTATTCCATGTGTTTTTTAACACATAGGTGGATGCTGGACTATACTAAAGAAGAGCCAAAATGATCGTTTGACAGGTTTTCTAAACACAATTACACATTTAATGAATAGATAATCTTTGTGATATTTAACAAGAATGATACATGTTAAATTTTCAGCTGCCTAATGACTTCTACATATTGTGGTCCATGTTTAATTTTAAAAAGTTTCTTTTTTAGTTGATACTAGCATCAAATATTCTTCAGTAATTCTATACAAATGAATCTTTTCCTGTAAGTTCTACTTTTAACTATAATTTAAAATTTGGTCTGATGAACATATCTTTATTGCATAGTTTATCAAAATGATTTGCTTCCCAAAGTATATCTTATATAAAATATGAAGTCAAAGTCTTTTTTAAAGGTGCTACTAAAATTTTAAAATTATTTACTCAAAGTCTGTTAACTGCCTACAGGACTGCAAATACCAGAAGAAATTGGTTGTAGGGGAAAACCAATTGAGTCAGTAAAAGATTCACTTTTTAAAAGTTATTTAAGTTATTAACATATTTAGAAGTATACAAATATTATGGATCAGCACATCATTAGATAAAGACCAAAATTTTGTAATGGAAGCACATTCAGAAGTTTCTACCTAGTAGTGAACATTGCCTGTATTATGTGCCTGTTTTAACACCTATAAGCTTTATTTCTAACTTCCTGAAATATTGGCTGAAGCTTCAAGACTAAACAGTATTAAAAAAGTAAAACTAAAGAAATAGATGTACATTTATAGTTCTGCCCAAGATGTAAGACATTTTTTCAAATAGTATATAAATCACTTTCATACTAACTATAATACAGAAGTCCAAGATTAATCCAATCTTTAAAATATTTTTCTATATATATTTTCACCTTTATTCTAACACCAACTCTCAGCAAACTACAGAAATTGTAATTTCTTAATGAATCTAACTGTGTATTCACTATACACATCAGTGCAACTACTTCCCAAAAAAGGCAGGCATAGTGAGTATACATGATGTTTCATATTAATTTGTTAGTAAGATCAACAAAGATAAAGCTATCAAAATTGAAATAAATGTTACAAGATTAAAATACCCAAAGCAACCAATGTCTCATTTTTCAGAAATTCAGCTCATTCACTGGCACTCATAGCAACTCTCTATAGGTAACCATCACATTACTGATTACCACTAGACACCTCGGAGACTTTGAAATTCCAAAATTACTTGCCCACGATCATACAAGGAGTCAGGAGTACAACAGGATAAAGAAACCTTCCCAATCCATTAGACCACGCGGCCTCCCAGTTTCAGCACTGCTATGCTGCCAGTACTCCTGTAACAAATTTCCCATCACCCATCCAACCAATCTTTGTCCCTTCACCAGAAGGTGTTTCTTCAGAATGCCCTTCTTAGCCACCTAAGACTCCCCCAGTGATGAGGCAGCCGTAGGTGGAGTTCACAGGTCTCACTGCAGAATCTGAAACCAGATGCACCTACATCTTCGTAGCATGAGGCGTCCATCCTCTCCCTTGATTTTAGGTCTTACATATCTGTTTTGTCATGAAATTAGTGGTTCTCAAATTGAGCCTGTGGATCACCAGAGGCCACTAGGGCCTAAATGGTGGTCCACAGATTAATCTCCATCCCATCCCCTTCACCACAGCCCACCCCACTCCAACCATCCTCCCTCAGCCTTCCAGTCCCATGGCAAGATCACCACATGCAGAGCTAATACTAGGGCCTCCCAACCACTTGCTGTGACCAGCAGCTGACAACCAGAAGGACCTGGGCCACAGGTCACAAGAGGAGTAAGGAACAGGGGCCAAGAGATCTTACAAGAAGGCACAGGCACTAATGAAGCGGGTGGGGTGCAAGGACAAAGGAATAGAGGAATGGAAAATTAAGGTGGTAGAGGGCTCTTGGGGGCAGTGATCCACCAAAAATAAACCTGTAATAAAGCATCCCATGATGAAGAAAAATTTGAGAACCACTGCTTTGAAATGATTAGGTTAGTAGTCCAGCAGGAACTGTGGAATATTCTGAACAGCACCTGATACGCTGTTAGCGTTCAAAATACAGTTAAATCACCCCTTCAAAAGCAGCAATAGCAATTTTTAAAATAACCTTATAAATTAGTGGCTCTTGAGCCACATTTATACATTTGCCATTTTCTCATGAATCCAGTCCGTCTTCAGTGTCCGCCCTGGAGCATATACACATAGCAAATTTACTCGGAACTTTGGTTAGAGTCACTGGTCTTTTCATGCAGTTTTAATAAAGTTTCCAAAAAATTTAAACTTTGTTTGACACTTTCATATGTGCATATACTGTGTACCTTTTTAATCCAGGCTTGGGCACCAGTATTGGCCAACTGTTCTTGTGTCAAAACCTGTACTCCTGTACTTCCTGTGAACTGGCCAGGAATAGAGTTCAGCTGAGCCCAGGCATCAATCTGAAGAAAAGTAGTAGTCTCAGTTAACTAAATAAAATTACCTGATTAAAATGTCACTGGTAATAATTCGCTAAAAATGGCTGAAAAGCAGACTTAAATATTTAACTTTTAAACCATATTTAACATTAAATGTTTGCCTACTTTCTAAAGAAGCAGTTTGACAACATTTAGTGAATTCTATTAATAAGATTTTGAAATGTATCTAAAAGCACGGCTACTAAAAAATACAGCTGTTAATATTCTTCAAACTGTCATACAGATAAACTAAAAATGCAAATAACAGCTCATATGGCAATGGGTCCCCACCCTCCCTTCCTACCTATCTCATACAAATGTATTATAGTACATGTCATGACAGCCTGGATTCTTAATTACTTCCTTTGAGACATTATAAATACAGACTAAATTCATGACACAGGTTTAAAGAGTTTAAATACAGGAAACTGTCCACTTGAATACATAAAACAACTTTTTTTTGAGATGGAGTTTCACTCTTGTCGTCCAGGCTGGAGTGCAATGGTGCAATGTCTGCTCACTGCAACTTCTTCCTCCCGAGTTCAAGCGATTCTCCTGCCCAACCTCCAAAGTAGCTGGGATTACAGACATGCGCCACCACGCCTGGCTAATTTTGTATTTTTAGTTGAGACAGGGTTTCTCCATGTTGGTCAGGCTAGTCTTGAACTCCTTACCTCAAATGATCCACCCACCCCGGCCTTTCAAAGTGCTGGGATAACAGGCGTGAGCCACTGTGCCCAGCCATAAAACAACTTTTTAAAAAAGCTTGTACACTTTTTTTCAGTCGCCAACATTTGTTGTGATAAAGAATCAGCTGTCATTCACACAAATTAGATTTACTAAACACCTTGCTATATCAGCAACGTATTTCCTGTCTGAACATGTACTTACTGATTTACCATAAAACAGTAGGAAATGAAATGGAGAGGCTGTCCATTGTTAAAAGCACAGACTCCAGATTCAGATTGCTTGGGTCTGAATCCCAGTTCCCCCACTAATTAGTTGTGTGACCATGGATATCACGTAATCACTCTTTTTTTTTTTTTTTTCTTCAAGACAGTCTCTCACTCTGTTGCTCAGGCTGGAGTACAGTGGCGCCATCTTGGCTCACTGCAATCTCCGCCTCCCGGGTTCAAGCAATTCTGCCTCACCCTCCTGAGTAACTGGATTACAGGCGTGCGCCACCATGCCCAGCTAATTTCTGTATTTTTAGTAGACACGGGGTTTCACCACGTTGGCCAGGCTGATCTCGAATTCCTGACTCCTTGTCCCCACCTCAGCCTCCCAAAGTGCTGGGATTACAGGCGTCAGCCACCACGCCTGGCCTTAACCACTCTTTACTTCAGTTTTCTCAGCTGAAATATTGCAGTTATTACTACCTACACATTTCATAGGGTTGTAGGCACTTAGTTGTTTTTATACACCAGATTGTAAACTCCTTGAGGACAGGGAAATTTTTCTGTTTTGTTCTCTCAAGAAACAGTTCCTGCCACATAGTAAACAATAAACATTTATTGAATAAATGATCAAGCCTCAAATCACTTTCATTTAAAATAAGACATTTAAAATAAGGTAAATGATGTTACAACTTAACTAGTTAGCGAAATTCTTATTTAGACATTAAAACTGGTACATTGGTGTGAGTTGGCTGAAGGTACATAATAATTAAAAAAAAAAAACTGCTACATACCCTTTCCTGAGCTCTATTTAACATGCTCATGGCTTCAAGGTCAAATGCATTCTCACTGAGTCTTTTCTGAGCAAGTGCTCGTTCACTCATTGCTGTAGAGATGTCCACAGGCTACGAAAGAAAACACAGATAATTATCTCAAATTACCATAGTCCCCTAAATTCTGAAAAGTACTCATATCTTTAGTTGCTACATGTCAAAAACAAAATAATAGTCTTATATACTAATAATCTTGGAAAATAGGGAGAAGACTCAAAAAGAGAAAGTAGTCTTGGAAAACAGAAAAGGATTAAGATAAATTACAAAGTATCACACAGGCAGCAGAACTGAACCCAAAATCTGACTGAATTTAGTCAGGTTTCTATTATATATATCAAACTATAATCATAGACGATTCCATTAAGAACTTAAAACTCTCTACCCTTCGTGATTGAAAGCCATTTATAGTAAACTGCAAATTTTTTTAACTGTGGTAAAGGTTATTACATTCCTTAGCAGTTTTCATTTTACTCATTAGCATAACCTTCAGAAGCAGTAAGCAAAATTATTGAATAAGCAAGCAGAAAATCATTATGATCGCTCTTTTACTCATCAGCGTGTCTTTAACATCTTCCCGTTGTGGACACTTTGGTCTTAAGAACCCAATTTCTTTAAACAATATATTCAGGATATACATAAGCAAACCATGTTTTCAGTTTATACACACTACTTATTATAAGTATAATATTATACTATTTATAATTATAATACTTCTGTGGAAGTCCATAACATCAACTGAAACACTTTTAAGTGTCTGAAGTCGTAGGTCTTTCTTTTCAAAGCTCATATTCTACCTTTTAAAACCTTATGGCAAGTGGAAGAAACTTTTTTTTAAAAAGTAATCTTTGGAGCCAATTCTTAATTTGTCAGATTCGTGGAAGGTTTAACCACAGAAGGAAAAACACATCAACATAAGTATTTGGTACTTTTTATATTCTAAAATTAAAAGCTCGAGTTGATCTGTATCAACTCATTTCTTGGTTTTTGTTCTTAACATTATTAATATTTCCTAGTTATCTCACACAATAACATTCATTTTTGTAAAATGCTTATCTGACATGGAAGGTTTTGCTGTTTTCATATACAAAGAGTAAGTAGACACTGCATGAACATAACAAACATGGGTAAGTCAGTAAAGAGCTAACAGCTATGGATTTTCTTTTTTACAAGTAGAGGCTAGTTGTTATTAAGACTATGTATCATGTATAAAAGACTTCTTTTAAGAATAAGACCTGTCTAGTAGAGAAGGCTGTATGACTATGAGAATAAATATAACTCATGCATAAGGATTCACCAATCTTTCTTACCTTCAGAACCTCTAATCCTCCAGAACCTCTAATCCTCCATAATTCTTAGTTACCTTGCTAATTAACTAATACTCCTTTAGCTAACTCAAGGTTTTTCTTTAAGAAAGTATGGATTCTGATATAATGCCTTCTTAAAATGAAAACAAAATTAATTTTTTCTGTAATTAGACTGTTTAATATATAATCTTTCTAGAGATCTATAAACAGTCTAATAAGCAACTGCAGAATACATCTTTCAAATTGAATCTCAACTATAATTTCGCTAAGTCGATTTAAGTAAATCATCACACAAATTAGAATATTTCTAAGACCTATTAGAAATATTAATCTAAGCAAAGTGAGACTGAAACACTAAGAAACTTAGTATGTTCGTCTTTTACTTGTTAAGTCTGTTTGATTCTTGGGACTTTACATGAGAATGCAGATATTTCAGGTGAAAATTCACGTCCCCCTAGGCCTACCTTAAGATGTTTTGTCAGCTAGGATTATCAAGGTAATTTTTGAAGGCACACCATGAGACAAGTACTGTCTCATTAACCTTGTCACACTTACTTTGCTTTTCCTAGCAGTCTCTATAAATCTAAGTGTTAAAGTGTGCTTAGACATAAATAATAGGCTTTTATGCTAAAAACGCTAAAATCTGAGAGGATACTGGGGAAAATGTGTCTACCCACTATCCCAACTCCTGATCCCTAATTTCTAACTATAAATTAGCCACGAATCTATTCAGATGGCTCTAAAATATAACTTCTAGAATAAAACTAATTCTTTCCAAGTAGAAAGCAAACTATTATACCGTGAATATTTTTCTCTCTTAGCCCTTATTAAACAGGTAACCTAAATGCCTCACCATTTATCCCCAGAATGGAACTCTTCAAATCTTAGTGTTTCATATTAAATTCATATGACTCTGAAAGGAATTTTACTATAGCAACCTTGATATTTAAATAAAATTACAACTATGTTTTTCCTGAGGTAGTAAAACATTTATTCTTCAACAGACTCAAAGAAATTTTACTATAGCAACCTTGATATTTAAATAAAATTACAACTATGTTTTTCCTGAGGTAGTAAAACATTTATTCTTCAACAGACTTACCAAGGGAGCTGCAAGTTCATGTCAAAAATGTATTACCAAATAGTAATTTGACTATTAGTTTCATATATATATATATATATATATTTTTTTTTTTTTTGAGATGGAGTTTCGCTCTTGTTGCCCAGGCTGGAGTGCAACGGCACAATCTTGGCTCACTGTAACCTCCCGCCTCCTGGGTTCAAGTGATTCTCCTGCCTCAGCCTCCTGAGTAGCTGGGATTACAGGCACGCGCCACCAACCCCTGCTAATTTTGTATTTTTAGGAGAGACGGGGTTTCTCCATGATGGTCAGGCTGGTCTCGAACTCCTGACCTCAAGTGATCCGCCCGCCATGGCCTCCCAAAGTTCTGGGATTATAGGCGTGAGCCACTGCACCTGGCCATATTTTTATTTTTAAATGCGAAAACACACTCAAAGTAGAATGAATGAAGATTATCTTAACCTCGTAAGGATCCTCTAAAGTTTACATCAAAAAGCCTGTTTCCAGCCGTTCAAGGTAACACAAGTTATACAATAAGGCATAAAAAGCCAATACAATCCCCAAAGCAGCAATTTTTAAGGGTCAGACCCGATGTTACTTATCAGTATTGAAACACTCATAATAGCACAGCTACCCTTTAGAGCAGCATTGCCCAGTACAACTTCCTGCAGTGATCACTACTGAGCACTTGAAGTGTAACTAGTGTGATTAAAAACCTGATTTTTCAGTGGCTGGTAACTGCTATACTGGACAACAGAGCTTTAGAATCTTAACTATCCTTTAATATTCAGAAACTGGAAATGTAAGAAAGGCACCAAAATTATGGTAAAAGGCCCTTCCAAAAACTGGGAAAAAGAATCTTTAATCTGTAGAATACAATTATCAAGTTGTCATCAACAAGCCTTAGTTTTTACCAATACACTATAGACTAGCACGTTACCTAATGTAGAAAAATAATTCTGTAGTAATATTCTAATAATGGGGGAAATGTTTACTGACCTTTCACCTTTGCTCTAAAAGGTGAAATTTACATAAAAAGTGTCCCGAATTACAATTCTCAGATTAATAAAAACTGCCCAAATTCTTCACTCTTTCTCCCTCAGCAACAAAGCAGACAACTACTACTTATAAAACCCACAAAGGTGTCTGAGGAATAATGAAATTATATAATGCAGTTGGCACCATATAACATGCATTTCATGATCTATATTATACATGTAAGGGCCTTTTACATTTTTATTTCTCATTTAGGAAATTCTTCTAAATCAATTTACTCCTTTTGTTAACACAACTGTTGACATAAAAAGAACAAGTATCTTAAGAGACTTCTTAGAGTATCAGTGAAAGGATATAAAAGAGCTAAAGATAATTGTTAGGATGGGGTGAGTCAGATAAGGAAAATACCTATAACCAGAAAATTATTTTCCATTATTGGTAATCACAGATACCTTAAAAGCAGGCATAAAAGGCAAACTATAAGAAAATAGACCTAAAGAAAAGCATCTGGCCTGTATATAAAACATGATTTTAGAATATTTAGCAAATATTAAAATATAAAGACGTTCATGCATACAAGAGCAAAATGACAACTATAAAAATTAAAGCCACAGAAGGTCCCCATTATGTGTTTGGTTGGCTTTAAAAAGTGAATTACAAATCTTTTTATTGTATCATACAAAATTATCTAGTGTATAATAGACTAAATGAAGTACAAGGGGAAAACAAATAGATAACCTACTAAATGGTTCAGAGAAATTCAGCGTTAACCACATAAGAGAATCTAGGAAGAAAAGAATTAGTAACAAGGCTGTATATTACACATTCTAGCAGTGCCAGAACCTATGTGTTTAATTTCCAATTAAAATTTTCATTTTACTCCAAGTTTTCCTATACATTTAGAGCTTATAAATTTTAAAAAAATTTAATTCCATTGGGATGTGGAAATATGATTTGGTAATACAAACCAGCAAACTGCTTAAGATAAAGATGATCTTAACATCTAAGCATTCACTAGACCTTAACAATACTACCTCTGGACCCCTAAAACATTTGATTGGTACTAAATCCATGGTAATGGTTGAGTAGAGTTATTACTGCACTTATGTCAAAGATTACATCCTAATCTTCTACTCAATAAACCTCTGCTAACTTTATTACCAAGAATTAATGCCCCTGAGGACTATTTTTAAAATATTAGTTTTCCAACTTTTTTATTTCATTGTTTATAAATCAAATTCACACAAATACAGTCAAAGTTCTGTAGTCACTCCTTACTGAGGATGATGCTGGCTGGTTTCTGAGTATGAAGACGATGCTATGGCAGTACCGCACACAGTCTGATGAGTTGTTTTTCCATAAGAAATGGATTTATGCTGCTTCATCCACAATGTCTATCCATTCATACTCATGTCAAAGAGCATTCATATGCAAGACAATTGGTGGGATTAGGGATTATAGCAAAGCTAATTCAGCCCTCTTATGGAGATAAAATCTGTGATCTTTGCCTAAATGTTTTATGCTCAAGAACAAAGAACCACAAACTCCATTTATATTTATTAAAATGAAAAAGGCATAGATAAAAATTACTATTCATTTCAAAGGTTGACCATTTAAAAGAACTATCTCCTTTTACTCTAGAAGCCTTTATTTCAAACTCTAACAAGGAATCAAAAGGGTTAATGCTCCCATAAAATGTTACCAAAAGTATTTCACAACATTGGTATATATAACACTAACTGTATAAATAATAAATTCATTACTTTTACCTTCTATATATACAATATAGTATATTTAGATGGTAGCTAAATAACCACAACTAAACATTTTAAATTGTGACTATTTCCTCTACATGTTTTAACATTATTGCCAGGTAAAAGTGCAGATATGAAAGCAAAAGGCAATCCTGTCTCTTTGCCCCAGTATTTTGGGATTCTTCTCTTTAGAATTAATCTGTATGTTCTTTTCAGTCTAATCTTGTAAGTAGCTTAAAGAGGTTTTATATCAAATAGTTACATATATTGTCCCAAAAGAGACATCATCTGCTTTATTCATTTAGCCCTTTGAAAAGAATTGTAAAATAATTTTACCTTCTAGGATTCTTCTTTGGTAAGAAAAAAAATTTTTTTAACAAAAAATAATAATGTCACCATTATTTGAGTACCTTTCTCTATCAACTTTTCCCACCAGATTTAAGAATAATTCTCCTCAACCTTTAAAATCTGACTACTTTTGATGACAAACAAGGCTAAGGCACCACAGTGTTGAGATTGAAAATGGCTAAGTACTAAATTTCAAATACACATACATACACACACACACACTCTCTCTCTCTCTCTCTCAAAAAAGTGTAAGCATCAGGAGTTACTAAGCACTTTCCCCATGATTGAACTGAAGAAATTCAAAACAGTTATGCTCACTTATCTTCTCAGGAAGATCCCTTGGAATTCTGCAATATTTGTTAAATCTTCACTTCACTGGAAAATATATGTCATACAAACTCTCTCCTTACCTATTTTTTTTCCTCTTTTTTAAATGCTTAATCTGCAGGAAATTACTAAAAGCATACATATTAGGATTTCTAAGTAAGTCTGTTCAACCCTCTTATCATGGTTTATATTCAGCTACAAGAAGATTATGTCAGCTGCAAATGTCAGTTAACCTTTCTCTCTTGAGATATGCAGGTAGCCTGATGGTCTCACTAAAATATCCAAACCAACTCTCTCTCTCTCTTAACTGGTGATGGCATAACTTGCTTCACTTGTTGAATCCCATGGGAATACAGATTATCACCAGTAACTGTAAGTTGCACTGGCTAGTTATCATGTCCAGCTTCACTCTATAGAACTTGTTCTCAAAATGCTGCAGGTCAAACAAAAAAAAGTGAAAATGTCACCTGTGAATAGCGTGGGGAAAAAAGTACTGCTATCAAAAAGTTTCTGATTTGGGTTCTGTTCACGGTCTGATTTTATAAACAGGTTTTATTTGTTGAATTGGAGGTGTTTACTGGAAGATGATGATACGGCCAAGCCAAGGAAGGGAACCTGCCGTGAAGAGTACAGGTGTCTCTGACCTACATATGCAAGAACTGCAAGAAAAATGTCCAGATGGGCATCAGATACCTAGTCCAGTCCTTGGCAAAAGTCTGGGCTTTGGAAACCAAGGGCAAGAGGTGATGACAACTAATCTGTAGTATTTAAAACTCCCACCCCCCTATTAAAACTCCACCCTCCCAGATCCCCCAAGCGTGATTTTGCACAACAAGTTAAATAAAAGTAAACTGTTTATTAAAAGATACAGCAAAGGTACAGATACAGAGATACATACAAAGATACAGATATATATATATATTTACATATATATACAGTCTTGCTGTTTTCATGTGCACTATATTTAGCAGCACATTATTTAATCAGGCGGCATTTTAATGGGGTTGTTTTGACACTTGGCATTATTAAGATACAACTATAGCCCCGTGGAAATTTCAACGTGTGAATTCCACTTCTCCGACTTTTAATAGTAGCAAAGGGGGGAAGGAGAAGGGAATGGAGTACCAAGGCTGAGCATTAGGTTAAACACAAGAATTTAAAAGGGCCAAGGTAGCAAAGGGAAGGAAAAATAATTAAAACTAAAGGCTATCTGACAAACACCCCAGAGAAACAGTTAGAAACCATCATTAAGGGCAATGGGCTATGTACCCAAGATGCTCACATCAGCCTACAATGACCTTTTCCAATCCAGTTCTTGTGTTGAACCTGAGGATCTGCCCCTCTCCGCTCAATCCCTCCACCCGATAAATTTGCTACCACCAAAATCTAGAGCTATAGAGCCTTGAAGCAAATCGGGAAGCTAAATAGTTGTACCTTGGACTACCTTCCCACAAGTGCAGGGAGGGCCCAATGTTGGGTAGGGATGTGATAACACTGTTCTCTGCAATTCGATGCTTTTCACTTTGTGGCTTGGTTCCACAAAGTGAATTGCATCGAGTTACTGTCAAATGAGAAGCTGCGGGTTGTTTCATCTGTCGTCTAACCCGGCCCTGCCGTTTAACCCGGCCCTAAGAAGAGTGAAACAGAATCCAAATCAGATATAAAATAACAATGAAATGGCAGATTCAGGTATAAAAAAGGAAAAATACATAATATTCCTCCTACTTACCTCTGAGGGCAAATTGCTGCTGAAAACATTATCATCATCTTTGTTTTCTTCACCATTTTTCTCTACAGGAACCCATTCTCCATAAACACTATCCGCTTCTTTTTTCCGATGTTGAGATCCAGATGATACAGGGAATTCTTTTGTTAATGTTACCTGGCTTTTTGGTGGAGTTGGTTTTGCTGCAGCAATCTAAAAAATAAAGTGTTTCTTAATTAAAGCTCAATATCTGCATTAAATGGTTTCTGAGATTTTCGACATCTGAAGGAAATGATACTGTACATTATTTCTCACAGTATTTAAAACAAAAATTAATAAACTAAATTCGATTTGGGTTTTATTTAAATAGTTCCACAAGTTACACTGTTTTACCAATCCATAAGCACTAATACTCACATTCAGATTGAAAAAAATAGGTTTGGGTTCACTGAGTTTAAAGGGATGATGATAAAAAGGAGGTTCTTCTTCCTCTTCATCCGAAACATGAGGTTTATTCACTATTACATCATCATCTTCTTTACTCTGTGCGATCTGTTTACATTTCTTTAAAAGTAAAAACAAACAAAAGATAAATCTTACGCTTTATGTACAACATGTAATTTCTTAGAATCAAAACCACATAAAAGCAACTTTCCAAAGTTAAAACAAGATTCATGATAGGTTATAGATAAACATAACTTGGCATATTAACTAATATTTAAACACACTCTGGCTGGTCAGTCAACAACATTTATTGAGCACCTACTATGTGCAGAGAGCGCACTGTACTGGGCACTGTCTGGGGAATACAAAAAAAAAAAAAAAAAAAAAGAAGAAGAAGTAGAAGACATGGTCCCTGCTCTCAAGGAGCTTACAATCTAGTACAAGAGAAGGAATACATATACATGAAATAATTGAACACTTTTACAGAGCAACACAATTAACAAGTGCAAACTGATATAATACAAACTGAGTACATAAGTGCTAAAAGAACAAAGGCTTGAGAGAGAATAGAGTCAGGCAGAGTTAGAGAATCAAGGAATATTCCTTGAAGAGTTCTAAGCCAGATTTTCATAGTGAAGAACAAAGACTGGTAAGGAAAGGAAAAGTCATCCTACTCAGGTGGTGGTAAAAAGGTGAGAAGAAACTTGGGACAAGAAGGCTGAAGATGGGGCCAAAAACAGCAAAATATTAACTATCCATAGCATTTTGGATAAGGAGCTTGGATTAGGTAAATAAGCAATAGAAGCGTTTACAAGGTCCTCAACTTTTTTTTAAAAAAGTTGTAATTCATATTGTAATAAATCTAAGTGAGGAAACAGATTCAGAAGCTTTACATTTTCCCAAATGTATGGCAAAACAAAAGATCTGAAACATCTGCAACAGGATTAGATAGCAACATGTCTCTCCATAAATGTTTTGTGGGTTGAGGAGAACTTAGGAAAATAAGGCATGATGGAGAGGGTGCAATTGATGAGGTCTGATACATAAAGCAAAGTCAATTCCTTCCTGAGATGCAAAGGAACAGACTCCATTACCTGGCTTTATAAAAAGGTCAAGAGTAAATTTGGGTAGACCTGTCTCTATACAAGCAGTAGATTTAATGACATCTATTATCAATTGAAAATATTACAATAGGATAAAAAGCTCATTTCGCCAAAAACACAAGAGTATATTAAGCTTGTAATCAAGGGGAACAGAATATATTGACAGTGGCAGGCTGGCATAAGGCTAGCCAATAACAAGTTCCAATATATGAAACAGTGTGGTATTTCTGGATCCTAGCAGCAATATTTTAGCATCTCCCCCCTCCCACCCACACCAAAAAAATAGTAGTAAAACAAAGCCCCAAAAAAGCCTCAATTGAAAAGATCAAACTTTTAAAAACAAAAATAAGTGTGTTTAAAATATATATGTTACTGCCAAAACCCGAACCGCAGGAAGAACTGATAATGGCCGGCCATTATCGCCAATGGCTGGTACCAAACAGCCAAAACCCGAAATGTTGATGCGAAAGAAGTTCCTTTCAGGCAATGGCCAGCTATTCTTATTAATTTCCAAGCTCCGGTGGCAAAAGATCATTTCTGAAGATTGTCTGTGTCTTTGCGTATATGCAGTATACTCGTGGCGATCAGTGAACGCGTCGTGAATGGAAACGAAACTGTAGGCGAGCTTCTGCGTGTTGCTCACTCAACACCTCCTCCATTCAAACGAACCGTCCCACTCCTCAGTCAGTTTGGCTTCTAAAACTGGAAAGCAAAAGTAATGGGAAGTAACTTTTAGCTAGCGGAGCTTAGCCATCCCGGATAATGGCCTGCTAAACAGAGCTTCTGCCGCTGCCACATCTGTATTTCGGGTTTTGGCCACTCGGTGCCAGCCATTATCAGTTCTGCCCACAATTCGGGTTTTGGCACGCTCCAGAGTCAACATCACTGGAATAATCCATTTAAGAATGAAAACAAATTCTGTCTAGCTTACCTCAGTTAGTTCTTCTATAGTAGCTCCTCCTGACTTTTTAGCAACTTTCTCTTCTATAGTAGGTGGAGGTGCAGGCTTTAGGTTTGGCGGTAAAGGGACACCAGCCTTAGCACACATGGCAGCTGCATTAGCTTTGGCTATTTCAAGTAATTGAGCCTTATCTGTAAGAAGAAAAATACAAGCTGCAGTTTTCCTAAAAGGCTGTACATTTTGTATCACCAAAAGTCTAACATACTAACAAAACTAAAGGCATCCTAGATCCATTGAAGAACTTGGGTATCTAATAAAAAAGAAAAAAAAAAGGAAAAAACTGTAGGCATCAATATTCTGCTCTATTATACCTGTGATCAAACCACTGGCTCAAAGTTTTTAAGCAGTGGCCTCATTCAAAGAATTGAGTCCACATATTGAGTTTCCCATTTGAATATTACAATACGTTACTACACAACTATAATGATCACCCTACTACACATACTCTAAGATATAAACCTGCCAAAGCCAATTTTATTTCACAAAATTATCACGACCCTACTCTCTTTCTAATCTGACACCTTAAATCACTCTTTGAGCACCAGTTAAAGTGCCTCTTTTTTTTTTTTTTTTTTTTTTTTGAGACAGTCTCACTCTGTTGCCCAGGCTGCAGTACAGTGGCGCCACCTTGGCTCACTGCAACCTCCACCTCCCGGGTTCAAGCGATTTTCCTGCCTCAGCCTCCCGAGTAGCTGGCACTACAGGCGTGTGCCACCATACCCGGCTAATTTTTTGTATTTTTAGTAGAGACGAGGTTTCTCCATGTTGGCCAGGCTGGTCTCGAACTCCTGACCTCAGATGATCCACCCGCCTCAGCCTCCCAAAGTGCTGGGATTACAGGCATGAGCCACCGCGCCCAGCGTAAGTGCCACCTCATCCAACAAGTTGTCATTAAGTCAGAATTAACATTCCTTTTCCCATTGCATTCCTAAAGTACCTCACCTCTATCAGTATTATAGCAATTACATTCTGTTCTTTCTTAGTGTTACTATTTGGTAAGAGAGACATATATGCATTTTACCCATATCTCCTCCACCAACTTGTAATCACTTGAGGAATTACATCCTGTTCCTCTGCTGTGAATAAAAAAGAACTCAGAAAACTTCTGTTGAACTGAATGCAGATTCTCCCTTTTTACTCTTAACCTCTTTTTCTTTAGTCAATCCTGGCCTAGAAATGTCCAGTATACTGGGATAAGGATAAATCATCCATACATATTGTAGGTAATCATGCATATCAATCAAGTTTTAATCACCTCTGTACACTACTTAAAATCAGGGGAAATTAGAGCAGTTATTTTTAAAGTAAAGCAGAACGGGTTATTAAAAAATCACTCTGATCTAAAATATTTAACTTTATTTAGCTAGTATCACCTACCCAGTTAAATAACCCCCACATGCAAAATTCCCTACTCACTTCCATTACCAACTATACCAATCGGAATTACCTTCACTAACATTTAACAGTCCTATACTGCCATTTTAAGATATGTTAACTTATTTAAAAAGGAACATTGTAATTTTAGGCTTATTTGCAAGGATGTATGTTAGAACACATAAAATAACAATCTGAGCATATACTTAGCTTGTTTTTAATTTAGCTAGAGTTCTACATCTGCTTCTGCTTTCCATTTTTAGCTATGGCAAGATAACTGAAACAAAATAAAACATTCAAGTATGGAAACACCTTGATTCTACTATACTCCGACACAGGACTTTTTAACTCTAATTTCAATACACTGATCCCAGTACTTCCTAAATACAGTACCATTTAATCATAAAAACTTAAAGACAGAAACATTGATCCTAAACCAGTAAGTAAATATTTCACTTGACTCAAGATCAGAAAAAATTAAGGTTTAAAACATTTTCTACCACCATCCCATTAAATTTTAAAATGACTCACCCAAATCTGTCAGACGTTTGGGTGATCTGCCTCGTTCAGAAGACCTGGATCTTTTACGACGGATGGGAGATCTGCTAAACCTTCTTCTCAAGGGTGTTCTTGATCGCCTTAATCTGACTGGTGAGATACTGAAGCTTCGTCGTCTTACCACAGACCTCGATCTTCTCCGGCGGCTTGGGGTGCGGCTCCGACGACTGGGGGTGCGGCTCCGGCGGCTGGGGGTACGGCTTCGACGGCTGGGGGTGCGGCTCCGGCGGCTGGGGGTACGGCTGCGGCGGCTTGGGGTGCGGCTCCGGCGGCTTGGGGAAATGCTAAAGCTCCTTCTCCTACCCACAGATCTAGACCTTCGTCGACGACTTGGAGTATGACTCCGACTCCGGCGACTTGGGGTTCGACTTCGAGCTCTAACTGTCTTTCGGTTATCCCTGGAGCTTGATCTTTTTCTTTTCCTTTCCCTAGACTTGGATCTGTGCTTTGGAGATCTTTTGCGCTTCTCTTTTGATACAGATCGTCTTCCTCTAGACTTTGATCTTGATCTGCTGCTCCTCCTCCTGCGTCTTGAACGTGACCGTGAACGTGTTTGAGAGCGATGAGACTTGGACTTAGATGATCTCTTCCTTGCCCGAGAACGAGATTCACTGGTACGCTTGCGTGATTTGTGTTCAGAAGACTTGGAACGCTTACTTCGAGATCTTAATGAAGAGTCTCTTTTCTTCTCTTTCTCACCCTTATCACGGTTCTTATTTTTCTTGCTTTTTTCATGAGTGTCCTTAACTTTTACAAAAATTTCATAATCATCTTTTTCCTCTGAAGACGACTCTGAAGCTCTTTCTGGCATACTACTTACAACCGGGCTGGCAGCAGATTTGTCACGTCCAACATCACTTGCAAGTAAAGGTCCTTCAATGCCAGCTCTAAGGCTTGTAAGACGTTCCATGTCCTTAGGAAGTAATGGTCTCACTAAATCTGCTTCATTAATATCCTCAATATTGGCAGAAAATCCTGAATCAGACAGTGTCTCTTTAGGAGGGGGAGGTACTTCTTTTTCTCCTCCACTACTTTCTTTAGGGCTGAGCAGAGCTGCTAACGTCTGGTCACTCTCTTTTACAGGTAATGGTTCTTCTGTATCCTTACTAACAAGGTTATTATTAGATGGTAAATCAAGATGAATATCTTTAGCAGGCAAAGGCCCTTCAATGTCAGCTTCACTACCACCACTAGGACTGGTAGAAATTACCATGTCATGTTCAGTATCTTGAGTAGTTAAAGATACATCAATATCATATTTATTAACTGAACTGAGAGTAGATGTTGTGATAAATTCAATACCCTTACTAGTTCCTGTTGCATCAGGTTCCAGAGCAAGAGAACCAGTAGAAGATAGAGTTTCTCCTGCATCAGCTTCACTAACACCAGGGTAGTTATCCAATACTGTGCACTGTTTAGTCTCACTGGTGGGCAAAATTTTCTCTTCACCAATTTCCCCAACAGGACTAGTACTAGCAGCACACACTGTATTATGTTCCATTTCTTTAGCAATTAAATGATTATTTATATTAAGGTCTATATTTATACCATGTTCACTTTCATAAGAGTCACTTTTCAGGTGTACCTCAGCATGTGGCTCTTCACCTGAATGCAAAGGAATCTCCGGCATGCCAATCTCTGGAGCAAGATTTTGATCACCAGAGGGTAGATTAATTCCTTTCATAACATGTGATGACATGATACTAGATTCCAGTATCATTGGTGTGGACTCTATAGCCACCTCAGTTGGTATTACTTGAGTCTGCTCTGAGACAGTGACAGCAGGCTCTGAAACTGTCACAGTAGACTCCTGGACAGAAACAGATGGTTCTGAAACAATCATAGAAGGTTGAAGGACTGACACCGCTGGTTCCAAGACAGGCACAGAAGGCTCCAGCACAGAAACAACTGGCACAGGAATGGTAATATAGTCTGGCTCAGCCACAACAGGAGGCTCCGGGACAGTCACAACCGAAGGCTCCAGGACAGTCACAGTCGAAGACTCCAGGACGGTCACAGTTGAAGACTCCAGGACGGTCACAGCCGAAGACTCCAGGACAGCCATAGCCGAAGACTCTGGGACAGCCATGTCTGGAGGCTCCAGAATGCTCTCTGCCAGCACTGGAGTAGTTACTGCTGGCTCCAACAAGGATGTAGATACCTCTGAGGCAACATATCCTGAGGCTCTCATGGATTCAAATGTTTCTGCTGTCTCTGACAAAACAGGAGGCTCTGATGCTACCACAGTTGGTTCAGCTGACACTGTGGGAGTTTCAGACACCATACAAGTCACTGGTCTCTCTGGAACAACTTCATGTTCTTCTGCTACTACCGCAGACTCTACAGGTGTTGATGTAATTGAAGATTCTGGCTCTGGCGGTGGTTCTGGAACAGTCACAGTAGCCTCTGATACTAAAACTGAGGGATCTGATGCTGACATTGAATAATCAGTAGGCACTGCTGAAGGCTCTGAAATCTCACTTTGACTCACAGGAGGCTCAGGCTGCGATACAGACTCTTCAGAAGGTAATGATGGCACCTCTGCAGGCCACGTATTTTCAGCTGTTAATGCTGACTGCTCAGTGGGCAATGCTGGACCCTCTGGTGGTTCCTCAGGAGGCAACGGTGGTGTCATTGGTGGCTCCTCAGGTGGCAACGGTGGCATTGTTGGGGGCTCTTCAGGAGGCAAAGGTGGCACCATATATGCCTCTGTATATGTGTCAGTGTAAGAATCGGTGTAAGAATCAGCAGCCATAGACATCATTGAACGATCAGCAGTATAAGATGACATCATAGATCGGTCAGCTGCAGAGTACGATGACATCATAGACCGGTCAGCAGCAGAGTATGACGACATCATAGACCGGTCGGCACCCATGGACATCATAGATCGATCAGCCATTGGGGACATCATGGAGCGTTCATAAGCTGACATCATAGAGCGTTCATAAGCTGACATCATAGAGCGCTCAGCCATAGGGGACATCATAGAGCGCTCATAGGCTGACATCATAGAGCGCTCGTAGGCTGACATCATAGAGCGCTCAGCCATAGGGGACATCATAGACCGCTCATAAGACATCATAGAGCGTTCGTAAGATGACATCATGGAACGTTCTGCAGCATAGGACATCATCATAGAACGTCTAGATGCTAACATCAGGGGTCTAGGTGCTAACCTATATGGCCTGGGTGCTATTCTATAGGACCTGGGTGCTATCCTATAGGGTCTAGGTGACATCCTATAGGGATCAGGAGTTAGTCTGTAGGGATCATGGCCTAATCTATAAGGGTCCTGTCCTAACCTGTAAGCATCATGACCTAATCTATAGGGGTCATGGCCCAACCTATAGGGATCCTGAGCTAACCTGTAAGGATCCTGAGCTAACCTATAGGGATCAGGAGATTTTGAACCCAACATAGCAGAATCTTGGGTACTAGATGCTAACATCTGGGCATCCATGGTACCAGACGCTAACATCTGAGCATCCATGGTGCCAGAAGCTAACATTTGAGAGTCCATAGTGCCAGATGCTAACATCTGGGAATCCATTGAGCTAGTTGCTAACATCTGGGAGTCCATGGTGCTGGTTGCTAACATCTGAGAATCCATGGTGCTGGTTGCTAACATCTGGGAGTCCATGGAGCTGGTTGCTAACATCTGGGAGTCCATGGAGCTGGTTGCTAACATCTGGGAGTCCATGGAGCTGGTTGCTAACATCTGGGAGTCCATGGAACTGGTTGCTAACATCTGGGAGTCCATAGTGCTAGTTGCTAACATCTGGGAGTCCATGGAGCTAGTTGCTAACATTTGGGAGTCCATGGTACTAGTTGCTAACATCTGGGAGTCCATGGTGCTAGACGCTAACATCTGGGAGTCCATGGTGTTGGATGCTAGCATCTGGGAGTCCATGGTGTTGGACGCTAGCATTTGGGAGTCCATGGTGTTGGATGCTAATATATGGGTCTCCATGGTGTTAGAAGCTAATATATGGGATTCTGGGGCCATCAAGGGATCCACTCCTACTGTTACAGAAGTCTCCCCCACTAATGTAGTAGGCAGCTCCTGTGCTACCGTATTATAGGATTCCAGCGCTGTCGTCGAGGGCACCTCCAGGGACTGCGACACGGTCATCGTTGACAGCTCCGATGTTGTCACCACAGACTGAACAGAGATCTCCAGCGCCACAGTTGCCACAGGCTGCCCAGGCAACTCTGGCGCCCCAGGCTGCCCTGGCAACTCCAGCACCCCTGTTGCCAGAGGCTGCCCCAAAAGCTCCAGTGCTCCAGCTGCCCCAGACTGCCCCGAGAACTCCAGTGCCCCAGCTGCCATGAGCGGCCCAGGCAACTCTAGTGCCCCAGTTGCCACAGGCTGCCCCGACAACTCCAGTGCCCTAGTTGCCGAAGGCAGCCCTGGCAACTCTGGCACCCCAGTCACCGAAGGCTGCCCCGGCAACTCCAGCGCTGTTGTTGCCACTGGCTGTCCTGGCAACTCCAGCACCATCGTTGCCTCAGGCTGCCCCAGCAACCCTGTTGCCGTTGTCACCTCAGGATGCCCAGGATGTTCCACCGTTGTCATCCCCACAGGCTGCTCCAACTCTGTCGTCGTCACAGGTTGTTCGGTCAACTCCATTGCTACTGTTACCGCAGGCTGCTCTGGCAACTCTACTGCTGCTGTCACCAAAGGCAGCCCTGGCAACTCCTGTGCCATCACAGGTGGCTCTGGTACCTCCTGTGGTGGCTCCAACCCCATGGATGGTGCTGGAAGCCCTGGCAATTCCTGCGACAACTGTGGCACTGGTGTCACAGAGGGCCCTGGCAACTCAGGCACTGCTGTCGCAGGGGGCCCTGGCAACTCAGGCACTGGGGTAGAAAGGGGCCCTGGCAACTCTGGCACCGGGGTAGCAGAGGGCCCAGGTAACTCCGGCACTGGAGTCACAGGGGGCCCCTGCAACTCCGGCATGGAGGTCGCAGGTGGCCCCGGCAACTCCATCGCTGAGGCCACCGACGACTCCTGCAGCTCCAACGCTGTGGTCTTAGGCAGCTCCGGCAACTCCTGCGGTCTTGTCATGGATGAATCTGCAATCTCCGATGGTACGTCTACAGGCTGCTCTGGCAATCTTAGCGCTTCAATTGCAGATGACTCTGGAAAATCCATTGTTGTTGATGTGCTTGGCTCAGGGTACACCTCAGTAGGTGTCTCTGATGATACCACAAGGGTTTCTGAAGGCTCTAACACTTTTGCTACTGGGGGCTCTACCAACATGATCTTGGATGGCTCTGGAGATGTGCTCTCCACAGATTTCAGCACAGACTTCATCTGATACTCCACTGACATTGTTACGACTGGCTCAGATGACTTCAACACCACTGTTGTAGTAGGCACTGGTGCTGCTGCAAAGGAATCCAGAATCTTTGTCATGGATGGTTCTGGCGTTACTGCCACAGACTGCTCTGACTGCTCTGAGATTACTGATGTAGATGCAACTGACAGTTCTGCAGTTTTTGTAGCTGGCTTCAGAGTTTCTAAGATGTGTGGCTCTGGTACCTCCACTGATACTACAGGAGGTTCTAGCACAACTGCAGGGGATTCATTGGTCTCAGACAGGCCAAATGCTCTTGTAGGAAGCTCCAGCGCCATAGCTGAAGGTTCAGAATCAAACTTTAAAAAGGAATCAGATTCTAAATCTATGTTCCCATCATGATGAGATTTCGTCTTTGCCTCAGATTCTTCTGGCTGTCTTTTGTATTTTTTTTCCTTCTCTTTCTTCTTTTTCTTCTTTTTGTTTTTATGCTTTTTATGCTTCTTTGACTTTTTAGTGGGAATTTCATCAGTAGGATCTGTTTGTACAGATACACATCTACTTTTTCTGGAGGCCTCTTTCAAGTCTGAAAGTAATAGAAATTAATTTTGTCAGACATTCCCCAAACTAGAGTTAGATTAAATTATATAAGCCCATATTTACATTCCATGTTAAAATACCGTAATACAGGCCAGGTGCAGTGGCTCACACCTGTAATGTCAGCACTTTGAGAGGCTGAGGCAGGTGAATCACGAGGTCAGGAGTTCAAAACCAGCCTGGCCAGCATGGTGAAACCCTGTCTCTACTGAAAATACAAAAATTAGCCAGGCATGATGACATGCACCTGTAGTCCCAGCTATTTGGGAGGCTGAGGCGGGAGAATCACTTGAACCCAGCAGGTGGAGGTTGCAGTGAGCTGAGATTGCACCACTGTACTCCAGCCTGGGCAACAGAGCAAGACTCTGTCCAAAAAAAAAAAAACTCATAGTATAACACCTCACGTTAAATTAAAAGTTACCCAATAAACTATTTTTCATAAAACATCCTGGAGACTGCTACTTTTCTGATACTTCTTTCCACAACTAATGCCTGGTTTAAAAATAAATTATTAGTTTAACACCAAAACTTACTTTGAATTACATTAAGATATGTTTCACGAAATTCTATAAAATAATTATTTCCTCCAGCTCTCAAATTATAGCAAAATTACTTTTAAACTACTTTCGTCAAGGAATATATTTCATGTTATTAGTTCCTACCCTTCCTATTAAAAATACCCACATAATATAATTTTTGCGATTAGTAACCCTTGTTTACACAGGAAGCAATATGGCACTGGCTCTGAAACAGACTGCCACTTTTGAATCCTCAATCATCACTACTAGGTTAATGGTCTTGGCCAAATTACTGACACACATGTTGTGTCTTCTAGGGTTAGAGGATAAAGTGAGTTAGAACATGCAAAGTACATCAAACAATGCCTGGCACAGAATAAGCTTTCAGCAAAGGTTAGTGATTGCTTCTACAGAGTATAAAAATATCTGAACAACAAATATAAAATATTCAGAGAACTCAAATTTTACCTTATTATGCCTATGTTGTCACATTCTAATAAAAATAACATTTTCCCCCAATACTATTCTAAAACCACTAATAAATAACTTTTTAAATGTTTCTATTTTAGAAAATACTGATTTTAGAGAGGAAATTCTTAGTCCTTAATTTATAACTTAAGAAGGTCTGAATTTACATACCCTAAACAGATGGGAGTATTCAACTTTAACAACCAAATGAGATTTATTTACTCTAATGCCAATATCAAATTAGATAAATCTTAGGGATCCCAAAAAAAGGCTCATCAGAAATCTGAGCCATTAAGACTACAGAAAAAAATAAATCAACAAATCAACACTTGACATAGGCTGAAGCAAAACTAATCATTTTCTATTGTTTCATAATACAAAATGTTAGCTAAGTTATACTTCAATCAAGGTTGTTAGAGTCATGAATCTAAGGATAGCTAAAGTCTGTGAGAGTCATGAACTTTATTTACTTTAGCACAGCTAAAGTTCCCCCCAAAAAAGAGAAGGACAAACCATACTACAAACTTGATTCCAGAACTAAATCAAGGTAATGACTGTTATTTTTGTGGCTAAATCCTTCATTTCTAAACAATGATTAATCAATTCCAAAAACGCTAAATATTCAAGCAATGACTCCTCTTCATCCACTGCAGTTTAAGTGTGATGGATGTTTTTACGCAACTGTTTAATAAAAATGCATGCTCAAATTCCTGATACTAAGAAATTGAATCAAATAAACTGAAACTAAGTCAAAGATAAAAATTGTATTCTACCAGCAGAGCAAATAAGTACATCAATGTTTGTGTTTCAGTGGAAGTATGGAGAATTTAAACAAGCAAATCTTCATTAAATCAATTTTTAAAAAGCTTAAATTTACTGAATTTTTTTTTTTTGAGACAGAGTTTCAAAAAATAAAAATCTCAGCTCACTGCAACCTTCGCCTCCTGGGTTCATGCGATTCTCCTGCCTCAGCTTCCAGTAGCTGGGATTACAGACACCCACCACCACACCCGGCTAATTTTTGTATTTTTAGTGGAGATGGGGTTTCTCCATGTTGGCCAGGTTGGTCTCGAACTCCTGACCTCAGGTGATCCACCCACCTCAGCCTCCCAAAGTGCTGGGATTACAGGAATGAGCCATTGCACCCAGCCTGAAGTTTTTAATTTAATAAGTATCGTAAATACTGAGGTCAAACACTAGTATTAACCTTCAAATTTCAAAAAAATCTTAAAAGAATATTTTTGAGACAGTTAATTATCTCCAACTTACCTGGCTTATATCGTAGTTCTGTATCTAAGACCCCAGAAAGTACTTCCTCTATCTTCTGCACTATTTCTTCATTTGGTAGACTCCTGGCAGAGGCAGCTGCATCACCCGCCTGGTTTCCTTCAATGGGTGTATTTGTTTCACCATTCAGCTGGCCTTCATTCCTTCCACTTGACATGAAAAGTTATCGAAATTCATTAATATTTTGTCATACCATTAATAAAAAGAGTAATCCGATTAATTACAATAATCATATGTTGTACTGATGGTCAGACATTTTACCTTTTTCCTATTTTAGATATTCACCACTAATAATGCATCCTTAACAGGATCTACTTATGTTTAGGACATTTCACCTTATACAATTAAAGTTTTCAGAACTATGAAAATTAAGAAAAACTCTTTAAAACAGGTTTCTAAGTACACTCTTATTTAAACAAAATAAATTTAGAAATCTAACTTTAGGCTTTTGGGTTGCCCATATATTTCTCTCAGGGGAGAAAAATTAGTAAGAGCCCAGTCATAAATCAAAAGGCCTAACATTATGGTAGAAACCATGGCTACATTAAAGCCACACCTGTGCATAAATCACAATCACCATCAATAGTATCAAGGAACACAAAAGCTAGCCACAGGCACACTGAATAAAAAGGGTAACCTGTAACCTCTGTCCAGGCTTACATTGTTATTGAAATGCCACTAAACTTAAAAAGGAAAATAATTTATGTAATTTTTACACAATTATCAAGAACCGTGGTTTAAAAAACTCACATAAAACAAGTGGCATTTATACCAACAGTAAAAGCATAGATGGCTTAACACATTTTCCATTCACAGGGCCAAAGAAATCTTTAAATAGGTAAGAACATGTCATTCGCCCAGTAATTTCTACTATTTTCGTGTGACTTTGCAAAATTTTGAAAAATCAAATAATTTCAGCAACAGTTTGATTTTAACTTCACTTTTAGCTAAATGAAAACACATAAAACAATTATGCTCCACTACCTGATAAAAGTCTGAATGATGAAAAACCAAAAAAAATTCAGGAGTTACCTAAATGTTATCAAGGAACATCTGGTTTTCTAATACAATGAATTGTATAATTATAATTATATTAATTAACATTTATTGACTACTAGCTAGTGTCATACTGTTCTACATTAACTCATTTAATCCTAACACAACTCTAAGATCACCACTATTATTCTTTTATAAATGAAGAAACTTAGCTGAAGGTCACACAGCTACTAAGAGGTGAAGCTGGTACTCAAACCAGAGGCCATATTCTTACACACCATCTATAACAGAAGTTCGATAACATGTTTTAACTATCTGTCAGCCTCAATACTCTAATTTACATAAAAGCAGATGAGAAAAAAATAGCTCACTGAAATGGCAAATAATCAAAAACTTGTTTGCAGACTGATAATGCATTGTGTGTTGCTTGAAGAGAAACTGCATATTCCTCTAGTAATAAAGTGCTTCGTCTACTATTATTTTTAGATATTCTTTTCTGTAGCACTTTATTTTACAATTTTCCTAAGCACTTATACATAATTATGACAAATCTGAAAATCAGAAAAGTAATTATGGTTTTAAAAGTTAATCTACAAGGAAGTAATGATTTCATCTTAAAGCTACCAACTGTTAACTGCATTTACTGAAAAGCAATGAAAATTTCAAACCACCTAAATATGCAACAATATATTCCTACAACAGGATTCTATGCAGCCATGAGTAAGTCCAAAAGACAGAATGGGAGGGACAAACTTGTTAACAACGTATTAGCTGGAAAAATGATCAATACAAGATGATCACATATCACACAATACATGGGGGGGGGGAAATGACATAAGAATATCAATAATGTGAGTTTTTTCTTTTCTTTTTCATTTCTTCTAAATTCTCTATAATAAAACACTCATTTTCTAAAGGAAAGACTAGCTTTTAAAAGCTACAAAAACACAGCTTGTTAAACTAAGCAAACAACTACTTAAAGCATCCAGCAAGATTTGTCAGGAAAATTATATTCTCTAAGCTCGGGTCTCTTCTCATCCTAAAACACTACTAGCAATATCACAGATATTTAAAAAGCAATGTGAGTGGATCTATTTCCACTTAAAAAGCAAAACATTCTGCAAAAGTGATGATTCTAGCAATAATACATCATTGCCCTAATAATCCTGTATTACTTTGGGCACTTACAACTGGTTTTCGGCCCATTTTCAAATTCACGTACTGCTCTTGCACTCAACTTTTAAAATACAATTAAAAACATTCGAACTCGGAACATTTACGTTTCAAGATCTCTTTCCTACCTCTGTACTTTAAAGAACTGAGTATCTTACACAAAGCTAATACCGAAAGACAACCGCTGAACATGATACACTATTTTCCTGACTAAACAACCATTTCTTTAACAACCTCTTCGCCTTCAAATTTTGTGAAGCCAAGCGCAAATTATGTAAAGTCTACCAGCAACGACAAAAATAGCGTGTCAACTGGGGCAGGGGTAGCAAGAAAATAACAGACCTACACACAAAGTCCACTTTCACTTGCTGTAATTAATCACTACCATTTCAAAGTCCCCTTCCAACGTCATCTCGAGTATTTTAACAAAGTAGCAAATATTAGTTTGAGTTAGTTTTAATTGAAACATTTAACTATTAGAACGGCTGATAGACACTACAGGACACTAGGCTCCGAATAATCTTATTAATAGATCCAGACCCCCAAGCGCTCTGAAGCTCGCAATAATAAAGAGGATTTAAGATTACTCAAGAAACGGCCGTTAGAGACCCTTTCCGGTCATAGGCACCGGCCGGCAAAATCCGCGGAGGCGGAGAGGGGGAGGGGACACGCGGCGGCGGAGGAGGAGCTGAGGAAGGAACTAGGCCCGTCCCTGGCGGACAACCGGGCCTACGAGTAGCTAAACGGCAGGGGGGAACCAAACAGGGGAGAAGGGTGAGCATCTTAACTCGGTTCTAAAACAGGGAGTCTGGGGTTACCTCGGAAAAGGCGAAGTTCCTCGAGGGGAAAGGAAGGGAGCGGCTGGGGGGGCGGTTGGGGGGGGCCCGGAAAATGGATCCCAGGCCCAGGCGGGGCCTGAGCCGAGGAACGACGGCGTCTCCGAAGAAAGATGCCAAAGAAGGCTTGGTGAGGCCCTAACGGTCCGCTGGGAGCAGAAGAATCTGGGAGGCGTTTACCTGGAAAGCTCCTGTTGAATTTCCCGGAATTTGCTGACCACGAAAGACCTAAAAATCTGCTCGATGTTGGTCGCCATGGCGTCCGCTCCGTTCTCTCAACTCCTCCTCGCTAGTCCTCCAGGCTCCCAGCATGCCTCGGGAGGAGGCGCAGCGGCCAATTCGGTCTCTCGCCTTTCTGATTGGCTCCAAAGGGAACGCCCGGTCCGGCCCGCTCCACCGAGGGACCAATCAGTGAGCACGGCCCTGCTCTCCTCCGCTGTTTCTGAGCGGCTGGGGTAGAGGTGCTGACGTTTGCGCCGCGCACGACTATGTCCGCCATGTTAGTGTCTGACGCAGGCGCCATTACAGGAGTCGTCTCTCTTGAGGCGACTGTGTCCGCCTAAGTTGTCAGTACCCAGCAGTGTTTGGAAGCCTTAGGAGGCTTGCTAAGCGCCTGAGATTAAAGGCCAGGAGGAAGAGGAGCAAGAAGGGCAACCCAGTGTTTAACATAGGGCTTCCAGGCGCTCGCAGGTGGCGCCAAGTTCAGTTTCGACAGGGATATGCATCCGGGAGAAAATCTTTCAGCCCCCGCCCCCGCTGGGATGCGAAGGAAGAACTCGCTGTAGCCCTGTGTCTCCCCCAGTGCGTCGTATAACCAGCCTCATTTTAGGCCGGATGTCCTAAGTGACCGGCATTCAAAGCCTGGTTTATTTTACTCTCATCAGGAGTCAGGCGTGTCACGAGATTTTTCCGCGGTAGCTGGTCAGCTCTGACTCGTGAGCGGTGCACAATTGGCTAAGAATGGGTTTAGCATTTTGGCGCTCCCCCTCGGAGCTCCTGGAAACACTGCGTGGCACCCCATACCACTGTCACATTATGAACGTGCTAGAGCTTGGGTGTCTTGGCTGGGGAGCAGTCAGGCCGCGCCCAGGGCGGGAGGGAATCACTAGATTCTCGCCGCGGAGACCTAGGGCCGCGCGGACCAATGGGGCAGGGAAGCCGCCGCGGGGCGGGGCGGTGAGGGGCGGTGCCGAGCTGGTCCCGCGCTGGTCCCGCGCCGGTCCCAGTGGGCCCACTTCCGGCGAGCGGGTGCGCGGGAGCCAGGTGGCAGCCTGGTGTTGGTGCGTAAAGCCCCCTCAGCTTTTACACAGAGCGCGCTTAGGCTTTGGTTTGGGGATTTAAGATCGGGAACTGAGTGAAACCGTAGAAACTGGTTTGTAGAAATTTTCGTGGTGTTTGTAAATGCGGTGGGTGGGGGTTGACCATGTGCTTTTCACTTGTTACTGTTAGGCGAAGTTTCTGTTTGCTCTTTTACTCTTCCTGTTTTCTAAGATGTCAAGGCCTTTTTGTGTCTTTATGCGTTTTTAGAACATAACCCTAAATTGGTGTACTTTGTCAGATTTTCTCTTTATGCACCCGTTGTCTCTAACAGATTACTTGGTTAATTTTGTAATTGGTTTCTGCTTTATTCTCCGTATCCTCCGATGTGGCTTTATTTGCCTGTCTTATTCTCCTTATGTTACCCATTCTGATGAATGAGGCCCAAGGTTAGTGAAGTCCCCCAGAGTCTCCCTGCTAGTGTGGGGCAGGGTCTCTACCCAGGCCAAGGCGCTGTGTGTGACTCTGGAGCCCAGGCGTCCTCACTACTGGGTCGTAACGCTGTTTTCACTAAACAGGAGAATTTTCCCACTCTACTAGTATATTCAAACTAAAGATGTAACATTTGCTCTAGATTTAAACATCTGTTTGTTTCTGGCCATACGTGATATAATCCCAGCACTTTGAGAGGCCAAGATGGATTGACCACTGGAGGTTAGGAGTTTGAGACCAGCCTGGCCAACATAGTGAAACCCCGTCGCTACTAAAAATACAAAAATTGGCCAGGCGTGGCGGCGCACTCCTGTAATCTCAGCTACTTGGGAGGCTATGAGGCAGGAGAATCGCTTGAACTCGGGAGGCTGAGGTTGCAGTGAGCCGAGATCACGCCACTGCCCGGCAGCCTGGTCGACAGAGCGAGACTCTGTCTAAAAAAAAAAACCAAGAAACTGTTTATTTCAGATACGCATGGCAAGTAAAATGTGTTTTCCCATTACACTAAAATAGCTTTTCCTTCCGAGACTGTAATTTAACAGGGTTTTTTTTCCTTTCTCAAATTTTTAATGATCATCGTTTCACTTGAGAGAATCTAAAGCAAAATTGTTTCTGTTAGGCTCTACCCCCTCTTACCTGTGTGACCTCCAGCAAGTTATTTACCTGTCTGGGCCTCCTTGTCTTACCTGCAAATTGGTGATAGTCATAGTATATCCTTCATAGGATTCTTTCATGACAAGCATTTTACCCTGCCCAAGGTAAGTGCTCAAAAAATGTTAGTTGTATATATTGTCAGCTTACATTTTTCTTAATATATGTAATCCCAACATCATCAAAAGAAGTTTTCAATTTTCTTTTTCTGTTACCAGTTTGCCTTGTGGTAAGTAAATGTAACAAGTTAACATTTACTACTGCTGAGTGCTAGATTGTGCTTATTTATAAATACCATTTCAGTTAATCTCCTAGGTTACACTGCTGTTGTATCCATCCTTCTAAGTCTCAGGTGCCAGAACTAAAGCGAAATGAGTTGTAATTTGATTTTTGCCTTCTCTCTCAATTTTCTAGCATATTGCACTATTTGAATTAGGAATCAGCAAACTATGGCCCACATACCAAATCCTGCTGCTGCCTGCTTTTGTACAGCTCACCAGATATGAATGATTGAGAAAAAGAACAGGAAATGAGGTTTTTGTGACATGTGAAAATTTTATGAAATTTAAATTATAGTATCCGTACATAAAGTTGTATTGAAAGCGAGTCATGCTTATTTGTTACAAACCTTTGATGGTTCCCTACTACTTAAAGTACTGATAGGCAACAGTGACCTCTGACCCACTGCCTGTTTATGGGTCAATTAAGTTTTCCTGGACATTGGTACATTGATTCATTTATGTATTATATTTGGTTGCTTTCCTGCTAAGGTGGCTGAGTCGGGTAGTTTGACAGAACCATGTGGCCCTTTTTGTGTAAAGTTGCTTACCCATTTTCAGTATATCCTTCAATTTATGATAATCTGATTATCGTTAAGATTTCAAGGTTTAAAAATTGATATTTTGTAATACATTTTGAGTCTAAAACATGAAGATTCATTTCATAAGTAAGGCATGATGATTATTAAATCTTTTTGAAGTGAAGCCCAGAGAAGGGAGATTATCACATAAGGAGCTGAGAGTCATCATTTGACTCCTTAACCTAGCTCTCTAGGCCAGCCTGCCTTCTTTTTGAAATACCTCCCTTACCCTTGTGACCACAGTCATATTTCTCAAATTATCAATCCCAGTTTTTCAAAAATGAATCATTGGATGAAAATGTAATTTGTATGAGTACAAATGATTACTTAAATTATATTTACAAATCTGGATTTTTTTTTTTTTTTTTTTTTTTTTTGTTGAGATGGAGTCTTGCTACGTTGCCCAGGCTGGAGTGTAGTGGCGTGATCCTGGTTCACTGCGATTTCTGCCTCCTAGGTTCAAGCAATTCTCCTGCCTTGGCCTCCTGAGTAGCTGGGATTTACAGGCACCCGCCACCATGCCTGGCTAATTTTTATATTTTAGTAGAGATGAGGCTCTGCCATGTTGGCCAAGGCTGGTCTCAAACTCCTGACCTCAATGATCCACCCGCCTCGGCCTCCCAAAGTGCTGGGGTTACAGGCATGAGCCCCCATGCCCATCCCTGGGTTTCTAAAATGTGCATCCTAAGATACCAATTGTGGTTTTCTTTCTGCAGGTTTCATTTTCCTTTGGAATTTCTGCTTTACAGACAGAGCAATGGCAGCCCGAGTACTTATAATTGGCAGTGGAGGAAGGGAACATACGCTGGCCTGGAAACTTGCACAGTCTCATCATGTCAAACAAGTGTTGGTTGCCCCAGGAAACGCAGGCACTGCCTGCTCTGAAAAGATTTCAAATAACGGTAATCATGTTTTAAAGTGGGGAGTAATTGTTATGATTTGTTATTAATGGTATGCTGTCAACCGTATCTGTGCTTTATGATAATAAAGATAGGCCGGGCACAGTGGCCATGCCTGTAATCCCAGCACTTTGGGAGGCCAAGACTGGTGGATCATGAGGTCAGGAGATCCAGACCATCCTGGCTAATACGGTGAAACCCCGTCTTTACTAAAAGTACAAAAAATTAGCTGGGCATGGTGGCGGCACCTGTAGTCCCAGCTACTCGGGAGGCTGAGGCAGGAGAATGGTGTGAACCCATGGGGCGGAGCTTGCAGTAAGCCGAGATCACGCCACTGCACTCCAGCCTGGGCGACAGAGCAAGACTCTGTCTCAAAAAATAAAATATAGATTGCTCTTCAGGGTTGAGTGCTTTCCTTGACCTTAAAATTTATTTGGTAATTTGAATGCTTGTCCTATGTTATAAACTTAAGGTAACCTATTGTTCAGAATATGGCATTTCCTTATCTTAAACTGTTGTAAACCTGATAAAACACATCCATTGGAAAAGTAATAAGTGCCTAATACAGATTAAAGGCATTTTTGATGTGTATTTTTGTAAATGAAAAGTTTAGTATTGCTAGTAAATACAACTTTCTGGCCACGTGCAGTGGCTCACACCTATAATCCCAGCGCTTTGGGAAGCCAAGGTAGAAGGATTTCTTGAGCCCAGGAGTTTGAGACCAGCCTGGGCAATGTAGTGAGACCCGATCTCTACAAAAAAAATACAAAAATTAGCCAGGCATGGTGGTGCCCATCTATAGTGCCAGCTACTTCGGAGGCTGAGGTGGGAGGATTGCTTGCATCCAGGAGGTCAAGACTGTAGTGAGCTGTGATCTTGCCACTACACTACAGCCAGGGCAACAGAGTAAGAGAGACCGTGTCTCAAAAAACAAAGTTTTTAACAGTTGTAACTCTAATAGATAGATCTCAACCCTTCTCTCTCTCTCTCTCTTTTTTTTTTTTTTTTTTTTTTTTGAGACAGAGTCTCACTCTGTCACCCATACTGGCGTGTAGTACAGCATGATCTCAGCTCACTGCAACCTCTGGCTCCTGCGTTCAAGCGATTCTTCTGCCTCAGTCTCCCGAGTAGCTGGCACATGCTGCCACACCTGGCTAATTTTTTGTATTTTTGGTAGAGACCGGGTTTCACTATGTTCGTCAGGCTGGTCTCCAACTCCTGACCTCAGGTGATCTGCCCGCCTCGGCCTCCCAAAGTGCTGGGATTACAGGCATGAGCCACCGTGCCCGGCCTCCACCCTTATCTCTTAATTGACAAAAATGAAAAAATGGTCAGTTCATATCCTACATTAAGCTTGTCAGTGGCTTCAGAAACTCCTCAGTACTCTAATAATACTTAGAATAAAACTCAAACTCCTTTCCATGCCTTACAAAGCCCTTCGTGCAGTCTGTGTTCTGCCTGCTCTTCCATCCTGATCTTTTATATCCCTTTTTCTCTTTTCAGTGTACCCTATCAATGCTGTCCTACCAGTTTCCCAAGCAGAAGCTTGCTGCCTTGGACTTTATATTTGTTCCCACCCTTTACCATGACTGTCTCATTATTCAGAGTTCCACTAAAATGTTAGCCTCCTTAATTATATCTCTCCTACAGTTTCTTACTAAAAGCAAATGTCCATCCCCATTTCATTTGTTTATGATCATGAATGTCTGTGTTTGTTTTTACCTCACTATTGTCTGTCTCCTATGTTCTTTTCCCCCACTAGAATATAATCTCTAGAATGTAAGCTCCATGAGGGCAAGGAACTTGTCTGTCTTGTTTCGCATGGTGTACACAGTGCTTAGTTCCCTATGTCGCACGTAGTATTTATGGAAAAAAGAGCATGGACCCAGCAAGCCACAAACTGTGAGAGGATAGTGGCATGTATATAAGACCAAAAAGAATAAGAAAAAGACAAATTAGAAAATACCTCCTTTTCTGGGATCTTAGTTCTAGGGGTGAGGTATTATATCTGTTTATTAGAGAATTGGGACAGTTTATGTGCAATTGAGGTCATACAGGCCCGCCCATCAAAATCTCTTAAGATTGTCATGAGACTGCTACAAGTAGTCTTGTAAGACTACTAAGAGACCTCTTCCTCTTGTTGCCCTCTTCTATACTGATAATAGTTGACCCTGCTCAGCCTAGTTGTGTTCAGGACCACTAATCCAAAGTGCATGGTACTCCATCCTAATCACAGTCAGGTAGTTGCTACAGATTGAGGACCCTACCTTTTCTGGACTTGGACCCTATACAGTAGTCACCAGCCTATCCACAATTTCACTTTCCACAGTTTCAGTTACCCACAGTCAGCTGTAGTCCAAAAATATTCAATGGAAAATTTCAGAAATAATTCATAAATTTTACATTGCACACCAGTCTAGCATAGCATGATGAAATTTTGTGCCGTCCAACCTGATAGGTGAATCTTGTCCAGCATATCCATGTTGTTACTTAGTCACCCTGTCGGTTATCAGATTGACTATCATGTTATCTCAGTGCACGTGCTCAGGTAACCCTGTTTTACTTAATAGTGGCTCCAAAGCTGATGCTGGCATATAGTTATAATTGTTCTATTTTAGTATTAGTGATAGTTAATCTTTTACTGTGCATAATTTGTAAATTAAACTTTATCATAGGTATTTACATATAGGAAGAAACATACTATATATAGGGTTCAGCACTGTGGTTTCAGGCATCCACTGGGGTCTTAGAATGTGTCTTCCAAGGATAAGGAGGGACAACTGTACCTCACAAATACCACTTCTTGCACTCTACCAATGGCAGAGTGTTTGTAGACTTCAGCTGACTTAACAAATAGTGGTCCAGACACAGTGAAGCAGGAGAGCACCTATGGAGCCAAACGATGTTCAGTTGTGGTTGATTCTACCACTAGTTACTTAGAAGTCCACAGAGGAAAATTTACCTGACTTGTAGGTTGGAAAAGAGAGGTTCCTCTTAAAAGTGTCATTGAGTTCTTAGCTTAAACAGCTCTGCCCCAAAGAGATCCCTCCTGTCTCAACCTGAAATAGCTTCTCGAATTCTCTCCATATCAAATTTGCTTAATTTGTTCATATTTGCTATTCTTTTGTTTGTATATTTATTACCCAGCATTCCTACAGCGGATTGTAAACATGTTAAGTATAGGGAACTTGCTTGTGTTGACATCTTTTTTTTTTTTTTTTTTTTTTTTTTGAGACGGAGTTTCACTCTTGTTACCCAGGCTGGAGTGCAATGGCGTGATCTCGGCTCACTGCAACCTCCGCCTCCCTGGTTCAAGCGATTCTCCTGTCTCAGCCTCCCGAGTAGTTGGGACTACAGGCACTTGCCACCACTCCCAGCTACTTTTTGTGTTTTCAGTAGAGACGGGGTTTCATTATGTTGTTCAGGCTGGTCTCAAACTCCTGACCTCAGGTGATCCACCCACCTCGGCCTCCCAAAGTGCTGGGATTATAGGCGTGAGCCACTGCACCCAGCCGTGTTGACATCTTAATACCAGTGCTGAAGATAGTACCTAGCACATAGTGGATTTTTAGTATAATTGAATGATTGACATTAAAAGACCAATTTCTGAATATATCTTATGGTATGTTTTTTGTTTAATACGTGATCAATATTAGTGACATGAACAATATCATGGAGATGGTACTTTGTGGCTCTTTTGGGAAGTTTATTGGTGTTTTCATCTGTCTACAATGAGAACTGAGAACTGAGCTTTGTTGGTTAGCCTAATGCACCCTCGTCTGAATTTCAAATGTTGAAACTGTCATCTCTGCCATTATAAGAAAACCAACAGATAACAAGCATACAAAATTACAGAACTTTGTTTTTAGTGAGACTCTTAGTTTACTTAAGAGGAATGTTTTTGTAAATGCAGTGTTTTTTCTGTTTACAGCCATCTCAACCAGTGACCACACTGCCCTTGCTCAATTCTGCAAAGAGGAGAAAATTGAATTCGTAGTTGTTGGACCAGAAGCACCTCTGGCTGCTGGTAAAGTTTGTTTCTGTTTATTGTTGCAGTATATTCAGTGCAAACAGGAGCTTAGGGATCATCTAATCCAATTTAGTTTACAGATGAGAATTTGTAATATTATATTGGAAAAAGAACTTTCACTCTCGAAATTTATGGAGTCTAGATTTTTTTTCCCAAGCATCAATTATATGATGAGTTAGAGATCAAATTTGCAGCCATGGAAAACATTTTATATGTCTTTATTCTGCTGTATTCTGGTGTGTGTTTAATAATCCATATATGCAAATATAACAACTTTTGATAGATTTGAATAACGTTAGTAGCATTTTATGTCTATCCAGTAGACAACATGAAAAAGTTAGTTATCCTCTGCCACCAGTCATCTGCCTTGTCTAGATGTAGATATAGTCTGATACTAATTCATCTTCAGGCTGAAAAGTTCCTGGGGAGACCTTGGTTCACCTAAGGCTACTGTTTTCATCCACAGGGATTGTTGGGAACCTGACGTCTGCAGGAGTGCGATGCTTTGGCCCAACAGCAGAAGCGGCTCAGTTAGAGTCCAGCAAAAGGTTTGCCAAAGAGTTTATGGACAGACATGGAATCCCAACTGCGCAATGGAAGGCTTTCACCAAACCTGAAGAGGCCTGCAGCTTCATTTTGAGGTAGGTAAATGGTTGCCTGTGAAGGACAGTTGTTTAGTTGTGATATTTAAATACACAGGTCAATGGCCAGGTGCGGTGGCTCACCTGTAATCCTAGCACTTTGGGAGGCCGAGGCAGGTGAATCACTTGAGCTCAGGAGTTAGAGACCAACCTGGGTAACATGGTAAAACCCTGTCTCTACAAAAAATACAGAAAAAAAAATAGCCAGGCATGGTGGTGTGCACCTGTAGTCCCAGCTACTCTAAAGGCCAAAGTGGGAGGATCACTTCAACCCAGGAGGCGGAGGCTGCACTGAGCCAGGATTGCGCCACTCCACTGCAGCCTGGGTGACAGAGTGAGAGCCTGTCTCAAAAAAATTAAATAAATATACAGGTTACTTCTGTGTTGAAAATGTAATGCTAGGTCCTTAGGCTGTCACAAGATTATGGTAAAATAATTATGGAAAAAGCTTTCTCAATAAATATTATGTGGGTTGTCTTTTTCCAGAACCAAAATAAAATGGGATTCTATGCATATAGAGTTTATACGATCTTGTGGCCTTGCAGGAAGGTGACATGTTTAATAAAATCTGAGTAGCTCCTCGGGGGTAAAATACACTTGGTTCTGCAGTTTTGCTCTCTTTTCACAGCCATGTTTTTGGTTTTTGGGTCCCCGCCCCCACCATCCCCCCAGTCTGAGACGGGGTCTCTTTCTGTCACCCAGGCTGGAGTGCAGTGGTGTGATCTTGGCTCACTGCGACCTCTGCCTCCTGGACTCAAGCAATCCTCCCACCTCTGTCTCACAAGTAGCTGGGACAATGGGCACACACCACCACTCCCAGCTAGTTTTTGTATTTTTTATAGAAGGCTGAGTTTTACCATGTTGCCCAGGCTGGTCTCAAACTCTAGAGCTCAAGAGATCCACGTCCCTCTGACTCCCAAAGTGCTGGGATTACAGGCGTGAGCCATCACACTAGGCCTCACAGCCAGATTGACAAACACGGTGGCATCTTACAACATAAAGAACATTGATTTTTTTTTTTATCATAAATAATTAACCAGAGTGAGTAATCATCACTTGGTCATCTGCCACCACTATTGCAATTTTAGATTTCAAAATTAAGCATCCTTTGTTCTCTACTACGTGGAAAGCATTGAGCAATTAATGAGTGTTAGTAGACACATGCCTTTGCCCTTTTTTTGTTGACATTTCTGCTACCTGGTATGTTTTCCTTTCAGTTGTATCAGTTTCATTTTTTTCCATTCATATCCTACAGAGTTTCTTAAACACTGAATATTATCATTTCCTAGTAGCCAGATGCCTTGAGCAAGTAACAGTTTTGTTACTTACTTTGGGTAAGTCTCCTTCCAGACCCCCAGGCCCACTTGATAATTTAGTATGTGTACTCCCAGAAATGGTCTGTGTATGCTTGTTGTTATATAGCTGCATTTTCTACTTGAATGAGAGTACTGTTTGCTACTTTGTATCTTAGAGATTATACCATATGTACTCTATACACCTATTCTTCAAAGATATTGCCTATATAATCTCATGATAAATGAAAAAAGCAAAGTTATAGGTACTGTATGATTACAACTATAAAGAAATATGTAGGGGAAAACATCCTGGTGGGAAGTACATCAAAATGTGTTGAAATGATAAGTAATTTTTTTCATTCTGCTTTTCAGTCATTGCTATAGCGTATCGTTACAAAATCCCACAGCATTTTAAAATCTTGAGTTGTAGCATTTTGTTGGATGTTGAAGATTACTCTGTCTTTACAGTGCAGACTTCCCTGCTTTGGTTGTGAAGGCCAGTGGTCTTGCGGCTGGAAAAGGGGTGATTGTTGCAAAGAGCAAAGAAGAGGCCTGCAAAGCTGTACAAGAGATCATGCAGGTAGGCTGAGTCTTTTGAAAAAATTTACCTTTCTATTCATACTGAATAAATACCCTTTTAAGTTTAAAAAATGTTCCTCACAATAAGGAAAATCTATTTTGCAAACACATGGGTAAGTTATTTTTTATAATTCCATATGTTATAATCCATCTCTACAAAATAGTTATTACAGATTTACATGGTAAACTAAACCATGATTGTATTATTTTGAAGTAAATTGTAACATCCTTTGTTGTCTGCCACTGAAAGAAAATCCTCAGACTCTAAAACATATAAATAAATTATGTCCATCCGTGAGGACAAAAGTATTTGTCCCATGTGTCCCGGGTCTAAGAGAAGTAACTTAATGAATGAATATGCTTTGTCTTTCGTGATCGATCTTTGTTGTTGTGGGTTTTCTGTCCTTGTAGAAATCTACTTTCACAGGCATTCTTTAGTATAGTTATTACAGCCAAACATGTATAATTATAATCAGAAGTGAGGATTAAGTGGTGATAATGAAAACATCTGTTTTTCCCATACGTTATTTGAAACTGGATCACCAAATCTTCAGGAGAATATTAGAGATATGTTTATTCCATCTATACCAGTGTTTGCTACACTATTGCCACATTAAAAATAGGAAACATTTATATGTTCCCTTTGAGTCTTTCTGAAAGGGAAAGAAAAATTGCAGTACTCACTGGTTCATAATACAAATGCTAGATAATGCTAAAAGTCAACTAAGTAAATATTGAAAACTTACCAAACCTCTTTTTTTTAAAAAAAAAAAAAAAAAACTTACAATCAGGAGAAAGCCTTTGGGGCAGCCGGAGAAACAATTGTCATTGAAGAACTTCTTGACGGAGAAGAGGTGTCTGTATGTATATCCATCTTTTTGGCTTTTATAGTGTGTAAGAAGCTGTCATCTGACCTATGTACCCCAGAAAAGACTTGATATACTCTGGTTGCTTCATCTAGAAACGTAAACCCAGCAGTTACAAAGGAATTTGTATACTTTTATTGTTGGGGGGTGCAAATGAAAAAAGAATTGATCCTCTGTTAGTCATCCCTAGTGTGTTAGTGGGGCACTTGGACTTATATCACACATTATTGAGGTTCTGAATTAATTCAAACATTCATGCTTTTTCTTTCACATACAGTTTATTGCAAAATAAATAAAGTCACCTTAAACCAAGTTTTAATGCCTGGAAACTTAAAGTGGCGAAAAGGTTGAAATCTTTTACTTTGAGAGTAGCTTGGTTTTTTTCTAACTTACCCAAAAATTACAAATCCTTCAGAAGTTGAGTACATTGTGATTCTTGATGTATGTAGCTTAATGTTATTGATGTTTTAGTTCATTTTTCTGTTTAAAAAAAAAAAAAAACTTTTCCTCAAAGAACTAAGGGACATATAGTTTGCGTTACTAAATTTCTTTTTTTACTTTTTCACAGTTAACATAAATGGACTATTTTGTTTTCTTTATAGTGTCTGTGCTTCACTGATGGCAAGACTGTGGCCCCCATGCCACCGGCGCAGGACCATAAGCGATTACTGGAGGGAGATGGCGGCCCTAACACAGGGGGAATGGGAGCCTATTGTCCGGCCCCTCAGGTACTTCCTGAAGACTCTGCTGAAGTCTTGTAGTAGTTTGATTTTCTCAGAGAACTCTTAGATGATACTTTATATTTTGTTTTGTTTTCTGTTTGTTTGTTGCTATAAATTGTTACTAATCAGCAATTAAATGAAGAGTATCTTTTCTGGTCTCTAAAAATAACTTTTCCTAAAAGCCTTTTTTGAAGAACCAAAATAAACCAATCTGTAGTGTGGATTGAATAGATCCTCCTATTCCCTCCTCTCTACACCCAATTTTTAACACATGGGAGCCTGTTGTGGTCTTGGATTCATCTTTGGATATCCGTGGTTCAGCACAAAAGTGTTGTCTGTGTGTATCTGTGTGTATGTGATGTGAATTGAGAACCAAGTCAGATCAGAATTTGTTCTGATCTTTCTACTTCATAACAGAGAACACGTTTCCAAACAATTTCTGCACAGTTTTTGTTATTGTTTTTTGAGACGGAGTCTCGCTCTGTCACCAGGCTGGAGTGCAATGGAGAGATCTTGGCTCACTACACCCTCCACCTCCCGGATTCAAGCAGTTCTCCTGCCTCAGCCTCCCGAGTAGCTGGGACTACAGGCGCACACCACTACGCCAGGCTAATTTTTGTATTTTTAGTAAAGGTGGGGTTTCACCATGTTGGCCAGTGTATGGTCTCGATCTCTTGACCTTGTGATCTGCCTGCCTCGGCCTCCCAAAGTGCTGGGATTACAGGTGTGAGCCACCACGCCTGGCCTTCTACACAGTTTTTATTAGGAATTTGTGTTCTTGGCATATATTACCAGTAGGTTAGCAATCCAGAAACTCATCTGTTCTTTTCATTGATGATACTCATAATTGTTTGTGCTAATATAGTGCCCCTTTACATATTTTTCTTGCTTAAAAGATTAAAAATAGGCTGGGCATGGTGGCTCACACCTGTAATTGCAGCACTTTGGGAGGCCGAGGCGGGTGGATCACCTGAGGTCAGGAGTTTGAGACCAGCCCGACCAACATGGAGAAACCCCGTCCCTACTGAAAATACAGAAATTAGCCAGGCACGTTGGCACATGCCTATAGTCCCAGCTACTCGGGAGGCTAAGGCAGGAGAATCACTTGAACCCAGGAGGCAGAGGTTGTGGTGAGCCAAGATTGCACCATTGCACTCCAACCTGGACAATAAGAGCAAAACTCCACCTCAAAAAAAGAAAGATTAAAAATAAACTTCTTTTTTTTTTTTTAAAGACTTCATAAGTATAGGCCAGCCAGGCATGGTGGTTCACACCTGTAATCCCAACACTTGTATTAAAACTACCATTTGGTAATAGTGGATTCTAGGAACTATCTCGGGGTCTAATTTTTACAATTATATTCATAAGTCCAGATTCTTAACCTATATAGGCTTATGAAATATGCAGCATATACTGGGAAAGATACAAAGAAGCCTTAGGGTAGGAGAGAACTTCTTTCATTTCTGTTAGGTTTTGGGAAATTATTTTTGGCTAGTTCTTTTAAAGGTGTGTGTTCTTGAAAATCATAAAGCTAAAATACCTACTTGATGTCATTGTGAAGGTTGAGAAAGTTTAAATCTTTCAAGTTCAAAGTGCTCAGCCTGTTTCAGGTAGTAAAAAAATGAGTTATCCTCATCATCCCCTTCTGTTGTCCCATGTAATACCTCTTAGACTTTTTAAGTTACCTGTTACATTTAAGTGTTTCTGCATGTTCTCCAGGTTTCTAATGATCTATTACTAAAAATTAAAGATACTGTTCTTCAGAGGACAGTGGATGGCATGCAGCAAGAGGGTACTCCATATACAGGTAGGCCCACTCACGTTACTATGGAAGCCACCTGTAGAGTAACTTTGCACTTTTGATAAAACTTATTTTCCATTCTCTTTTTTTCATCAGTTTTTAATGGACCATTTTTTTAATGTTTATGATTTTTCCTAAACTTTGATTATTAGAAGTTTATGTAGTAGATTTTGTATTTGTAATACAGTGTCTTCATTATCGATTTTCTTTCTCTCTCTCTTTTTTTTTTTTTTTTTTAAATGAAGGTATTCTCTATGCTGGAATAATGCTGACCAAGGATGGCCCAAAAGTTCTAGAGTTTAATTGCCGTTTTGGTGATCCAGAGTGCCAAGTGGGTAAAAATATCGAAGTATTACTTAGTAGAAGATACGTGTTATTTTAATCTTGGAATTTATCAGCCTGGAAGTAATTACCTTTGGGAAGTTCGTGCAAGTTCTGCTAGTACCCCAGTGAATACAATGTTTAAGGAAAACTAACATTTATCTCACCTGCCATGTGGATTATGTTTTTCCAGGTAATCCTCCCACTTCTTAAAAGTGATCTTTATGAAGTGATTCAGTCCACCTTAAATGGACTGCTCTGCACATCTCTGCCTGTTTGGCTAGAAAACCACACCGCCCTAACTGTTGTCATGGCAAGTAAAGGTTATCCTGGAGACTACACCAAGGGTGTAGAGATAACAGGTGAGTGTCAGGGAGCAAGAGGGTGGAGTACAATGTGACAAGTGCCAGCGCCACAGCAGACCTCCCTCCCACACTAAGGCTTGCTCTTGATAAGAGTGTGAAGCCATCAGAAACCTTTCAGAGGGTCCTAACCTAACCATGTTGCTTATTGGATATGTGTGTTCAAATATCCACAATTACTATATTCAAAGAACCGTTGATTTTCCTTCCTGTGCAAGGAAGACATAAGTGGCAGAACCATATCTCCAGAGTGTCACCCAGTGCAGCCTTCCACCTGCCTAGAGCCAGGGTAATAATGAGATTCTCTGAGAGTCAGAGGGACATTAGTGCAAAGTATATCAATAAGATACATTTTGGAGATTAGGACTCTGAATTATCACAAATGCATACAGTCTTGTGTGGTTTGACACCCAGTTTACAGTGCACCCCATAGTCACTTGGATGGTAAAATTCAAATAGTTTCAGTTTGTCCTTTTTTTTTTTTTTTCTCTTTATAGTAGGTGAAAAATCTCGTTAAATGATGTTAAATCTAAGGTCCAGTGCCGTAAGTCCAAAGGCAGACCTCTGTAACCCCTAGCAGGCTATAGTTTGGCCACTCTCAGTGCTCCAGTAGTGTATTTGGGGGTTTCCTTTTTTTTTTTTTTTTTTGAGATGGACTCTAGCTCTGTCGCCTAGGCTAGAGTGCAGTGGTACGCTCGGCTCACTGTAACCTCCCCTTGGGTTCAAGTGATTCTTCTGGCTCAGCCTCCCAAGTAACTGGATTACAGGTGTGCACCACCAGGCCCAGCTAATTTCTGTATTTTTAGTAGAGATGGGGTTTCACCATGTTGGCCTGGCTGGTCTTGAACTCCTGACCTCAAGTGATCCGCTCACCTCGTCCTCCCAAAGTGTTGGGATTACAGGCGTGAGCCACCGTGTCCAGCCTCCAATAGTGTATTTAATTCAACAACCCCATAAACTGTCTTGCCCAGACACCAAGTCCATTGCCTTATGAATCCCATGCATGGCAGCTAGGCAGTTAGGAACTGATTGCTTTTGAATATGGACAAAGAAAGAAATGGGCCAGAACCAAGATCCCTTGCATTGGTGAAATTTCCCTAAGATTAAAATAACAAGTATGTAATAGTTATACCAGAGCAATATTGAGTTTTACTGATACTGGCAGGCAGAGTAGCCATTCAGAATCACTAAATGGCTTTCTGTTGTAAAAACACTCACGGAAGATGTATATTAACAAACTACCAAATAGGACGCCGAGAAGAGAAATAGAGATGGAAAAAGAAGACCACTGGGAGATAAAAGAATGTTTTTCTAAAAATTAAGAAAAAGTGTTATCTTTATATAAACTGTCCCCTTTGGCCACTTTAGAATTTAGAATACATAGTCTCATAATATTTTAAGTATAAAGCTGTATCTGAGAGCTTAAAATAATTCAAAATACAATGAAGCGGTAGGAATTTGGGGCTGACCCCAAAACTTAAGCCGAGTTTGTCTTAAAATGGTACAAGTGTTATATTACTGAAAAGATTACTTATGTTTTGCATTTTACTGATCATATTGGTTATATTTAAAAGAAAGAAACTTAAGTCTCATGGTCTGGTTAAAAAAAAAAATTGAAAAAGAAAAAAGAAGCAGCTTTAATTGAATAACTATGATGAAAACAAGTTCCTTTACAGGCCAGGCACTGTGGCTCACACCTATAATCCTAGCACTTCAGGAGGCTGAAGCGGGCGGATCACTTGAGGTCAGGAGTTCGAGACCAGCGTGGCCAACATGGTGAAACCCTGTCTCTACTAAAAATACAAAAACAATTAGCCAAGTATAGTGGTGCATGCATGTAATCCTAGCTACTCAGGAGGCTGAGGTGACAGGATGGCTTGAACCCAGGAGGTAGAGGTTGCAGTGAGCTGAGATCGCACCACTGCACACTCCAGCCTGGGTGACAGAGCATCTCTCTCAAAAAGAAAAGGAAGTTCTCTTAGTCTTAAGGAAAAGATTAATGTGATCAGATGCAGGATTTTTCATTCTTCCTCATTAAACAATTGCTTTTATAATGAGATTTACGATAACACGAGAATTTAGGTTGTCATCCTAAAATAGCAGACAGTTCTTAGGAGAAAGATCTATTTACTATTATATTGCATTAAGACCTGTCAGGGCCGGGCGCAGTGGCTCACGCCTATAATCCCAGCACTTTGGGAGGCCAAGGCAGGCAGATCAGAAGGTCAAAAGATTGAGACCATCCTGGCCAACATTTTGAAACCCCGTCTCTACTAAAAATACAAAAAGTATCTGGGCACGGTGGTGCATGCCTGTAGTCCCAGCTACTCATGAGGCTGAGGAAGAATTGCTTGAACCCAGGAGGCAGAGGTTTGCAGTGAGATCGCGCCAGTGCACTCCAGCCTGGCAACAGAATGAGACTCAGTCTCAAAAAATAAAAGAAGACCTGTCTGATAGGGAAGGTTCTTTTAAGTGAGATAAAGATCTTTAATTTTTAATTTTTATGTATTTATTTATTTTGAGACAGGGTCTCACTCTATTGCTGCTTTTGGAGCAGTGGTGCGATCACACCTCACTGCAGCCTCAAACTCCCAAATTCAAGTGATCCACCTCAGCCAGTGTGTGCCACCACACTTGGCTATTATTTATTTATGTACGTATGTATGTAGAGGCAAGGTCTTGCTCTGTTGCCCAGGCTGGTCTCGAACTCATGGACTCAAGCAATCCTTGCCTCAGCCTCCCAAAGTGCTGGGATTAGAGGCCTGAGCCACCGTACCTAGTCAAGTTTTAGAAAAGAGAAAAAACTTGTGGAAATTATAAATCACTTCACAGTGTGAAATACCATTGCTATTTCAAATCATATGTCAAATATGCTCTCTTCTAGGGTTTTCCGAGGCTCAAGCTCTAGGACTGGAGGTGTTCCACGCAGGCACTGCCCTTAAAAATGGCAAAGTAGTAACTCATGGGGGTAGAGTTCTTGCAGTCACAGCCATCCGGGAAAATCTCGTATCAGCTCTCGAGGAAGCCAAGAAAGGACTAGCAGCTATAAAGTTTGAGGGAGCAATTTATAGGAAAGACATTGGCTTTCGTGCCATAGCTTTCCTCCAGCAGCCCAGGTAAAACTCTAAGCAAGTTAGCTGTAGTGCCATTTCAGAAACTGGCCTAAATGGCTATGTAGAACACTTCATTGACCGTATAATAAGTCATTCAGTATTCTTTTCTCTCTATGGGACTGATATGATCTTGGTTTGTATTTTGTTTGAATCAAAACTGGTTACAACAATATTCAAATTAAATGGGAAAAACTTCATGATAGCTTAAGTTTGGAAAGTTTAGCAAAATCACAGTGGTACTGATTTTTATTTATTTTGTATTTTTTTAATTTTTTTTAACTTTTTGAGACAGGATCTCCCTCTGTCGCCCAAGTTCTCATGCCTCAGCCTCCCAAGTAGCTGGGACTGCAGGCGCAGGCCACCACACCTGGCTAATTTTTTTGTATTTTTTGTAGAGATGAGGTTTCACCATGCTGCCAAGGCTAGTCTCAAACTTCTGGGCTCAAGTGATCCTCCTGCTTTGGCCTCCCAAAATGCTGGGATTATAGGCATGAGCCACTGCACTTGGCCTGATACTGATGTTTATTCCTTGCTTTATCACATAGTATTGTATTTGAAACATAGTTCATGGTTTTATCAAAGAACTCGAGATGAGAATATTGGTCATCTAACTTTGCAATTTGATTTGATTATACTATAAATTTTGACAGTCTCATTTTATTGCGTTTGTATCTGTTACTAAAATGTATTTTTTGACCTCTTACTGATGCATTGTTGGTATGTACAAACTGTTGACTTGTAAAATCAATAAAGTCTTAGTTGGAAATGGGTATTTTGATTTCTTTCTTTCTTTCTTTCTTTTTTTTTTTTTTTTTTTTGGAGACAGTTTTGCTCTTGTCACCCAGGCTGGAGTGCAGTGGCGTGATCTCGGCTCACCGCAACCTCCACCTCCTGGGTTCAAGTGATTGCCCTGCCTCAGCCTCCCGAGTAGCTGGGATTACAGGTGCCTGCCACCGTGCCCAGGTAATTTTTGTGTTTTGGGTAGAGATGGGGTTTCACCTTGTTGGCTGGGCTGGTCTCGAACTCCTGACCTCGGGTGATCCCTGCCTCAGCCTCCCAAAGTACTGGGATTAACAGGCGTGAGCCACTGCACGTGGCCTGATTTCTTAAAAATATATCACATTTACTATTGTTCATGAAGTTCATTTACGGATAATGAATAAATTTTAAGACAAAATTTTTTACCAACTTAATTCAAGCTATACTGTTACCAAGAGGCAGATACTGTAAAGTTTAAACATTTTCCAAGAATCGAGAACATTAAAATGCCATGCTAGAAATTTATTTTTCATTTAAAAATGACTAGAGTCCATTGAAATGACCTGTTTGAAGGGACTGCAATCTCAATTCTAGTCTGAATTATTTAAGTTATAAAGATGGAAAAATTGAAATGCCACAGTGTTAGTTGCTACCGGAGAAAGAGTTTTTTAAAATCAGTCTTTGTTTACTATCTGAGAGTGACCCTGGGCTGCTGTCTTAATTTGAGTTAACTGCCAATGCACTCAACTGTATTCTGGCACCTTGTTTTTTTAATTATTATTATTATTTTTATTTTGTATGCTTTTTAAAAAGACACTTCTATAAAAGCAAGCCAGCTTGTTTTTAATAAAACACATATTTATTCATGTATCACTGCATCCCAGCAGGCCAGAGTTCTCATTTTTGCAAGTGAAGACTACAAAATCTGCAGTGTCATTCACGGATTTGATCTCTAAATGTGCTGCTCCAACTTGTAGGTCTATACAGAAGGAAATGTGATGCCCTGAATATCTTTGCCTGGTTTTGCTTTTGTCATAGTGTTTCTTACTGTCCTCAGCTATTAGGAAACAGATACAGTTATATATTATTGCAATTAAGAACTCAGTTTATTTAGGGATACTTTGTGTACAGTTTTTACAAACCTGATTTTCATTTTTTTGACTTGATTAGGCATTCCTCTTGTTCATACCAAAAGTAAACTGAGAAAAGTTGTAGCAAAATATCAGTATGTCTACTTTTAAATAGATGGTTGCTAGGGTCTGGGGGTAGTGGGGAATGGGGAGTTATTTAATTGGGACAGAGGTTCAGTTTTACAAGATAAAGGGTTATGGAGATGGATGATGGGGCTGGGTGCATAACATTATCATTGTATTCAATACCATTGAACTTAAAAATGGTTAAGATGCTGAACTTTATGTTGTGTATATTTTACCTTAGTAAAAAAAATAGTTTAAATCAGTATGTTTAGCAGCCTGTGAGAAGTACTTCTGGAAGAAATAGGTGATTGAGTTAGAATAGCGGTTCTTGGGGATGATGTAATCAAATCAGCTGGGGAGATTGTTCAAACTTGTTTCAATTCCCAGAGCCTGCCCTAGACCAGTTAAATCAGAATCTGTATAGATGTGGGCCCAAGCACTGACTTTTAAAAATTTTAAGCACTTTAGGGGATGTGAAAATCACTGGGGATACCTTCTGCTTTAAATAATATTTTAAGATTAAAATAATTTTCCCTGGTGTTTAGGTGATGACTTGTTTTTAATTCTTTAGGGGTTTGACTTACAAGGAATCTGGAGTAGACATTGCAGCTGGAAATACGCTGGTCAAGAAAATTCAGCCTTTAGCAGAAGCCACTTCCAGATCAGGTCAGTGATCCTATACTTTGCTAATTCATTAACGTTGATATACATTGTGAATGGATTTGGGTTTTATATTTAACAGGAATTTTTCCAAAGTAATATTTGGTTACTGTAAGTTTTGCCCCGCTTAAGCCAAACCCAGTCTTCTGCTTTCTTATCTTTAATATTAAGGAAAGTGTTTATCATCTGTGATGTTAAACTCAAAAGGATATGTATGCTCCTTTACTCTTTTTTTTTTTTTTTTTTTTGAGATGGAGTCTTGCTCTCTCTCCCAGGCTGGAGTGCAATGGCACCATCTCGGTTCACTGCAACTTCTACCTCCTGATTTCAAGCGATTCTCCCTCCTCAGCCTCCCGAGTAGCTGGGATTATAGGCACCCACCATCATGCCTGGCTAATTTTTGTATTTTTGTAGAGACATGATTTCACCATGTTAGCCAAGCTGGTTTTGAACTCCTGACCTCAGGCGATCCGCCCACCTCAGCCTCCCAAAGTGCTGGGATTACAAGTGTGAGCCACCACATCTGGCTGGTCCTTTACTATTTAATTACTGTCTTAATCAATTCTTTGAGCACATGGTGCAGTCTCTCATGCTCAGGAAGGGCATCTCTTGTTTCAGCCATTCTTATGAAGAAGTGGTATGTTTATATGTTATATAAACATTAACATATTGTATGTATGTTATATAAACATATTAACAACATATTAACATATTGTATGTTAATATGTTTAACCTATTAACATGTTACATATTAATTAAATGATTACATTCTCCCAGTTGATTTGATTATGTCATTTCTGAGAACAGCTGTTTCAATCATCTATTTCTTCCAGAAGTATGTCTCAGGCTGCTAAATATACTGATTTTTTTAAACTAGTAGACATTTAAATCATTACACGTTTAATCTATTAAAATGTAGCAAGTAATTAATTTCCTCTCCAACAGGCTGTAAAGTTGATCTTGGAGGTTTTGCTGGTCTTTTTGATTTAAAAGCAGCTGGTTTCAAAGATCCCCTTCTGGCCTCTGGAACAGATGGCGTTGGAACTAAACTAAAGGTAATCAGACACCTTTGTGAATAAAGGCCTTTTATGAAAGATAAGAGGAAGTTTACTGTATGTCAAATATATATTTTTCTTCTCTTGACATAATATGAGCTAAAAAGGACCATACCAAATAACCATGTAAAATGGCTAAAATATCTGCACATTTCTAATAACAAATTATTATTTAGATTATATTTGGATGGAAAGGTACTTTAGAGGATAAAGGGATACTTTTAGAACAAGCAGCTTGTCAGAATTTCGTGTTCTTTTGTTTTTAGGTGTTAAAAGCAGCTAGCCAAATGGATAAGATACAATTTTGAACTTATTCCCTAATGTGGATGTTTATATTGTTCTTATATAGATTGCCCAGCTGTGCAACAAACATGATACCATTGGTCAAGATTTGGTAGCAATGTGTGTTAATGATATTCTGGCACAAGGAGCAGAGCCCCTCTTCTTCCTTGATTACTTTTCCTGTGGAAAACTTGACCTCAGTGTAACTGAAGCCGTTGTTGCTGGAATTGCTAAAGCTTGTGGAAAAGCTGGATGTGCTCTTCTTGGTATGACCAGCCATTTTAATCAATAACATATCTTTCTTATTGTATTTTAGCCCTATGTAAAAATGTGATTGGTGCCAATATAACTAGCAAGGGAGACTGTATATCACAAGATGCAGCAAATGAAATATAGGTAAAACTACTTGAATTAAATTTAGAGCCTGCTACCTTCAAAGCCCTCCTCAAGGGTTTGTCCACTAGACCCGTACTCCTAAACTGTCAGGCCTTATCTTTCTTCCCAATTTTTGGCCACCTTTTAACATCCGCATCAGTCTCAGTAGCCTCCTCAACAAACAGGTCTAGGAGTTATTTCCTCCTTATTGGCCCTACGGTAGAGGCAGATGGGTTCCTGGCATTCCGGATCTTAACTAAAGCCAAATTTTCCCATAGAGTGACATAAATAATATATGCCCAAGTTTTATAGAAGTATCTTTAACTATACATGAAATATTTGAGCAAAATGAATCTATAGGTTGATCAAGAAACAAACCAACCACTTTTTTTTATTTAAAAAAAAAAAGGGTCTGTCTCTGTCACCTAGTTTGGAGTGCAGTGGTTCAATCACAGCTCACTGCAGCCTTGACCTCCTGGGTTCAAGGGATCCTCCTGCCTCAGCCTCCCAAGTAGTTGGGAGCTACAGGCATGTGTCACCACACCCAGCTAATTTTTGTACTTTTTGTAGAGATGGGGTTTTGCCATGTTGCCCAGGCTGGTCTTGAATTGCTGGGCTCAAGCTATCTGCCCATCACAGCCTCCCAAAGAAACTGCCTCTTTTATATGACCATTTCAACCAGAAATTGTGCCATCTTGCATCCCCGCATGTGTGCACCTAATCTCAGCTGGTCTACCCAAGAGCCCTTGAGCACCACCCTAGTCCTCCACATGACCCTTTTCCACTCTGACAAGATGAAAGAAACAACCAAACTAGAGGCACAATTATGTATTGATGGAAAAGGAACAAAAAGAAGGTGGCTCAGCTACAGCAGATGACAAAAACTTCAGTTCTCCTTAAGAAGTTAAGGGTAGGCCGGGCGCGGTGGCTCAAGCCTGTAATCCCAGCACTTTGGGAGGCCGAGACGGGCGGATCACGAGGTCAGGAGATCGAGACCATCCTGGCTGACACTGTGAAACCCCGTCTCTACTAAAAACTACAAAAAACTAGCCGGGCGAGGTGGCGGGCGCCTGTAGTCCCAGCTACTCGGGAGGCTGAGGCAGGAGAATGGCGTGAACCCGGGAGGCGGAGCTTGCAGTGAGCTGAGATCCAGCCACTGCACTCCAGCCTGGGTGGCAGAGCGAGACTCCGTCTCAAAAAAAAAAAAAAAAAAAAAAAAGAAGTTAAGGGTAAACAATATCTCTGGTATTGAAGAGGTGAGTATGTTTACAAATGAAGGACCAGTGATCAACTTTAACAACCCTCAAATGCTGGTAGCATTTCTCTGGGGCAGTAAACACTTTCACCATTACAGGCGATGCTGAGACAAAGCAGCTGACAGAAATGCTACCAGCATCTTAAACCAGCTTGGTGCAGACAGTCTGACTAGTTTAAGGAGACCAACTGAAGCTCTGCCCAAACAGTCTGTGGATGGAAAAGCACTGCTTGCTACTGGAGGGGATGATGATGATGAAGTTCCAGATCTTGTGAAGAGTTTTGATGAGGCTTCTAAGAATGAGGCAAACTGAATTGAGTCAACTTCTGAAGAAGAAAAAATGTGAAGTAACTAGGAGCTGCTATTCTACATTATGACTGCTTTCTAAAATTGTTTATGGATCTCATAAAACCTAGATCTCTAATATTTTAAGCCCCATTCCCCTTGGACACTGCAGCTCTTTTTAGTTTTTGCTTATATATATATTTTTTTCTTTTTGAGATGGAGTCTCGCTCTGTGGCCCAGGCTGGAGTGCTGTGGCACAATCTCGGCTCACTGCAACCTCCACCTCCCGGGTTCAAGCAGTTCTCCTGCTTCATCCTCCCAAGTAGCTGGGATTACAGGCATAAGCCACCACACCTGGCTAATTTTTGTGTTTTTAGTAGAGACAGGGTTTGGCCATGTTGGCCAGGATAGTCTCGAACTCCTGACCTGATCCACCTGCCTCAGCCTCCCAAAGTGCTGGGATTACAGGTGTGAGCCACCACGCCCAGCCCACAATTTATTCTTTGTAGCTAATTAAGCTAAAGCAGCCTGGGAATAAAGTTTGAAACAAACAAAAATTGCCTTTCAACCACCATTTAGAACACAGTTTCTAATTTGGAGTCTGCCTATACCTTACATCTTGACGTGATATAATTGTAAGTAAAATGCTATACTTTTTAAGCTAGGGTGTTTGGAGTTGGGCAGTCCTGGTTAAGTCACTTCTTTAAGGCTGTACCATCTGCTGAAAAATGGACTGATTATAAAGATCAAATATATATGAAACAATTTTGAAACTAAACAGTTATAGAAATGATGTTATATTCAACTGAGCATTCATTCTGTGAAAGCAGTGGTGTTTGGAGGCTGCATACATGCTTGCAGAGGTGTTACCTAATCTCACCCTTTGTGGAAACGAGCGCTATTTCTCCTGAAATCTTGCTTGGTGGAAAGTTCTGTTAGACAGCTGGTAGAGTACATTTTCTTAAATGTTTGCGGTACATAGCCATGTGTTAATTGTTCATGTTAAGAGTAGCCTGTGCCACTGTTTCCTAGACAGATTTATAGATACTCTGATTTGTTTGCTCTTGTCTTATCCCACCAGGAGGTGAAACAGCAGAAATGCCTGACATGTATCCCCCTGGAGAGTATGACCTAGCTGGGTTTGCCGTTGGTGCCATGGAGCGAGATCAGAAACTCCCTCACCTGGAAAGAATCACCGAGGGTGATGTTGTTGTTGGAATAGCTTCATCTGGTCTTCATAGCAATGGATTTAGCCTTGTGAGGAAGATCGTGGCAAAATCTTTCCTCCAGTACTCCTCTCCAGCACCTGATGGTTGTGGTGACCAGACTTTAGGTAAACTCCCTCATGTTTAAACTGTCCTGCTTGGACATGTCTGAGGAAGGAAGCATTTAGTGGTTTTAGTCTCTCATTACTTCGAGCTAAAAGGGAGTGAATTACCTTGGTTTGCTACTTGGTCATTATTGTAGAACTGGTGTCATTCTCCAGAGTTGATTTTTATGTTTTGGTTTTCTATTCAAAGGCTAAGTTTTTATCTTCTCTCTTCAACATACAGGGGACTTACTTCTCACGCCAACCAGAATCTACAGCCATTCACTGTTACCTATCCTACGTTCAGGACATGTCAAAGCGTTTGCCCATATTACTGGTGGAGGATTACTAGAGAACATCCCCAGAGTCCTCCCTGAGAAACTTGGGGTAGATTTAGGTAAGATCACTAAAACAAACTTCTGTTCAGAAAATTGCTAAGGAAAAAAATGCATTGTGCGAGAAAACTATGGGTAGTTAGTGTACACATGATTACACATGGAAAATTCTTAATCATTGGGGGTTTTGGGAGGGAAAAACTCATTGACCCTTTTCTATCTCCTTTTGCTTCATTATCTGTATTTATAAGACATAAAATATGGTCATGTAATTGGTTTACATAAAGTTGAAGTACTCTAAGCAGATCCTCCAAGGGGATTGGTAACTTCAAGCTCTATTAAGGTGGAGCCCTACACACCGGGAAAGGAAATGTTAGCTATTAAGTAATCCATATGCAAGATAAAAAGCACCTAAACCAAGGCATAGAGAAGGGAGGCACATTGGAGAATCATTTTATGCTTAGAAGTAAAAAGAAGTCTCAGGTTTCTAGTTAAGCAGGTGAGTAGGTGATAACATCATTAACATAGGAAGAGTAAGTTTGGAGTAGAAAGTTTTTAAATCTTCAGTGTGTTTATTCCAAGGTGACTGTGAGCAGAAGTTGAAGTCAGGCTGAAGATAAATTGGGTGGTTATTTGCACATAGTAATAGTTATAGCCAAGAGAATGAGGGAGACCAAAAGGTTGTTTCTCAAAGTAGAGTGACTGTAAAGAACAGTCCAAAGCAGAGGGTAAACCATGTAAAAGTATTATCATCAAATCAACTTGCATTTTTTCTTTTTTTTTTTTTTTTTGAGACAGAGTCTCACTCTGTAGCCCAGGCTGGAGCGTAATGGTGCAATCTTGGCTCACTGCAAACTCCACCTCCTGGGCTGAAGCACTTCTCCTGCCTCAGCCTCCCATGTAGCTAGGATTACAGGCACCCACCACCACGCCCAGCTAATTTTGTATTTTTAGTAGAGACAGGGTTTCACCTTATTGGCCAGGCTGGTTTCGAATTCCAGGCCTCAAGTGATCCGCCCGTCTCAGCCTCCCAAAGTACTGGGATTACAGGCGTGAGCCACCACGCCCAGCCCCAAGGTAGGATTTTAAGTGACACTGGTCCATAGTGTCAGGTACAGCACAGATATCTAGAATAAGCACTAGAAAAAGACTGGTGTATTTTAGAGTTAGGTCGAAAGGCAGTTTGCTGGACATAGATACCACCCACTAGATTGTTGTGGCAGAGTTGTGGAGACAGTGGGTAGAGATTTCTGTTTGAAGAAACATACTGGTAAAAGGGAAGTGGAATAATTTTATGCATGCAGCAAAAGTGAGGGACAGAGTCCTCCCTCCCTGTGTTTTTGTTTTTGTTTTTGTTTTGTGATGGAGTCTTGCTCTGTCACCAGGCTGGAGTGCAGTGGTGCAATCTCGGCTTACTGCAACCTCCGCCTCCTGGATTCAAGTGATTCTCTTGCCTCAGCCTCCCAAGTAGCTGGGACTACAGGCGCCCACCACCACACCCGGCTGATTTTTGTATTTTTAGTAGAGGCGGGGTTTCACCATGTTGGCCAGGATGGTCTAGATCTCTTGACCTAATGATCCACCCACCTTGGCCTCCCAAAGTGCTGGGATTACAGGCATGAGCCACTGTGCCTGGCCCCTCCCTTCCTTGTTTTTGTAGAATAAAGTCAGAGAAACTTTTCCAGCTATAGTCAACTAATACACATTGGCTTGAAGGAGTAGAAACTGAGGGAGTTTACATAAAATAACTTCCCTGTGAAGTATTAGTGAAATGAGCAGGCCTGGAATGGAGCTTGAAGAGAGAAGTAGATAAAGCAGTCAAGGTCAAACAGGAATGAGACAGCGAGCAGGACTGAAGGCACAGGTGAAGCTGAAGCTGCTCATGTAGTTTTTCTCCCAGAGTAAAAGCCTGTATATAACCTTGAAGCAAGAACAGAGAAAAATAGATTGGTTAGGTTGATCCAGCTGAAGTAAGCAGGTATTGGGGTCATTCATGGGGGAGAAGCAGTCAGAGAGAGAGAGGTGAGTAGGTTTGGTGAGCTAACCCAAGAGTCAGCGTATGTGAAGCTCGGAGAGAACTGAAGAGTCAGAGGTAGGTTGTGTGGAAGTGAGGAGATCAGCAAGGGAAGCTGGGAGAGTCGTCCCAGCTGAAGACGGGATTTCAGCCTAGTCAGGGAAGCAAAACAGACAGGCCAGGCCAGGCTGAGTGGAGTCTCTTCCAGGTCCATGGACTGAGCATAGTAAGGAGTTGAAGGATTCATAGGAGGGTGAAACTAGGGGTTTAAGACCTTCCTTGGGTAGAAATGCTTTCTGATGAGCATATATAAGAACCTTAATAAGTTTTTCATTCATCATCCTTTTCAAGTAGTTAAAAACAGTGGCCTGCTGATGAATGGGGAAAGGAGCAGGACTGATTTGTGCATTTGCCAGTTTCTGTGGTATAAATACTCCCATCATAGCTGCTTTAAAAATGGCTGTTTAACAGTCTCTACAAGCTGGCTCTAGCACAGCACTACTTAAAAACAACATAGTAGTCACCTCATTAAGAAACTGAAAGTTGATACAGCCATATTCCTGAAAGCAGTTATATTTTGAGTTACACAAATGTCTGTATTCCAGTAAAAGCCATTGCACAACTCCTTGCATCCAGCCTCTAAAGTTTCTTCCAGGAATCATACTTTGACAACAGATTAAGTAAGGGCTTCTGGGTTTTTTTTGTTTGTTTGTTTTTTATTGAGACAGAGTCTCACTCTGTCGCCCCAACTGGAGTTCAGTGGTGCGGTCACAGCTCACTATAGCCCCAACGTCCTAGGTTCAAGTGATCCTCCCACCTCAGCCTCCTGAGTAGCTGGGACCACAGGTACACACCACCACACTTGGCTATTTTTTGTATTTTTAGTAGAGACGGGGTTTCACCACAGTGCCCAGGCTGATCTCAAATTCCTTGGCTCAGAGCAATCTGCCCACCTCAGCCTCCCAAAGTGCTGGGATTACTGGCATGAGCTACCACACCAGGACAGGACTTTTTGACATTAAAATTACAACTTACATTATTCATGAAGTACTTGTTTATTTATAGAAACCAGACTCTTAGTCTGTCAATGTTTTTTCCTATAAATACTTTGTAAAACTTCACTAAAACAAGATCATAGTTTGGTAATCTGCTACTTGCCCTGCCATTAAATATATCATCACTATCTACCTGTCTTAGTAGCATCATTTTTAATAACAAGTATTCCATTTTATAGATGTACCATTATTTAGTTTTAAGTTGCTATTGACTTTTAACTATTGAAAGCATAGTGAACAATGTAGTTACTAAATCTTCTGAGAGCTTAACTATTAAGAGTGGACATTTCCCAGCTACTATAAATGGAATTGAATCTAAGAGTCATAGACATGTGATTCATTTTTATGTTTATTTTTATTTAATTTTAATTTTAATTTTTTTTTTTTTTTTGAGACGGAGTCTCGCCCTGTCACCCAGGCTGGAGTGCAGTAGCGCAATCTCGGCTCACTGCAACCTTCACCTCCTGGGTTCAAGCGATTCTCCTGCCTCAGCCTCCCTAGTAGCTGGGATTACAGATGTGCGTCACCACGCCCAGCTAATTTTTGTATTTTCAGTAGACACGGGGTTTCATCATGTTGGCCAGGCTGGTCTCAAACTTGTGACATCATGATCCTCTGGCCTCGGCCTCCCAAAGTGTTGAGATTACAGGCGTGAGCCACCACACCCGGCCTCATTTTTAAAATTGTATCAATTCCAGGCTGGGTGTGGTGATGGCTCACCCCTGTAACTCCAGCACTTTGGGAGGCTGAGGTGGGTGGATCCCCTGAGGTCAGGAGTTCAAGACCAGCCTGGCCAACATGATGAAACCCTGTCTCTATTAAAAATACACACACACACACAAAAAGCCAGGTGTGGTGGCACATGCCTATAATCCCAGCTACTCAGGAGGCTGAGGCATGAGAATAGCTTGAACCCAGGAGGCGGAGGTTGCAGTGAGCCGAGAGATCACGCCATTGCACTCCAGCCTGAACGACAGAGAGAGACTCTGTCTCAAAAAAAAAAAAAAAAAAAATTATCAACTCCAAAGTATTAAAAAACTGATCATCAGCTGAGCATGATGGCTCATGCCTATAATCCCAGCACTTTGGGAGGCTGAGGCAGAAGAATTACATGAGCCCAGGAGGTCTAGACTGGGCAACATGGTAAGACCCTGTCTCTACAAAAAAAGTTTTTTAAATAGCCAAGCATGGTGTCGCATGCCTGTAGTCCCAGCTACTCAGAAGGCTGAAGTGAGAGGATCACTTGAGCCTGGGAGATCGAGTGAGGCGTGTTCATGCCACTGCACTCCAGCCTGGGCAACGGAGCCAGATCCTGTCTCAAAAAAAAAAAAAGACCGGGCACGGTGGCTCATGCCTGTAATCCTAGCATTTTGGGAGGCCGAGGCGGGTGGATCACAAGGTCAGGAGATTGAGACTATCCTGGCTAACATGGTAAAACCCCATCTCTACTAAAAATACAAAAACTTAGCTGGGCTTGGTGGTGGGCGCCTGTAGTCCCAGCTACTCGGGAGGCTGAGGCAGGAGAATGGCACAAACCCAGGAGGTGTAACTTGCAGTGAGCCGAGATTGCACCACTGCACTCCAGCCTGGGCGACAAGGCAAGACTCCATCTCAAAAAAAAAAAAAAAATCCAATAGATAAACCAAATAAATAGGCAGAACTGATCGTAAACCTTATTATTTAATAAAAAGCTAAGTTCACATTGGCTTCCCTTTCTTAAGAGCATCATAAATAATTTAATTTGGTATAGTTTTTTTTAAAAATCAGATCCCATAATCATAGATCCCGAAGAACTATCCAGATTCTGTTTTAAATTCAGAAATGTTGTGTGTGTGTATATAGGCCTTTACCTAAAAATTTTTATTAGAGATTTTTGTTGTATTATTTGTGATAAGAGAGAATGTACTCTTTTTCTTTTTTTTTTTTTTTTTTTGAGTTGGAATTTCGCTCTGTCACCAGGCTGGAGTGCAGTGGCGCCATCTCGGCTCACTGCAACCTCCACCTCCAGGTTTAAGCGATTCTCCTGTCTCAGCCTCCCTAGTAGCTGGTACTACAGGCACGCGCCTGGCTAATTATTGTATTTTTAGTGGAGAAGGTATTTCACTATGTTGTCCAGGATGGTCTCAATCTCCTGACCATGTGATCCGCTTGCCTTGGCCTCCCAAAGTGTTGGAATTACAGGCATGAGCAATCGCGCCCACCGAGAGAATGTATTCTTATAGCAGACCTAGGAAGTCTAAATTTTAAAATGAATGAGAGGGAGAGGGTGTTGATCTGCATTCCATTAGCATAACTTTTCCTGAGTAGTGTATGCATTTTCTCTAAATAAGTAGACAAGCCATCTAGTTTTGCATTGTACTTTGGGTGCATTTTGGTCATCGCAAAGACTCAGCCAAACATTCGCAAAAGGATGGTATACTGGCCTTTGCTGGAATTCAGCTACTAGCCTTATCTAATCCACTAGGGAATGTCTAAGGGTCTAGTTCGTTAATGTAGCACAAAACCTCATTCAATTGTAACTACTGGCCAAGTGTGTCAACAAAAAATGTTCTTAATGTCTAAGGTACCAGTGGATCCCCAAATAAAAAGTTCTCAGAGGCCAGTTTATAGTTGTACTCTACATAAAATAGCAGAGCCTGATTATAATTTCCATATCTTTGAATATGTACATACTTTTGTACTCTGTGTGAGAAGGTAGGAAAAATCAAACAATTCATGTCTATTTTCAGATGCCCAGACCTGGAGGATCCCCAAAGTCTTCTCATGGTTACAGCAGGAAGGACAACTCTCTGAGGAAGAGATGGCCAGAACATTTAACTGTGGGGTTGGCGCTGCCCTTGTGGTATCAAAGGAGCAGACAGAGCAGATTCTGAGGGATATCCAGCAGCACAAGGAAGAAGCCTGGGTGATTGGCAGTGTGGTTGCACGAGCTGAAGGTACTTGCTCCTTATTAATTTTTAGGTATATAATTTTAGCTGTATAATATTAGCTATACCTCAGCCTTGCCTCACAAGCTTTCTGCCCACCTTTTAGTGCAGCCATCGCTATGGCAACTATCTTTACACAGATGTAACATGACAGCACCCACCCCAGCAATACCACATATCTCTTCATTTCTACCTCAGAACTCTGAGCATTCATGCATGCACAACCACACCCCACAGGATCACTTCCCAAAGTAATCTCCCCACACACAAGACCTCATGGTTCTGCTTTGTCACTCAGCTCAGTTCAAGGAATAGCGAGCACCCTGACAAGTACTGTATCAGTCAGGACTCTGCTAGAAGTGCTAGAACTTGGCAGAGGGGCAGAAAATCCACTCAGATTCACTAACAAAGATGTCACATGCTCGCTTCGGCAGCACATATACTAAAATTGGAATGATACAGAGAAGATTCACAAAAATAAAAAACAGAAAAAAAAGAGTCAGACCTTGTTGACTTCACCTATATCTGCCTTTCTTTCCTCTATTGTGTAGGATTCATTTTCAAGCAGGTTCTCCAAATGCCAGAAAGATAACATGCTTCAGCTCACATTACAATAAAAACATCCCATATCAAGTCTTTAAATGGTTTTGCTAGGTCACATGCTTATCCCCCAGACCAGGAGGTCATGGCACTACTGTGGGTGGTCTCACTAGGAAGATTTGGGGAATAGGGGCAGAATACTGGCAGGCAGTTGTATATATCCACTATGTGCTTCAAGATAGTGATGTGATCTGTAGCTTTTAGTTGAAGTAATTACGTATGTTCACCTTTTGGAAGTTTTTATGAACGAATAGTGTTAAGTGATACAAAGGTGTTGTTCATTTTAGTCTTTGCATTATCTTATTTTCAGGATAAAATAAATATACCCTAAAGTTTTCATAAAGTATTTTTCTTTCCATTATTCCTGTTAATTCACAATTGTTCTTTACTTATTTATGAATATGTTTGGAATGAAGGTTCTCCACGTGTGAAAGTCAAGAATCTAATTGAAAGCATGCAAATAAATGGGTCAGTGTTGAAGAATGGCTCCCTGAAAAATCATTTCTCTTTTGAAAAAAAAAAGGCCAGAGTGGCTGTCTTAATATCTGGAACAGGTGAGATATGGCTTCCTCTTCACTGTAGAGCTGTTGACTGCCCTTCCTTTCCTCCCTGCACTTTTTGAGATTGTAAGGATACTCTCGGCAGAGTCTAGGGACTGCAGGGAATCATGAGGGTTGTCTTTGTCTTTTCAGCATTCTTAGGCTTTCCACTTTTCTTAGGAATTTGAGACCGCTCCCAAAGAAAAAAGTAGAGGATTTCAGAAAGCCGGTTAAAGAGAAACCAGAAAAGATTGAAGTTCCAGCTCATTTTGTATCATAGCTTTGTTGTTGAAAAGTCTGAAAACAGTTGAGGAATTTTTATTGTTATATTATTAAGAAGAAGTAGTTTATGTTTGACCTTTATGGATAAAGGGGTAAAGTAATGAGTATTGTATTCTCTCAGATGGATGTAGCCTGATTTTTTTCCCTCTATTGTAAGTAACATTGCTATGAACATTCTTGCAAATATTCAGTATGTTCTTAAATGCGTATCTGATTTTTTTTTAATTTGATGGCCAAGATCATCATGATTCTTTTTGAGACAGTCTTGCTATGTTGCCCAGGCTAGAGTACAGTAGCTATTCACAGATGCAATCATAGTACACTGCAGCTTCCAGCTGTGGCCTCAAGCAATCCTTCCACCTTATTAGCTCGCCGAGTAGCTGGGACTGCAGGCATGCAGCACCACACCCAGCTCTGATATTTCTTCAGGATTCATTCCCAGAAGTTTAATTGCTTTACAAGTCGATCTTAAGGTTTTAATGTATTTTAGGCCCAAGTTGATAATAAAGCAAAGAAACTATTGTAAGGTGCAGCCATAAAAAAGAATAAAACCACATCATTTGCGGCAATATGGATGGAACTGGAGGCCGTTATCCTGAGTGAACTGCCTCAGAAACAGAAAACCAGATGTTGCATGTTCTCATGAGTAGGAGCTAAACAGTGGGTACATGTGGACATAAAGATGGAAACAATAGGGCCGGGCGCTGTGGCTCATGCCTGTAATCCTAGCACTTTGGGAGGCTGAGGCAGGCAGATAATGAGGTCAAGAGACCTAGACCATCCTGGCCAACATGGTGAAACCCTGTCTCCACTAAAAATACAAAAATTAGCTGGGCGTGCTGGCGCACGCCTGTAGTCCCAGTTACTCTGGAGGCTGAGACAGGAGAATCGCTTGAACCCGGGAGACGGAGGTTGCAGTGAGCCAAGATCGCACCACTGTACTCCAGCCTGGCGACAGAGCAAGACTCCACCTCAAAAAAAAAAAGAAAAAGAAAAAAGAAAAAGATGGAAACAGTAGACAAAACAGGGAAGTGTGGGAGAAGGGGTGAGGGTTGAAAATTTTTCTATCAAGTATAATGTTCACTATTTAGGTAATAGGTACACTAGAAGCCCAATCCCCACCATTATACAATATTCCCATGTACTAAACAAGCGTGTGTACCCCTGAATCTAAATGTAAAAAAAATTTTTTTAAAGAAACTATTGTAATGGTCATAGCATAGTGGTTCTTGAGAGGGTCAATTTTTCTTGCTTAATTAAGCAGCTTATTTCTCATCAGTCAGTTTTGACATAATGTTATACTGTTTCTACTACAGTGCTAGATCATAAGATACAATATTTGTAGGAGCAATTACATATCCTAAACCACATCATCTGCAGCAATATGGATGGAACTGGAGGCCATCCAGGAATATCCGTGCTTTTCACAATCTATTAATCCATTATCCCAAGAGGAAGGGAATTTTTTTAATTTTTAATTTTTATGAGTTCATGGTAGGTATATATATTTATGGGGTACATGAGATCTTTTGATACAGCCATACAACCTGTAATAATCACGTCCCGGTATTCATCACCTCAAGCATTTATTCTTTCTTTGTGTTACAAACAATCTAGTTATATTATTTCAGTGTGTTGTTTGTTTGGTTTTTTGAGATAGAATCTCACTCTGTCGCCCAGGCTGGAGTGCAGTGGCACAATCTTGGCTCACTGCAAACACTGCCTCCCAGTTTCAAACGATTCTTCTGCCTCACCCTCCTGAGTAGCTGGGATTACAGGTGCCTGCTACCATGCCGGGCTCATTTTTTGTGTTTTTAGTAGGGATGGGGTTTCGTCATGTTGGCCAGGCTGGTCAGGCTAGTCTCGAACTCCTGACCTCAGGGTGATCCACCTGCCTTGGCCTCCCAAAGTCCTGGGATTATAGGCGTGAGCCACCGCGCCCAGCCTCTTTCAGTTATTTTAAAATGTGTAATATATTATTGTTGACTATAGTCACCCTGTTATGCTACCAAACACTAGATTTTGTTCGTTCTAACTATATTTTTGTACCCATTAGCATCCCCTCTCCCTGTCTCTCCCAGTACCCTTCCTGGCCTCTGATAACCATCATTGCACTATCATCATGAGTTCAACTGTTTTAATTTTTAGCTCCCACAAGTAAGTGAGAACATGTGAGGTTTGTCTTTCTGTGCTTGACTTATGTCACTTAACTTAATGATCTCATGTTCCATCCATATTGTTGAAAATGACAGGATCTCATTCTTTTTTATGGCTGAATAGTACTCCATTATGTGATGTACCACATTTTCTTAATCCATTTGTCTGCTGATAAACATTTAGGTTGCTTCCAACTTGGCTATGGAGAATAAACATGAAACTGCAGATATCTCTTTGATACACTGATTTTCTTTCTTTTGGGTATATACCTAGCAATGGGATTGCTGGATCATATGGTAGCTCTTTTTTTTAATTTTTGAGGACCCTTCAAACTGTTCTCCATGATAATTGTACTAATTTACATTCCCAATAGTGTGTGATGGTTCCCTTTTCTGCACATCTTCGCCAGCATGTTATTGCCTGTCTTTTGTATAAAAGCCATTTTAACTGGGGTGAGACAATACGTCGTTGTAGTTTTGGTTCGCATTTCTCTGATGATCAATGATGTTGAGCACCTTTTTATATACCTGTTTGCAATTTGTGTGTTTTAAGAAATGTCTATTCAGATCTCTTGCCCATGTTTAATCAGAGTATTAGATTTTTCCCTAATAAATTGTTTAAGCTCCTTATATATTCTGGTTATTAATCCCTTGTCAGATGGGTAGTTTACAAATATTCTCTCCCATTCTGTGGGTTGTCTCCTTACTTTGTTGATTGTTTCCATTGCTATACAGAAGCTTTTTCCATATTTACTTTAGTTGCCTATGCCAAGAGAAAGGGAATTTAGAAGCCTCACATATCACCAGTCTTTTCCAAGACATTTATTCAGAAAATTTGACAGTCCCCTATTCAAAACAGCACATCTCTTTTTTTAAGAAGTGTGAGTCCGGGTACAGTGGCTCACGCCTGTAATCCCAATACTTTGGGAGGCCAAGGTGGGCAGATCACCTAATGTCAGGAGTTCCAGACCAGCCTGGTCAACATGGTGAAACCCCATCTCTACTAAAAATATAAAAAAATTAGCCAGGCATGGTGGCACATGCCTGTAATTCCAGCTACTTGGGAGGCTGAGGCAGGAGAATTCCTTGAACCCAGGAGGTAGAGGTTGCAGTGAACCAAGATCGTGCCACTGCACTCCCAGCCTGGGTGACAGTGAGACTCTGTCTCAAAAAAAAGTATGAACTCACTGTTGTTTTTCTCCCTTCTCAGGATCGAACCTGCAAGCACTTATAGACAGTACTCGGGAACCAAATAGCTCTGCACAAATTGATGTTGTTATCTCCAACAAAGCCGCAGTAGCTGGGTTAGATAAAGCGGAAAGAGCTGGTATTCCCACTAGAGTAAGTGACTTGGGAAAATATCTTTCCTGTGGGCCATATTTAAGCTCATAATCTGCCCTCACTGGACCTTGGTCTGTGGGGCACTTATTCTTTAGACTTCTGCCATTGTCGGTGGGTGCTGGCCTTGCCTTCTCCTTCATCCTGTCCCTTTCTTAATAATCTCTCTATCAGGTATATCTTTACAAAGAAGTGAAGTATGGGCTGTGTAAAGGTTGAGTTTTTAATTATTTTTGGTAATTCATTGAAAAAGGTTGTGCTTATCTTTTTCTGTTACAGGTAATTAATCATAAACTGTATAAAAATCGTGTAGAATTTGACAATGCAATTGACCTAGTCCTTGAAGAGTTCTCCATAGACATAGTCTGTCTTGCAGGATTCATGAGAATTCTTTCTGGCCCCTTTGTCCGAAAGTGGAATGGTAAGCAAAAATTATTTGATATTACATTGAGAAATCAATTGAAAATGGTCTCCAGAACAGTTAACTTGCCAGACAATCCCAGTAGTGAACACCCTTCCCAGAAATCCAACTCCTGTTTGACTGTGATATTTTATTAATACTTCAACACAGGTCACAGTTTAATTTCCTTTGTTTTACTCTAAAGAATGACCCAATGATGATTTATTAATCTGCTCTCTATCCATTTACTTTGGCTTGCTGTAATTAATCACTTTTTCTAATGTAGCTTAGTTTTGTTTCACATTACTCCAAAGATAATATTTCATCTTCTGAATAAATATTCGGAACCTTCCTTTACTTGTTTAGAAGCAAAAGAGAATGATTCCGTATGTCCCGAAAGGAAGAGTCCATCCTCTCTCAGGAAACAGACCATTGCCAGACGTTGGCAAGGAGGAGGTTATTGCCAGAAAACACATACTATCTATGTTACTGCCTTCTCCCCAAAAGCCTGGACTGCATCCTGTTTGTGTATGTGTGCACACAGTTGGTCACACAGTTGAACCATAAATGCATTTTCCCTCCAAAGACTTTATGTATTCTTAGGTGAATGTAGTTAGAGCACTTGTGGTGTGATATAAAATCAACAATGCCTTTGGTGACATGAGCCACACAGAACTAATCTAGCATCTGTCTGGTGGACAGGTCACTTTGTGGTTAGAAGTCAAGCACGTAGACACTATGTAAGAACCTCTTGCTTCTTTTTAATAGTATGTGCCAGCAACAAGCTGGTATCAGCTTGAACTCCCCACCTTCCTGTCACCATGAGTGTCTGTTCAGAGCATCCCAGCATGCCTTTGGCTGTGCAAGGCGGGTACTTGCTACTTCCGGGACCTTTGTGGATGAGAACTTCCTTTTACCTCATTTCTGTGTTTGGCAAAGAAAACATCCATCCCAGAATCCAACTCCTGTTTGACTTCAGATCTAGATAGAAAAACATATTCCTTTAACAGAATACCCAGGATTTTTAAATTCTGACCGCTATGCTTTTTTTAATTTTTAGGAAAAATGCTCAATATCCACCCATCCTTGCTCCCTTCTTTTAAGGGTTCGAATGCCCATGAGCAAGCCCTGGAAACCGGAGTCACAGTTACTGGGTGTACTGTACACTTTGTAGCTGTGAGTATGTCTTTTTCTACCAACATAATATTAGTAGTCAGATGTAAATTACACTGGCTAGAAGGTAATGTTCAAAACTTTTGCTTACTTTTCCAGGAAGAGGTAGATGCTGGACAAATTATTTTGCAAGAAGCTGTTCCCGTGAAGAGGGGTGATACTGTTGCAACTCTTTCTGAAAGAGTAAAATTAGCAGAACATAAAACATTTCCTGCAGCCCTCCAGTTGGTGGCCAGTGGAACTGTACAGCTTGGAGAAAATGGCAAGATCTGTTGGGTTAAAGAGGAATGAAGCCTTCTAATTCAGAAATGGGGCCAGTTTTGAAAGAATTATTTGCTGTTTGCATGGTGGTTTTTTATCATGAACTTGGCCCAAAAGAAAAACTGCTAAAAGACAAAAAAGACCTCACCCTTACTTCATCTGCTATTTTTTAATAAATAGAGACATTAAAAACAAGACTGGTTAGTGTAGCATATCTGAGACATACAGGTATCTTGGTCTTTTTTATGCTCTTTTTCTGACCGTCACCACCTCTTTTTTGTTGTTGTTGTTGTTGCTGGTATTGTCTGACAACATGAGGAATCACCTCCATTTTTGTAAGTTATGTGTTTTCGGCCGGGCACGGTGGCTCACGCCTGTAATCCCAGCACTTTGGGAGGCCGAGGCAGGCGGACCACAAGGTCAGGTGATCGAGACCATCCTGGCTAACACAGTGAAACCTCATCTCTACGAAAAATACAAATAATAGTTAGCTGGGCGTGGTGGCACGCGCCTGTAATCCCAGCTACTCAGGTGGCTGAGAAAAGAGAATCGCTTGAACCCAGGAGGTGGAGGTTGCAGTGAGCCACGATCACGCCACTGTACTCCAGCCTGGGCAACAGAGCGAGACTCCGTCTCAAAAAAATAGTAAGTTATATGTTTTCTAATCTTTGATCATATGCTTTTGAAGCCATGACTGCTGGATGTATCTGAGTTAAAATGGGGAAAAGAAACATGAGGACAAGCCTAAGTGTATCACCTGGGTTCCGTTTATAATCTTGGTTATAAATTCCACTGTGTAAAAGTTGCCCAGCCTCCTTCTGATCAGTGTCAAGTGACTTACCTCTTCCCCAAGTCTAACGAGGCAGTATCTCTTCCTTATATTTTATATCTGATTTGAGACTTTTCTGATCATCGTGATCATAATCTGGTGTGTTAAGATTTCTGTATAGCTCCCATTTCTGAAGGATAGTATCCTTTATGCTTTGAAGTATCATTAAACGTTCCTCTAATTATTGACAGTTTCTGTAATCCCCAGATTTTAGCTTCAGTAAAGTTTAGTTATCCTGTGGTTTATAAAGATCCATACTTCTCTGTAAGTCACTAGAGGATTAGAGGGAGAGTTGGTGGCTTCTAGATTCAAGCATAAAACTAGGCATGTTTCTCATCCACTCTCTCTATTCCCTCGTCGATTAAAGTAGGCAAATGTCATTCATACAGTTGTTTTGATGAGACAGTCTCGCTCAGTCGCCCAGGCTGGGGTGCAGTGGCACAATCTCGGCTCACTGCAACCTCTGCCTCCTGGGTTCAAGTGATTCTCCTGCCTCAGCTTCCTGAGTAGCTGAGATTACAGGCGTACACTGCCACACCCGGCTCATTTTGTATTTTTAGTAGAGACGGGGTTTCACCATGTTGGCCAGGCTAGTCTGCAACTCCTGGCCTCATTTGATCTGCCTGCTTTGGCCCCCAAAGTGCTGGGATTACAAGCGTGAGCCACCACACCCGGCCTCTCTGTTTTTTTTGTTTTTTTGTTTTTTTGTTTTTTTGTTTTTGAGACGGAGTCTCGCTTTGTCGCCCAGGCTGGAGTGCAGTGGCCGGATCTGAGCTCACTGCAAGCTCCGCCTCCCGGGTTTACGCCATTCTCCTGCCTCAGCCTCCCGAGTAGCTGGGACTACAGGCACCCACCACCTCGCCCGGCTAGTTTTTTTGTATTTTTAGTAGAGACGGGGTTTCACCATATTAGCCAGGATGGTCTCAATCTCCTGACCTCGTGATCTGCCCGTCTCGGCCTCCCAAAGTGCTGGGATTACAGGCTTGAGCCACCGCGCCCGGCCATTGTTTTTTTTTTTTTTTGAGATGGGACTTTCACTCTTATTATCCAGGCTGGATTGCAGTGGCACAATCTCGGCTCACCGTAACTTCCACCTCCCTGGTTCAAGTGATTCTCCTGCCTCAGCCTCCTGAGTAGCTGGGATTACAGGCATGCACCACCACGCCCAGCTAATTTTGTATATTTAGTAGAGATGGGGTTTCTCCGGGCTGGTCAGGCTGGTCTCAAACTCCCAACCTCAGGTGATCTGCCCACCTTGGCCTCCCAAAGTGCTGGGATTACAGGCGTGAGCCACTGCACCCGGCTGACCTCTTTGGTTTTTAAGTGGAATTCAGACTTGAACCTGACCCTAGGACCTCTAAGTGTCTTTCTATGATAGTATGGCATTCCAGCTGCATCACTGTGATGGTTCCCTAACTTTTCCTACTGCACTCTCCCTTCTGGATATTTGTTGGCAGGGGCTAGAAGTGAAGAAGGATTCTAACAAAATTCTCTTCTACTGGTAATCGGCAGGCCCCAAGAGTACCTCCTATAGTAGTTGTTTTTTGTATTTGCCAGGATTCTTTGGATTATAAGCGAGAGAACTGAAGTAAAACAAATTGGGAAAAAAAAAAAAAAAAAAAAACTTCATTAACTCATGTAATGTTGTTATAAAAGCCCCCAGACTCAGACTGTAAGAAGATTTGGCTGTTTGACTGGGCTGGGTGTGGTGCTTCACGCCTGTACAAAGCCAGCAGCACTCTGGAAGGCCGAGGTGGGAAGATCGCATGAGCCCAGGAGTTTAAGACCAGCCTAGGCAATATGTCGAGACTTTATCTCTACAAAAATGACAAAAATTAGCTGGGTGTGGTGGCTTGTGCCTGTAGTCCCAGCTACTCAGGAGGCTGATGTCAGAGGGTCACGTGATTCCAGGAAGTTGAAGCTGCAGTGAGCTGTGATCGTGCCACTGCACTCCAGCCTGAACAACAGAGACCCTGTCTCCAAGAAAACAAAACTTGGCTGTATATAGCAGCCAGGTGGGAGATTTTTTAATACATCAACATTAAAGGCTTTCTTTATAATCTAAAACTCCCTGTAGGATTTTCCTCGAGTTAGTAGGAAGAAGATTCTAGTAGGGAAGATAAACCTTGGGAAAAAGCCCTTTTTTGGCTTTTTTAAAACCAAAATTGTCTTTATCTCCCAAAGTGTTTTTCAGCAATTCTAATGCATACACTTGCCTCCTCCACTGTTTAAAAGACACCATCTCTGACAGTCGTTCTTTCACAAGCCATATAAATTTGACATTTACCACAATGTTAGATCATTTTCCTTTATCTGGAGCCAAATGTTAATTAACAGTTAAAAACCGATTTATAAGTGGAGTCAGTGCAAATGTTCATCAGCAAATGAACTGATAAATGTATGGATAGCTATATCCATAGATATATCCATACATTGAATGCTATTCAATTATAAAAAGGAATGAAATACTAACACATGCTACAGTGTGGGTGAACCTTGAAACATTATGCTAAGTGAAAGAATTCAGTCAAATGACCACATGTGGCCAGGCATGGTGGCTCACACCTGTAGTCCCAGCACTTTGGAGGGCCCAGGTAGGAGGATCAGTTGAACCCTGGAGTTTAAGACCAGCCTGGACAACATAGTGAGACCCCCATCACTACAAATAAAATAGAAAAATTGGGCATGGTGGCACACACCTGTAGTCCCAGCTACTTGGAAGGCTGAGGTAGGAGGATTCCTTGAACTCAGGAGGTCGAAGCTTCAGAGAGCTGTGATCGCACAACTGTACTCCAGCCTGAGTGAGACATTTTCTCAAAAAAAAAAAAAAGACTAGCTGGCCTTGGTGGCTTATGCCTGTAATCCCAGCACTTTGGGAGGCCGAGGCAGGCAGATCACCAGGTCATGAGATCAAGACCATCCTGGCCAACATAGTGAAACCCCACTTCAGTCACTCAGGCTGGAGTGCAGTGGTGCGATCCCAGCTCAATGCAACCTCCGCCTTCCGGGTTCAAGTGGTTCTCCTGCCTCAGCTTCCAGAGTAGCTGGGATTACGGGCAAGGGCCACCACTCCTGGCTGATTTTTGTATTTTTAGTAGAGACAGTGTTTCACCATGTTGGCCTGGCTGGTCTCCAACTCCTGACCTCAGGTGATCCACCTGCCTCGTCCTCATGTGTAACCTTATTTAAGAAGCTAACTCCTAAGCCCACCTGTATTCTGAGCATTGCAATAAAGATGTGAAGATTTTAATATTACAAGTTGATTTTGCTTTATAAAACGAAAGTTTCATGAATTGAAATATCTATGGACACTGAAACCTCAACAACAATTTTTTTTTTTTTGAGGCAGAGTCTCACTCTGTCACCAAGGCTGGAGTGCAGTGGTGCCATCTCAGCTCACTGCAACCTCTGCCTCCTGGGTTCAAGCAGTTCTCTGCCTCAGCCTCCTAAGTAGCTGGGATTACAGGCACGCACCACCACACCCAACTAATTTTTGTATTTTTAGTAGAGATGGGGTTTCTCCACGTTGGTCAGGCTGGTCTCGAACTCCCGGCCTCCCAGCTAATTTTTATATTTTTATATTTTCAGTAGAGACAGGGTTTCACCATGTTGGCCAGGCTGGTCTCGAACTCCTGACCTCAGGTGATCCACCCACTTCAACCTCCCAAAGTGCTGAGATTACAGGTGTGAGCCACTGCGCCTGGCCCCAAACAGCATTTTAAATTTCCTACATCACCAAACTCCAGAAAGTCACAGGAAAAAAAAAAAAATAGTTGTTATAACAGTATCACTCAACTCCTTGAAAGCTTCAATTACATGCACCAGGAAAATATACCATTGAAAATCATTTTAAATGAAATATTCAGTTGAGGAGTCTATTAGATCCTCCTTTACTTTTGTTGAAAACCAATTATTGGAAACCATGCAATTTTTTTTTGAGAGGGAGTCTCACTCTGTTGCCCAGGCTTTAGTGCAGTGACGCGATCTTGGCTCACTGCAACCCCCACCTCAGCCTCCTGAGTAGCTGGGACCACAGGCTTGTGCCACCATGCCTGGCTAATTTTTGTATTTTATAGAGTTAGGGTCTCACTGTGTTGTCCAGGCTGCTCTCCAACTCCTAAACTCAAGCAATCCTCCCCCTTTAACCTCCCAAAGTTCTGAAATTACAGATGTGAACCATTACACCTGGCCAAACCATCCAATCTGTAAAGGATTAATTTCCCTTCTTCAGCACCCACAGTAAATCAACCTTTTCAATTGCGCCTTTGCTGCCTGGAAGGTGTTAACAGTCTGGGGTAAGTGAGAGGTGTGCCTTTCTTTTGCAAAATGAGGGAGGGATGATGCTCAGAGGGGAGGTGGGACTTCCTTGTACACCTTGAGGGATTCCTGTATTCAACACTGTGACACCACTCCGGGGTCAATCATTAGCTTCGAGGAGGAGGTTTAGGCATTGGCGTTGGCAAGAGAGAGTAGATCATGAACATAACGTAGAGGCATGGAATCTGAGAGCACCAATCACGTGAGAAGGGCGGAGCCAGCCAAGGACATGGGTATGAGTAGGCTGTGCAGTAGGGGGACCCAGAAGAGAGAGAGACGCCACGAAGCTTGAAGAAGCCTGTCTCAAAGAGCGGAGAACGAGGTTCTGGTGCGTTTCTCTTAGAGGCCAACTACGGCAAGAAGAGAGAAGAGTCCGTGCCATCCGCACAAGCACCCTTCAGCACACCCGAAATCCCAGAATCAGAAATTCCTGTCTTTCTTCGGATGAGGAGGCTCTGCCCCACATCCCACCCCCAGCACAGCTCACCCAAATCCAAATCTCCACGGTGGCAGAATGACTCCGAAAGAGGAAAGCAGGAGGCAGCAGCCCAGAGCTGGTCCTTCGGGGCAGGGTGTATTCAGCAAGAGGAAAATGAGGGGGAAAGCTTCTGCCTGCTTTCAGAGTTTTCCATCTGGGAGGAAACAGTTTGGGTAACACAAATCCCTGGGACCTACTGAAGGGACGTATAAGGATCAAAGATACCTGCTGTGTTGGTTTGGTGGGGCTGATGTGATAAAGCACCACAGACTGGGGCTTCAACAACAGGAGACCGTTATTCTCCCATAGTCCTGGAGACTGGAAGTCCAAGATCAAGGTGTCTGCAGGGTGGGTTTCTCCTGAGGCCTCTCCTTGGCAGGCAGATGGCTGCCTTCTCCCTGTGTCCTCACAGGGACTTTGCTCCGCGCGTGCACAACCCTGGTGTCTCTCTGCAGCCAAATTTCCTCCTTTTATAAGGACGCCAGTCAGATTGGATTATCACCCACCTTAACAGCCTCATTTTAACTTAATCACCTCTTTAAATAACATCTCCAAATGCGGTCACATTCTAAAGTACTGGGGGTTAGGGCTTCAATATGGGGGGCACAATTCAGCCCAAAGAGTGAAGAAGTGACCAGGTCATCTGGAGGGAGACAGCTGTGTGAACACCATCTTGATTTACCCACCTCCTTGTGCAAATGCATCATCAAAATAACCAGTGTTTATCCCACCAGCTTTGTGGACTAGAAGGATGGAGAGCAGTAATTCCTTACTACCTTAGTAATTACAATAAAGAAATCTTTTTTTTTTTTTTTTTTTGAGACGGAGTCTTGCTCTTGTTATCCCGGCTGGAGTGCGATGGAGTGATCTCAGCTCACTGCAACATCTGCCTCCTGGGTTCAAATGATCCTCCTGCTTCAGCCTCCCAAGTAGCTGAGATTACAGGTGCCCACCACCACACCCGGCTAATTTTTGTCTTTTTAGTAGAGATGGGGGTTTCACCATGTTGGCCAGGCTGGTCTCGAACTCCTGACCTCAGGTGATCTGCCCGCCTCGGCCTCCCAAAGTGCTGGGATTACAGGTGTAAGCCACCGCACCCAGCCAATAATTACAATAAAGGAATCTTAAGTGTGTGTGTTGATATACACCTATTAGACTGCAAAGATTAAAAAGAGACTACTGTGTGTTCCCAAGAGTGTGGAGTAACAGACATTCCCAAATATGTTGGTGGTGCAAATTGGTCCATCGCTTCTTGAACATAGTTTAGCAATACCTATTTATTCACAAAACATAGTGACTACCTTTCCGTGGCTGTATCTACCGAACCATGTCATTCTTTTTTTTTGTTTTTTTTTGAGACGGAGTCTCACTCTGTCACCCAGGCTGAAGTGCAGTGGCGCGATCTCGGCTCACTGCAACCTCCGCCTCCTGGGTTCAAGCGATTCTCCTGCCTCAGCCTCCCGAGTACCTGGGGTTACAGGCATGTGCCACCATGCCCAGCTAATTTTTTGTATTTTTAGAGAGACGGGGTTTCTCCATGTTGGTGAGGCTGGTCTCAAACTCCCGACCTCAGGTGATCCGCCTGCCTCAGCCTCCCAAAGTGCTGAGACTACAGGCATGAGCCACTGTGCCTGGCCTTATTTTTCTTTTTAAAAATTTTTTAGTGGCCAGGTCTCACTCTGTTGCTTAGTTTGGAGAGCAATGGTACGATCATGGCTCACTGCAGCCTCCAACTCCTGGGCTCAAGTGATCCTCCCACCTCAGCCTCCTGTGTAGCTGGGATTACAGGCAGACACCATCACACCTGGCTAATCTTCTTAAAAGTTTTTTACAGATGGAGTCTCACTATGTTGTCCACACTGGGAGTACAAGCATGAGCCACTTCACCTGGCCTGTTTTTATTTTATGCTGTTTAAGATGCTGCCTAGAAGAGTTAACTTGTACAGAAATCCTGCTTTTTTTTTTTTTTTTTTTTTTTTGACGGAGTCTTGCTTTGTCACCCAGGCTGGAGTGCAGTGGCACAATCTCGGCTCACTGCAAGCTCCGCCTCCCGGGTTCACGCCATTCTCCTGCCTCAGCCTCCCGAGTAGCTGGGACTACAGGCGCTCGGCACCACGCCCAGCTAATTTTTTGTATTTTTAATAGAGACGGGGTTTCACCGTGTTAGCCAGGATGGTCTCGATCTCCTGACCTTGTGATCCGCTGTCTCGGCCTCCCAAAGTGCTGGGATTACAGGCGTGAGCCACCGCGCCCAGCCAGAAATCCTATTTTCTTTCACATGAGGTATTTTGTTGATTGTTTTCTTATAACTAAAGCCCTCTGAATCAGAGTTTATACTGTATCTTTTTCTGTGCTCCTACATAGATGGCAATAAATGATTATAATGTTTATGATGCGGAAGCTGAGAAGGCTAATACCTATTCCTGGCTCCTTTTAGGAGACACAGTCATAACAAAAAATATTGCTTAATGTGCGAGGCACAGTGCCAAGTGGTTTACATACATTGTGTAATTTCTCCCCCTAAAAAAGTCAATGAACTTGATACAATTATTATTTCATTATATGTAAAATAGGGAAAATAACAGCATTTATCTTAGAGGGCTGTTGTAAAGATTAAATGAATGCCTGTAATTCCAGCACTTTGAAAGGCCGAGGCAGGCGGATTACCTTAGCTCAGGAGTTCGAGACCAGCCTGGCCAAATGGTGAAACCTGGTCTCCGCTAAAAATAGAAAAAAGTTAGCCGGGCATGGTTGTGAAAGCCTGTAATCCCAGCTACTTGGGAGGCTGAGGCAGGAAAATCGCTTAAACCCGGGAGGTGCAGGTCGCAGTGAGCCGAGATCGCGCCACCACAGTCCAGCCTGGGAGACAGAGCAAGACTGTCTCAAAAAAAAAAAAAAAAAAAAAACGAAATGAGAATATACATAAAGAGCACTTAGCACAATGCCATACCATTTACTATAGTTTACTATTTATTGCAACTCTCATTTTGCAGGTATCTTGCCTAAGGTGCAAGCAGAAGAAACAAGATTTTCAACCCAGATCTGAAAACTCCCAAGCCTCAGGCTGGGCGCGGTGGCTCACGCCTGTAATCCCAGCACTCTGGGAGGTCGAGACGGGCGGATCACGAGGTCAGGAGATCGAGACCATCCTGGCTAACACGGTGAAACCCTGTCTCTACTAAAAAATACAAAAAACTAGCCGGGCGTGGTGGCGGCGCCTGTAGTCCCAGCTACTCGCCAGGCTGAGGCAGGAGAATGGCGTAAACCCGGGAGGCGGAGCTTGCAGTGAGCTGAGATCGGGCCCCTGCACTCCAGCCTGGGCGACAGAGTGAGAGTCCGTCTCAAAACAAACAAACAAACAAACAAAAAAACTCCCAAGCCTCTGCCTTTTCCTTTCTTTTTATCCTTTTTCTTTGTCCTTTTTAAAAAACTTGCTTCCTGTACAGAGAGGGGAAATGTTCAGTCCCCACCTCAGTGGTTGAAAACTCGAAGCCAGAAGATCCCTATTTTGATTTTGTCCTCTGGCCTGTCGCAGCCCCTCAACAGTACTTGAATTAATAAAAGGGCAGGTTTTAAGCCTCATATATCATGGCTCCTTCTGTGACTCCGAAGAAACCTGTTCAGGTCCCGTTCCGGGGAAACAGTCTTGCCTTCCCCAGCCCCCAAAAAGTTACCTTCGCCCTCTGAGCCACAGCTCCCCACGCCGCCAACTCGGTCTTTGCATCATTTTCGACGCTCCCTAAGTCCCTCCCGAGAGGCGCAGGCGCACATCGCCCCTTCTAGCAAACTACATCTCCCACAATCCCAATCGGCCGACCACCTCCGCTCGGGGCGGGGACGGAGGCGGAGCTGGTCGTCCGAGGCCGGGACGAAGCGTCCTGAGGTGCCCTGCATGGGTTCTCAGGGGTAAAGTTCGTTTGACGAAAGATTGTCCGTTTCCCTGGTAAGGTCACCTGTCCCAATCAGGTACGATTCTGCCTTCCGTACCCGCTGAGCCCCTCAGGGTAAAGTGGCAGATGGCCTAGCCTGGCGGAGGCACCAGCTGGAGACCGCGCGCTGCACGGACACCGGGAGTGACGGGCGGGCCGCGCACGCATGCGCAGAGACGCGGCATGGGCGCGGGAGCCGCGGAACCCCTACCCAAGGGCTGCGCAGGTGAGGAGGGGGCGGGGCAGGACCGACCTCCCTTGCCATGATAACCACCTTCGCAGCGGGCTCCCAGACCGTTGGCCCCGATTGTCTAGAAAATAGGGGGTCTTAGGAGCTCCGTTTTAGCGTTTATATATCCCAATTCCAATTAAGCCACTTCCAGTGTTTTTTGGCCATTGTCAGTGTACAAGTCTTCCTCCTCTTCGAGACCATGTTATTGCAATAGCAGCAAACGTGTTGGGAGGCCTCACAGTTCATCGTGGTTTTTCTGGCCTCTGGCAGATGGCTCCTTCCTAGCGAGCTGTGGAGCTTAAAGTCTTTTGGACACTTGATTCTATTCAATCCAGTGTCAGACCAGGTACCTACCTTGTCCATAAGTCGTCTTATGAGAAGACTCCTTGAGATGATGCAGACTCTCGGTGCAGTTTATAATCGGCTGGAGGTATAGACAGTTAAGCAAGCCTCCTTTTTTACAGTGCCCACCCCTAACCATTTTGCTTACACCTTGTTATGGGACTTGGTTAAATTGCTTAACCTTCCGGACCTATGTTTTGTCATTAAACGAAAAGATTGGATTAGATGATCTCTAAGAATTTTCCGCTAGTAAAATATATGGTTAGTGAGGGGTAGAATCCAGATTATATCTATCTGTCTGTCTGTCTATCTATCTATCTATATATTTTTTTTCTTTTTTTTTTTTTTTTTGAGACAGAGTCTTGCTCTGTTGCCCAGGCTGGAGTGTAGTGGCACGATCTCGGCTCACTGCAACCTTCACCTCCCGGGTTCAAGCGATTCTCTTGCCTCAGCCTCCCGAGTAGTTGGGACTGCAAGCGCCCAGTTAATTTTTGTATTTTTAGTAGAAACAGGGTTTTGCCATGTTGACCAGGCTGATTTCGAACTCCTGATCTCAGGTGATCGGCCCGCCTCGGCCTCCCAAAGTACTGGGATTACCGGCATGTGCCACCGTGCCTGGCCCCACAATATATTAACACTAAACTTCATCAACTTCCATTTTTCTGCCCACATCAGTGAAATATAGCTATAACAATGCAGCTGGTGCCTGGCGCGGTGGCTCACCCCTGTAATCCCAGCACTTTGGGCAGCCGAGGTGGGAGGATCACAAGGTCGGGAGTTCGAGACCAGCTTGACCAACATGGTGAAACCCCGTCTCTACTAAAAATACAAAAATTAGACGGACGTGGTGGTGGGCGCCTGTAATCCCAGCTACTCAGGAGGCTGAGGCAGGAGAATCGCTTGAACCTGGGAGGCGGAGTTTGCAGTGAGCCGTCACACTACTGCACTCTAGCCTGGGCGACAGAGCAAGAGTCCGTCTCAAAAAAAAAAAAAAAAAAAATGAATGCAGCCAGGCCGGGTGTGGTGGCTCACCCTTGTAATCCCAGCGTTTTGGGAGCCTGAGGCAGGCAGATCACCTTATGTCAGGAATTCGAGGCCAGCCTGGCCAATATGTTGAAACCCCATCTCTACTAAATATACAAAAATTAGCCAGGGGTGGTGTTGCACACCTGTAATCCCAGCTACTCAGGAGCTGAGGCGGAAGAATCGCTTGAACCTGGGAGGCGGAGGTTGCAGTGAGCCGAGATCGAGCCGTTGCACTCCAGCCTGGGCAACAGAGTGAGACTCCGTCTCAAAAAAAGAAAAAAAAGAATGTGGCCGGGCACAGTGGCTCACCTCCATAATCCCAGCACTTTGGTAGGCAGAGGCTGGCAGATTGTTTGAGCTCAGGAGTTGGAAACCAGGATGGGCAACATGACGAAACCCCATCCCTACAAAAATACAGAATTTAGCCAGGTGTGGTGGTGCACGCCTGTAGTCCCAGCAACATGAGAGGTAGAGGTGGGAGGATCGCTTCAGCCCGGGAGGTTGATGCTGCAGTGAGCCATGATTGTGCCACTGCACTCCAGCACGGGCAACAGAGCAAGACCCTGTCTCAAAAAAAAAAAAAAAAAAAAAACTAGGCGCGATGGCTCATGCCGGTAATCTCTGGGAGGCCAAGCGGGTGGATCACCATGTCAGGATATCCAGAGCAGCCTGGCCAACATGGTGAAAACCCTTCTCTACTAAAAATACAAAAAAATTAGCTGGGCGTGGCTCTGGAGGTGGAGATTGCGCTTGAACCCTGGAGGCGGAGGCACCACTGCACTCCAGCCTGGGAGACAGAGAGACTCTGTCTCAAAAGGAAAAAAAAGGGGGGGAAAAAAGGAAAAGTTGACAGCAGCATTCAAAAGAACTGCCCCTTGTTGTACTTGTAAATTCATGCCGTATCTTATACCTTATTGTTGAAAATAAGAAATTAACTGATAATACAACTTTGTTCAACCTATATTTGTTGTCGTTTTATAGATCATTGCTAGGAAGAACTCTGGGTACAATAATGAATACAACGTACGTGATGATGGCTCAGATCTTAAGATCTTACCTGATAAAGGCTACAGTGATTCCTAATCAAGTGAAAATGCTTCCATATATTGGTATCATTAGAAATAGAATGATGTCAACCCATAAATCCAAAAAGAAGATCAGAGAATATTATAGGCTGCTGAACGTGGAAGAAGGCTGCTCTGCAGATGAAGTCAGGGAATCTTTTCATAAGCTTGCCAAGCAATATCATCCTGACGGTGGCTCTAATACGGCTGATTCTGCAACATTTATAAGGATTGAAAAAGCTTATAGAAAGGTGCTCTCCCATGTGATAGAACAAGCAAATGCGAGTCAGAATAAAGGTGAAGAAGAAGAAGATGTAGAAAAATTCAAATATAAAACACCCCAACACCGGCATTATTTAAGTTTTGAAGGTATTGGTTTTGGGACTCCAACTCAACGAGAGAAGCAATATAGGCAATTTAGGGCAGACCGTGCTACTGAACAAGTGATGGAATATCAAAAGCAGAAACTACAAAGCCAGTATTTTCCTGATAGTATAACTGTTAAAAATATAAAACAGAGCAAACAGCAAAAGATAACTCAGGCTATAGAGCGTTTAGTGGAGGACCTCATTCAAGAATCCATGGCAAAAGGAGACTTTGACAATCTCAGTGGGAAAGGAAAACCTCTGAAAAAGTTTTCTGACTGTTCTTACATCGATCCCATGACTCACAACCTGAACCGAATACTGATCGATAACGGATACCAACCAGAATGGATCCTTATGCAAAAGGAAATCAGCGATACTATTGAGCAACTCAGAGAGGCAATTTTAGTGTCTAGGAAAAAACTTGGGAATCCAATGACACCAACTGAACAGAAACAGTGGAAACATGTTTGTGAGCAGTTTCAAGAAAACATCAGAAAATTAAACAAGCGAATTAATGATTTTAATTTAATTGTTCCCATCCTGACCAGGCAAAAAGTCCATTTTGATGCTCAGAAAGAAATTGTCAGAGCCCAGAAAATATATGAGACCTTTATAAAAACAAAAGAAGTCACAGATGGAAACCCAAATAACCTTGATCAAGGAGAAGGAGAGAAAACACCTGAAATCAAGAAAGGTTTTTTAAACTGGATGAATCTGTGGAAATTTATTAAAATACGATCATTTTGATGTTTACTATCATAAATCATTCTTAGTTCCACTGACACTTAACATGGAAAATGAGATTTATTGCTCTATTAAGAACTGTGCCATTGTACTTTTCACAAAACTAATCACATACCCAATGATGTGTGAGTGAGACACCGATCAGGTTTGTCCTGAGGATATAGCAAGAAAATAAAATAACCGACTAAAGAAAATAATTTAGTTCATTCCAGTGTTAAAGTGTCAGTCATCTAGTGAAATGAGCTAGGATCAGGTTTCTTAGGAATCATACACGAATTCCAAAAGTTTTAGTGCAGTTTTGAGCTGTAATAACTAACTTAAAAGCAGTCACTGTTGCCATTTTCAAACATAGGTACTTAACAACAGGGAAACCGAAAAATATGTTATCAAAAGTCACAAAACTTAAGTGTAATGAAATTTAACCAATTAAACCTCCAGATGATTTTTTTAAACACGTTTGCTGGATTTATACCCCTGAGCTTATTAAGGCTCAAAACTGTTCCAAGACTTTTGCGACACTCTCCATATGGGTGGAAATTAGCCTACTGGAATTACTGCACTTTTCTTTTTATGAGGGCCTTCTCTGTGGGTACTGAATGAAAAACATACCAACCATGCAGATTCTACTTTTTCCTGTCTAACTTGATGGTTTATTGGCAGCAGAAATCAGTGAAGCTAGGTGATTTAGCAATTCTAGAAATAAACTCCAGTGTCCACTTTTTTTTTTTTTTTTTTTGAGATGGAGTTTCACTCTTGTTGCCCAGGCTGGATTGCAATAGTGCAATCTTGGCTCACTGCAACCTCTGCCTCCTGGGTTCAAGTGATTCTCCTACCTCAGCCCCCTAAGTAGCTGAGATCAGAGGTGCCTGCCACCAGCTAATTTTTATATTTTTTTTAGTAGAGATGAGGTTTCACCATTTTGGCCAGGCTGGTCTCGAACTCCTGACCTCAGGTGATCCACCCGCCTTAGCCTCCCAAAGTACCAGGATTACAGGCGTGAGCCACCATGCCAGTACAGTGTCCACTTTTTTTTTTTTGAAATGGAGTTTCACTCTCATTGCCTGGGCTGGAGTGCAATAGCACAATCTCGGCTCACTGCAACCTCCGCCTCCTGGGTTCGAGCGATTCTTCTGCCTCAACCTCCCCAGTAGCTGGGATTATAAGCATGCGCCACCATGCCCAGCTAATTTTGTATTTTTAGTAGTGACGGGCTTTATCCACAGTGTTCACTTTTTAAAAAGTGTGAGTGTATTTCTCACCTTTCAGGAGGTGATAAAAATCCGTGGGCTCAGTGGCAATGTAAAATTTCACTTCTAGCTTCATCTTTTATCAGAGATTGAAATGTTAGATTTCCATAAAATCTACCCTAAACCTCCCTATGTCTTGAATCAGACTTCCCAGTGGCTTTGTAGCCATATGACGATTCTAACTTAATTGCCTCATGGACCAAATTTCCTGTCTTAGTGACCCTTTGATAAACAAAGACGAGATGTCTGAATTTCCTGCATCTGCATCTTTGGCAAATGATGAGGTTAATACTAATGAGATAGTTGTGTCTCATCTGCTTTCAGAAAATCTGACGTTTTAGGTTTGGATAATTGCTTTTGTCACACAGAATTGGCAACTAGAAGAATGTGAAGTGTGGTCAAAGAGGCCGGTGTGTTTCCTTCTTTAATCCAGAGTCCTGTGTTACAGAAGTGGTTCAGAAGTGAGGTACTCACCACCTGCATTTTGGAAGCACGTGTTATTTTGTACAATGTGTGATAGTTAAAACAACAAACAAAACTACACCTTCAAAGGGCCGGGCGCGGTGGCTCACACCTGTAATCCCAGCACTTTGGGAGGCCCAGGCAGGCATATCATGAGGTCAGGAGATTGAGACCATCCTGGCTAACACGGTGAAACCCCGTCTCTACTAAAAAATACAAAAAACTAGCTGGGCGAGGTGGCAGGTGAGCCACGGGAGGCTGAGGCAGGAGAATGGTGTGAACTCGGGAGGCGGAGCTTGCAGTGAGCTGAGATCCGGCCACTGCACTCCAGCCTGGGCAACAAAGCGAGACTCTGTCTCAACAAAAAAAAAAAAAAAAAAAGAAAGAAAGAAATTTTGGGCCTTTAGCTTAGATGCTGCAGCATTAATTGGCATAGTATGTGATTATTTTATTGAATGAGTTGTCATTTGACTTCTACAATGATAGCATCACTGTAAATAAAATTGTGAACAGTATGGAATGTTGCTTAATAAGAGCTATAGTTCCAAAAACATTTTAGAAGGCAGTAGTTTTGTGACTTTTGTTAAAAGTGGGAATTAGAGGCCGGGCGCAGTAGCTCATGCCTGTAATCCCAGCAGTTTGGGAGGCCGAGGCGGGCAGATCATGAGGTCAGGAGCTCAAGACCATCCTGGCTAACACAGTGAAACCCGTCTCTACTAAAAAATACAAAAAAAATTAGCCAGGTGTGGCGGCATGCGCCTGTAGTCCCAGATGCTGGGGAGGCTAGCAGAATGGTGTGAACCCAAGAGGTGGAGCTGGCAGTGAGCCGAGATCACGCCACTGCACTCCAGCCTGGGTGACACAGCAAGACTCCATCTCAAAAAAAAAAGTAGAAATTAGATGTAAGAGGCTCAACTGCATTACAGCAACGTAGATGAACAAAACCATTTTCCATACTGGTCAATGAGAAGGTAAGGTTACCAGAAAATATCAGTACATTTTTAATTTCAGCACAGTGCACTTTATGTTTGTAAATGTTGTCTATGTTAATAAAGTTATTATAATGATTATTCAATGGTCCTTTGTTATAATGGTAATAATATTTTGGGCTAGGCACCTAATTTTTTTTTGTGACAGAGTTTTTCTCTTGTTGCCCAGGCTGGAGTGCAATGGTGCAATCTTGGCTCACCACAACCTCTGCCTCCTGGGTTCAAGAGATTCCCCTGCCTCAGCCTCCCAAGTAGCTGGGATTACAGGCATGCGCCACCACGCCCGGCTAATTTTGTATTTTTAGTAGAGATGGGGTTTCTCCATGTTGGTCAGGCTGGTCTCGAGCTCCTGACCTCAGGTGATCCACCCGCCTCAGCCTCCCAAAGTGCTGGAATTACAGGCGTGAGACACCGCACCCAGCCCTAAATGCTAAATGCATTTTTTTTTTTAATCTTTTTGATTGGCCAGGCACAGTGGTTCATGCCTGTAATCCCAACATTTTGAGAGACCAAGGCAGGAGGATTGCTTGAGCCCAGGAGTTTGAGACCAGCCCAGGAAACATGGGGAAACTCTGTCTCTACAAAAAAAAGAAAAAGAAAAAGAAAAAAGCCAGGTGTGGTAGCACATTCCTGTAGTCCTAGCTACCTGGGAGCCTGAGGTGGGAGGATCGCTTGAGCCCAGGAGGCCAAGGCTGTAGTGAGCCCTGATCACACCACTGCACTCCAGCATAGGCAAGAGTAAGACCCTGTCTCAAAAAAAAAACCGAAAAACAAATCTTCCAGGCTGGAGTACAGTGGCGCGATATTGGCTCACTGCAACTTCCTGCGTCCCCTGGGTTCAAGCGATTCTCCTGCCTCAGCTTCCTGAGTAGCTGGGACTATACAGGTGCCTGCCACCACACCCAGCCAATTTTTTATTTTTAGTGGCGACAGTTTCACCATGTTGGCCAGGGTGGTCTTGAACTCCTGACGTCGTGATCCGCCCTTGTCGTCCTCCCAAAGTGTTGGGATTACAGGCGTGAGCCACTGCGCCCAGCTCAGGTAATGTTTTTACAGCAGTGTGAAAATGGACTAATATAGTACCCCAATGTAAGAGTTTTGAGGAGACATAATCACTCAGACCATAACACCCATGGTAACGCTGATCCTCCAGTTCCATGAGCCACAGAATCCTCCTCATTATTTAAGCCAGTTTGAGATTTTTTTTCTGTTACTTATAACTGAAAGAGACCAACTGACAAATGTATCCACTGTCTTCAGGGTCTAGATGTGGAAAGAAGTGTTTCCTCTTCTGCTGGAGTCAAATTATCTTCCAGGCCTTAGTTTTTTGTTTTCCATCTAAAGATCAACCTTTTCTCCTAAATGACTGACACTGAGTAGCCATCCTTTCAGGAGAGAGTCCATTTCAGACCCACAGGAAGTATGACCTTAGTCTTAAGACATCTTTATCAAAATACAACCGTTCTAATAGCTGCCTAAGACTTATTCAGATGAAGTCTTTTTGCTTTATAACCACATAAGCATATGGAGAAAGAGAATATTTTGGGAAGTACCTGTTTATGCAACATGTTTTAGCCTTTCAGATAATTCCCATGGTACACATTTGGCTTGTACACTCAAAAGATGGAAGTGAATACCACTCTATCAGAAGTTCATGAAGCAGCCCTGAGAGAGAACAAACTAGAACCCATGGGGCATAGCGTGAAGGACAGCCTGAATTGTTCCTTTCTCTTAATAGACTTGTACCAACTGGACTGCATTTTCTGTCCAGTTTTAGGTGAAGTAGATCTTTCAGAACCTGTCCTGGCCCAAACCTGAAAATGGTCCTGAAGTCACAATGTCTCCAGAATCTAGGAGAGCCTCTCTGAAGTGCTTAGGTAACAGGAATTTAACAAAACATATGCTTCAGTAGCTACATGGTGGAACTGAAGCAGAATATTGTGTTTTTTTGTTTGTTTTTGTTTTTTTTGAGACAGAGTCTCACTCTGTCACCCAGGCTGGAGTGCAGTGGTGTGATCTCGGCTCACTGCAACCTCTGACTCCTGGGTTCAAGCAATTCTCCTGCCTCAGCCTCCTGAGTAGCTGGGATTAGAGGTGAGTGCCACCACACCTGGCTAATTTTTGTATTTTTAGTAGAGACGGGGTTTCACCATGTTGGCCAGGCTGGTCTTGAACGCCTGACCTTGTGATCTGCCCCCTCGGCCTCCCAAAGTGCTGGGATTACAGGCTTGAGCCACCGCGCCGGGCCATGTGTGGTATATTTTAAAGGCTGATTTACAATTCTACTAAAGACTTGACAGTGAAATGTTGACATCAGCAACTTAATTCCAATATCTTTCTTCTTTTTTTTTTTTTTTTGAGACAGAGTCTCACTCTGTTGCCCAGGCTGCCTAATAAACCAGTCTGCCCTTTGGGATGTCTCCCCCACCCCCCCACCCCCGCAAATAAGTGATGAGATTTGGAAACTTCTAATTGTCCCCTAATATCTAGTTTTCCTTCCTTAGTACTGAAACCCCATTTTCCAGGCTTCTTCGCAATTTGGTGTAGTCAAGTGACTATTTTAGTAGCAGAATGAAAACAAAAATGGTACATGCAACCCCCGCCCCTTTCAAAAGGTTCTTAAAGAGAGGAGAGTGTTCCCTTCTGCATCCTCTCTTCCGGTGGAACGCCAGCATTGTGACATATTTCAAAAGTAACTTATTCAGCACATATTTATTGAACACCTAGATCCTAGCCCATGTATAAGAGCTATAGGAGAACATTATCCAGGATGGCGTTTTTGGTGATAATTCCATGATGCAAAACCTTTAACTTCATTATACCTCAAGTAAAATGCTTTTTAGATTTCCATTGATAATTACTTGGCTGGGCACAGTGGCTCACGCTTGTAACCCCAGCATTTTGGGAGGCGAAGGCGGGTGGATCACCTGAAGTCAGGAGTTCGAGATCAGCCTGGTGAAATCCCGTCTCTACTAAAAATACAAAAATTAGCCAAGCATGGTGGCGTGCACCTGTAATCCCAGTTACTGGGAAGGCGGAAGTGGAAGGATCGATTGAACGTGGGAGATAAGAGGGTGCAGTGAGCCAAGATCACACCACTACACTCCAGCCTGGACAACACAGCAAGACCCTGTCTCAAAACAAACAAACAAAGCACCCAAAAAACAAAGGTCAACTTTTCCCCAAACAACTAAATGGTTATACGCATTTCTGTAGGAAATTCAGACGGGGCTTCCAAAGGCTGTTAAAGTTATGTTGCAAATCCAAGAGGATGAAAGATACCTGACTATAAGAAAAACAAACAAACAAACAAAAAGATATCTGACTATAAGAAAGACAAAAAAAAAAAAAAAAAGACAAAAATCTGCGTGAATAGACGGGAAAGCGCCGAACAAAATCAGAAGACTAGTTGTATTGTGAGGATCACCTCGGGTAACCAGCAGTCGCTGAGTAGCCCTGGTTGACTAACTTCAACTTTCTGGGGCTCAATTTCTGAATTGAGGGGATTAGAAAAAGGCATCTCTAAAGACCCTCCGTTCCCTTCGAGAACCCTCCCGAAGCACCCTCCCTACTCTGGGCAGCTCGCAGACAAGGCTGATCGGCCATAGGCGAAGGGAGACCCTGGTCCCCCGAGTCTCGAGTTCCGTCCGCACGTGATCTCACGGTACTGCACTTCAAGTCTGCGTGCAGAAACGCAGCAGTGGGAACCCGGCGGCGGTCGCCCACCCGCAGGGGATAGGAGACGCCTGTCTTACTCTGTCCCCAACCGTAGGTAGTTGGGTCTGGACCCCGGCTCCGGGAGCCCAGCAGAGCAGCGGTCCCCACCCCACGGCTGGGAGCTCGCCCTGCCCCCGGCCGGCCACTTGCTGCACGCGGATTGGTCGCTGAGCAGCGCCCGGCGTCCAGCTGCGCCCAGCCAACGCCCTCTCCCCGCCCCCTCGCGTCCCGCCCCGCCCCCCGCCGGCCACTTGCTGCGCTCCGATTGGTCGCTGCAGTGCGCACGGCGCCTCGCCCCGCCTCAGGGGCGCCCTAGCCTCGCGCCGGCCTACAGCTCCCGGCTCCCGGGGCTGAGGTGGAGCCGGTGGACGCCGGCCGGGCTGTGGCGCAGCAGTGTCCTTTCTGCGCGCGCGCCTGAAGTCGGCGTGAGCGTTTGAGGAAGCTGGGTGAGTCCTGTCTGCGGGTCTCCGGCGCCAGGCAACCCTAGGGGGTTCGCGCCCGCCGCCCGCGCGTAAGGAGGCGCCCTAGTCGGGCCCGACCCGGCCTTCGGGGGGCTGTGGCGCCGCCCAGCCAGGTTTTCCCTGTGCTCGGCGCCGGCCTGCAGACTCGGGCCCGCGGAACCCCCGCCGCCCCTTCTTGCCCCTGCCCGCTTCCCTTCGGGCCGGCCGTGACCGTGGCGCCGCGGCGACCCGCAAGCAGCCCGGAGAGGCCTCCCTGCCGCTCTGTCGCGCCGTCAGGTTGCGTTCCTGGGGAGGGCTGGAGAGGTTCCATCTCGTGCCTTTCACCTTCTCGGGCGGCGGGCAAGGAGGCGACGGTTTTCGGGACGCCCTGCTGCGGCCGCGACGCCCTCCCAGGGCCGGAGCGAGGGGCCCGGGGGAGCTCTAGCCCTTCTTCGCCCCTCTCGTTTGCCCCGAACCATTGCTAGGAAGCTGCCCGTGTTTTCTGCACTTTTCTGATTTCATACTTAACCAGAGTCAAGTACAGAGGCGGGAAGGGAAAGGGAAGGGGAACAACATTCTTTCGAGAATTGTAAGCCTTGGGCCCCGTTAAATAAGTAGCAGCAGAGCATTGTCACTGGAGCAGTGGTAGTCGCGGGTAGGACCGTTTCGGTTTTAGGCCGATAAGCTGGTTAAAGGTACTTAAAACAGTACGTTAGAAGGTGCTGAAATTCTAAAATAAATATGTAACCTTTCAAAACCAAAGCAGTGAGACGGCCTGGGCTAGGCTGCTCCCCGCTGCGCGTGCCTGGGTCGGGGGGTGCGGAGGGGCAGGGAGTGGAGGCCTCTGATGGGACGGGATGGGAGGGAAGTGGCATCTGCATCGTCGCGCTCCAAGACCAGACTTTCTCTTTTCGGAGGATCCCACCTCCCCTCTCAGACTCTTCATCCTGCCTGCACTGTGGATCCCTTGACACTTCCAGAGGCTCTGAACTCTCAGGCCGGTCACACTTTTTCATCATTTTGTCTCTTCTCGTCTTTTAAACCTGCATGCATTTCAAACGTAGAGCAAACATTAAACATTTTTTTTTAAACTGAGGATAGTGGTGCAAGACTTCTTTCTTGAAAGGCAAACCAAAAGTTACCTTGAATATTGATCGCGCTGGAAAAGCAGGTTTAATCAGACTGAGGTGGGGACGTATATTTCTTCTTCCAGAGACACAGCCTCCCCACTCGCCACCCCAATCCCTCCTCTCTGTCAACTAGGGTTATGGCGGCTTTACACTGGCTAGTCTTTTCTGAATTCTGAATTCACTTCTGGGGGCCAAGGTAAAGAATTTATCTTATTTTATCCTCATTTTCCTTTTTTATTTTTTTGGAGACAGGGTCTCACTCGTTGACCAGGCTGCAAGTACTGTTGCTGTCGCCTAGGCTGGAGTGCAGTGGCGCGATCTTTGCTCACTGCAACCCATGCCTCTAGGGTTAAAGGGATTTTACAGTCTCAGCCTCCCGACTAGCTGGGATCACAGGCGCCTGCCCCCATGTCCGGCTAATTTTTATACTCTTAGAAGGGAGGGAGTTTCACCATGTTGGCCAGGCTGGTCTTGAACTCCTGACCTCAAGTGATCTGCTCGCCTCGGTCTCTCCACATGCTGGGATTACAGGCGTGGGCACCGCGCCTGGCCTTTTAAAGTTTATTATTATTTGTTTATTTATTTTTTGAGACGGAGTCTCACTCTGTCGCCCAGGCTGGAGTGCAGTGGCGCAGTCTCGGCTCACTGCAAGCTCCGCCTCCTGGGTTCACGCCATTCTCTTGCCTCAGCCTCCCAAGTAGCTGGGACTACAGGCACCAACCACCACGTCAGGCTAATTTTTTGTATTCTTAGTAGATACGAGGTTTCACCGTGTTAGCCAGGATGGTCTCGATCTCGTGACGTCATGATCCACCCGCCTCGGCCTCCCAAAGTGCTGGGATTACAGGCGTAAGTCACCGTGCCCAGCCTAAAGTTTGTTTTTAACTTATTTGTATGTATATATTTTTTTGAGGCAGAGTTTAGCTCTTGTCACCCAGGCTGGAGTGCAGTGGCACAATCGTGGCTCACTGCAACCTCCGCCTCCCAGGTTGAAACGTTTCTCCCGTCTCAGCCTCCCAAGTAGCTGGGATTACAGACGCCCCCCACCATGCCCAGCTAATTTTTGTATTTTTAGTAGAGGCTTGAACTCCTGATCTCAGGTGGTCTACCTGCCTCGGCTTCCCAAAGTGCTGGAATTACAGGCGTGAGCCACCGTACCTAGTCCATTTTCCTTTTTAAATGGTTAAAGTAACATTCAGGTTGTTTAAAACATTTAAACATGACAGAAGAATATCAAGTAAAATTCAGCGCAGAGGTATGTCAAGTTAGGATTCCTTGTTTCTTCACTTTTCACTCTTTACATCCTCAATTCAATTCCCTAGGAGGATATTATACTATAATATTGCTCGGCAGCTGATGATAATATAAGGACACATTTCCTTCTTAAGCATGTAGAGACCTAACTCATTTCCCTGCAACCCCACCCCTCACTTTGGAGACCGGGTCTGACTGTGTTGCCCCGGGTAGAGTGCATGGTTCCCTCACTGCTCACTGCAGCCTTGGGGCTCAAACGATTCTCCCACCTCAGCCTCCCGAGTAGCTGAGACTATAGGTGAGTGCCACCACGCCTGATTTTTGTAATTTTTGTAGAGATGGGTTCCTCATGTTGCCCAGGCTGGTCTTCAATTCCTGAGCTCAAGCTATCCATCTGCCTCAGCCTCTCAGAGTGCTGGGATTACAGGTGTGAGCCATCCTGCCCAGCCAACCTGCCTCATTCTCAAAATGTAGTGGGGTATACTGTTGTTTGGATGTACCCTAATATACATTTTTTGGTTCCTTATTGATGGGCATTTTGGCTGTTTCTGGGTTTTAGCCATTAAAAGCCTTGCTTTATGAAAATCTTTTTGTCATTGTAGGGTATGTTTCAGGTAGATAATATAAACAGATGATTGTACTTTGATATAATTTTATTTCACAAGGAATCTATAACTTAAAGTTTGTTTTTTTTTTTTTGAGACGGAGTCTCGCTCTGTCGCCCAGGCTGGAGTGCAGTGGCGCGATCTCTGCTCACTGCAAGCTCCGCCTTCCCGGTTCACGCCATTCTCCTGCCTCAGCCTCCCGAGTACCTGGGACTACAGGCACCTGCCACCACACCCAGCTAATTTTTTGTATTTTTGGTAGAGATGGGGTTTCACCATGTTAGCTAGGATGGTCTTGATCTCCTGACCTCGTGATCCACCTGCCCCAGCCTCCCAAAGTGGTGGGATTATAGGCATGAGCCACCACGCCTGACATTATAACTTAAAGATTTTATAATTTAAAAGCAGTAGCTAAATCTATTGGAATTAAATGCATTTCTAATATCCGTATATTTTATTTATTTAGAGACGGAGTTTTGCTTTTGTTGCCCAGGCTGGAGTGCAATGGCATGATCTTGGCTCACCGCAACCTCCATCTCCCAGGTTCAAGCAATTCTCCTGCCTCAACCTCCCGAGTAGCTGGAATTACAGACATGCGCCACCACCCCGGCTAATTTTGTATTTTTAGCAGAGACGGGGTTTCTCCATGTTGGTCAGGCTGGTCTTGAACTCCCGACCTCAGCAGGTGATCCACCCACCTTGGCTCCATATATATCTATATATATATATATTTTTTTTTTTTTTTGAGACGGAGTCTCGCTCTGTCGCCTAGACTGGAGTCCAGTGGTGCAATCTTGGCTCACTGCAAGCTCCGCCTCCCGGGTTGATGCCATTCTCCTGCCCCAGCCTCCTGAGTAGCTGGGACTACAGGCGCCCACTACCATGCCCAGCTAATTTATTTGTATTTTTAGTAGAGATGTGGTTTTACCGTGTTAGCGAGGATGGTCTCCATCTCCTGACCTCGTGATCTGCCCGTCTCGGCCTCCCAAAGTGCTGGGATTACAGGCGTGAGCCACCGCGCCCGGCTGCTTGTTCTTTTTAAAAGTAATTTCTTCCTGGGCGCAGTCAGGAGTTCAAGACCAGCCTGGCCAAGATGGTGAAACCCCGTCTCTACTAAAAATACAAAAAAGTAGCCAGTTGTGGTGGTGGGCGCCTGTAATCCCAGCTACTCGGGAGGTGGAGGTTACAGTGAGCCGAGATGGTGCCACTGCATTCCAGCCTGGGCGACAGAGCGAGACTCCATCTCACACACACACACACACAAAAGTAATTTCTTTTATTGCAAATTTTATCTCAGGTACAAAAAATATATAAAACATGTAAAATTTAAAGAATACTATTGCAATGATCATTATGTATCCACTACCAAATTAAGAAACAAAATGTTGGGCCAGGCGCAATGGTTCACACCTGTAGTCCCAGCATCTTGGGAGGCTGAGACAGGCAGATCACTGAAGGCTGGGTGTTGGAGACCCGCCTGGCCAACATGTGAAATCCTGTCTCTACCAAAAATATAAAAATTAGCCAGTCGTGGTGGTGGGCACCTGTAATCTCAGCTACTCAGGGGGCTGAGGCAGGAGAATTGCTTGAACCTGGGAGGTGGAGGTTGCAGTGAGCCCAGATCACGCCACTGCACTCCATCCTGGGTGACAGAGCAAGACTCCGTCTTGGGGGTGGCGGCGGTGGGGGAACAAAATGTTTGCATTTTTTTCTTCCAGAGGTAGCCTCTGTCCTGATTTTTGTGTTTATCTTTCTCTTGCTTTTTAAAATAAGCTTTATGCATGTATACATAAATTCATAAACATATAAATTCATGTACATATACATTTATACATATGTGCATAAATGTTTACAAATATATACATAAATTTGCAGACACACTCCTATATCCTAAACAGTGTATTTAGTGGTTGTTTTTTTTTTTTTTTTGAGACAGAGTCTTGCTCTGTTACCCAGGCTGGAGTGCACTGGCGCAGTCTTAGCTCACTGCTGCCTTCGCCTTCTGGGTTCAAGCGATTCTCCTGCCTCAGCCGCTGGAGTAGCTGGGATTACAGGTGACCACCACCACACCCGGCTAGTTTTTTTATTTTTAGTAGAAACCTGGTTTCTCCAGGTTGGCCAGGCTGGTCTTGAATTCCTGACCTCAGGTGGTCCATCTGCCTCGGCCTCACAAAGTGCTGGGATTACCGGTGTGAGCCACCTTTGTTTTGAATGAATAGTGTTAGAAACACAATTCTCATGCGGATAGTTAAGCAGTGTGTTTCAGTTTTGTTTTACTATTATTGAGAGTTTTTTTTTTGTTTTGAGAGCTGTGTTTTTGTTTTGTTTTGAGTTGGAGTCTGGCTCTGTCGCCCAGGCTGGGGTGCAGTGGCATGATCTCAGCTCACTGCAACCTTCTCCTCCCGGACTCAAGCAGTTCTGCCTTAGGCTTCTGAGTAGCTAGGATTACAGGCGCCCGCCACCATGCCTGGCTAATTTTTGTATTTTAAGTATAGATGGGCTTTGACCATGCTGGCCAGGCTGGTCTCAAACTCCTGACCTTAGGTGATCTGCCCACCTTGGCCTCCCAAAGTGCTGGGATTACAGGTGTGAGCCACCGTGCCCAGCCAAAGAGCTGGTTTTAAAAGGATATAAGGAATCGGTATTTATGCAGTTTGTAGGGAAAGAAAAGTCTCAATAGTATGACTAAGTTAGTTTAATTGGTTAATGTTCCACAAGGCAACAAAATCATAATATCTTTGGGATTGATTTTCTTACCAGGCTATAAAATCATAACACCTCATTAATTTCTGCAGTTAAACCCCAGAGGGCTATAAACTGTCTGCATCTTTATTAATAGTGGGTTGTTCATTAAATAAACTGTAATAACAAAGTTCTGTCCCTGAGAGCGTAGATGAAGTCCAGACATACTTATTAGAAAATGCTGGAGCTTTTTTTTTTTTTTTTTTTTTTTTTGAGATGGAATCTCACTCTGTCACCCAGGCTGGAGTGCAGGGGCGCAATCTCGGCTCACTGCAAGCTCCGCCTCCTGGGTTCACACCATTCTCCTGCCACAGCCTCCCGAGGAGCTGGGACTACAGGCACCCGCCACCTCGCCCGGCTACTTTTTTGTATTTTTAGTAGAGACGGAGTTTCACCGTGTTAGCCAGGATGGTCTCGATCTCCTGACCTCGTGATCCGCCTGTCTTGGCCTCCTAAAGTGCTGGGATTACAGGTGTGAGCCATCGCGCCCAGTCTGAGCTTTTTTTTGAGACCGAGTTTCGCTCAGTTGCCCAGGTGGAGTGCAGTGGTGCCATCTTGGCTCACTGCAACCTCCACCTTCCAGGTTCAAGCAATTCTCCTGCCTCAGTCTCCTGAGTAGCCAAGGTTTCAGGTGTGTGCCACCATGCCCGGCTAATTTTTGTATTTTTAGTAGAGATGGGGTTTCACTATGTTGGCCAGGGTGGTCTCGAACTCCTGACCTCGTGATCCACCTTCCTCGGCCTCCCAAAGTGTTGGGATAACAGGCATGAGCCACCATGCCTGGCCTCATTTTATAATTATAAGGTCAAACTTGACTAAGGAAAGGTTAGCCACTTAGATGAAGGTTTTCAAGAAAAGATGAGCTGAACAGAATGACTTCAGATCCCTTGCCTGTTTACAGGGGGCCTTTCTGAGGAAGTTTATGTGCTGTGTTATGAGTCCTAGGAAAGGGGGGTCACCTCAGTCAGGGTATCTGGAAGGTTCTAGTGGACCACGTAATGGAAAGACAACAAAAATAAGGTCAGAAGGAGTGGGCTTCTCTGCATTTTCTGCTTCTTAGCTCACCATGGCCTACCTGTAGTTAACAGGGTAGGTGAAAGCAGAACCTCTCTGTGGGGGAAGTGAGTGTCGTCTGCTGACGAAGGCTGCACGCCTTGCAGGAGAGCAGGAACTGCATCAGCATATGCTCAGGATCAAGCCAAGCCCCAGTGAGTACAGATAGGCTCTGGGCCAAGTTCTTGGAGCATTCAGTCCTCAGCTTCAAAAGCTGCTGTATTCCAGTGGATTTTTTAAAAGATTGTTTTTTATAAAGGCACAAAATCCCCCACAAAAAACTGCTATACCAGCCAGGACGTTATCTCCTGAGTTACACTGCTGCAGTCTGGCCTGATTATCTGCTGCTTCTGGGGCACAGCTGGATTCTCTTTAGTTCTTCTGTGCAGGATCTTTCCTGTATCCCATATTCTCTTTTATTAATTCACTCTCCCTGTTGAAGCTCAAACTCCAGTAGCTTCTTGACAAGAATAGTTACATTTTTTGGAGACCTTGTGTGTCTGAATATTTTGTTGTTGTTGTTGTTTAAATAGAGACGGGATTTCGCCTTGTTGGCCGGGCTGGTCCTGAACTCCTAGCTTCAAGTGAGAGGCCTGTGTTGGCCTCTCAAAATGCTTCTGAATATGTTTTGATGCTATCCTCATACTTGATTCATATTTTGACTGGTAAAAATCTTTTGGTTGGAAATAATTGTCCTACAGAGTTTTGAATTTACTGCCCCATTGTCATCTTGCTTGCGGTTTTACTGTTAAGAATTCCAAGCTGAGGGCCAGGCATGGTGGCTCACGCCTGTAATCCCAGCACTTTGGGAGGCTGCAGTGGGTGGATTGCTTAAGTCCAGAAGTTCAAGACTAGCCTGGGCAATATGGCAAAATCCCATCTCTATAAAAAATTAGCTGGGTGTGGTAGTGTGTGCTTGTAGTCCCAGCTGTTCCGGGGGCTGCAGTGGGAGGATCACTTGAGCCCAGCAGGTAGAGTCTGCAGTAAGCTGTGATCGTGCCACTGCACTCCAGCCTGGGTGACAGAGCGAGACCCTGTCTCTCTCTCTGTCTGTCTCTCTCTCTCTCTCTCTCTCAGACACACACACACAAACACACACACGAATTCCAAAAGCCTTTGTATGCGACCTGGTTTTTTTCGTATCTGCAAACTTATAGAATCTACACTTTGACCTCAGTGTTTTGAAATTTAAAATGAAGTGTGGGTTTACTCCATTACTTAAGTATTCAATGGGTACTTTAAGTCTGGAAATACAACAACTTTTATTCTGGGGAAATTTTCTTGAAATATTTTGTTGATTCTTTTTTCTCTACTGTTTCCTGTGTAGTTTCTAAAATACCTGTGTTATTTATATGTGAATCTTTTTTACTGGTCTTCTAACTTCTTTTCTTTTTTTGGAGACAGAGTCTCACTCTATCACCCAGGGTGGAGTGCAGTGGCGAGATCTCAGCTCACTGCAACCTCCACCTCCTGGGTCCAAGTGATTCTCCTGCCTCAGCCTCCCAAGTAACTGGGATTATAGGCATGCGCCACCACTCACAGCTAATTTTGTATTTTTAGTAGAGACGTGTCTTTACTCACATGTCTGGCAGTTAGTACTAGCTATTAGCTGGGACCTCAACTGGAACTGTGGGTCAGAACACCTATAAATGGTCTCCTTACAGCATGGTAGCCCGAGCATTAGTGTTCCAGAGAACCAGGCAGATGGTCCGTTGCCTTCTGTGACCTGATCTTGGAAGTTGCATGGCAGAAGTTACTTAGCATCACTTCCTCTACTCTACTGGTCAATTAGTCTTTATTGTTGACCCAAATTCAAAGGTAGGACATAAATCCACCTCTCAATGGAAGAAGTGTCAAATATTTTGGACATGTTTAATTTATTTCATTTATTTATTTATTTTTGTGACAGAGTCTTGCTCTGTTGCCCAGGCTGGAGTGCAGTGGCATGATCTTGCACTGCAATCTCTCCTTCCAGGTTCAAGCAATTCTTGTGCCTCAGCCTCCCAAGTAGCTGTAATTACAGGCATGTGCCACCAGGCCCAGTTAATTTTTCGTATATTTAGTAGAGACAGGGTTTCATAATATTGGCCAGGCTGGTCTCAAACTCCTGGCCTCAAGTGATCTGCCCACTTCGGCCTCCCAAAGTGCTGGAATAACAGGCGTGAGCCACGTCACCTAGCTCCTAGACATGTTTTAAAACCACAGTGCTCATTTATCAAATAGCAGTCTCCCCCTTGTGTCCTAGCGTAGTCCTGTATACATCTCAATTAGGTACTTGTTGAAGTATTGAATTTTTCTTAACTATAGTAGAATAGGACCTAAAGTAAAGTAAAGGAGTAAGATATTTTACTTTTAGAAAACATTGTCTTGGGTTGATTAGTTTTTGTCTTTCTGTTTGTAGGATACAGCATTTAATGAAACATTTATGCTTAAGAAGTAAAAATGGCAGGCTTCCTAGACAATTTTCGTTGGCCAGAATGTGAGTGTATTGACTGGAGCGAGAGAAGAAATGCTGTGGCATCTGTTGTCGCAGGTATATTGGTAAGTGAGAAAGACAGGTTGGTGACATTTATCCCTTACCTTTTGCCCTGGAAATCAATGCCAGTTCCTTTGAACTGAGAATGGCTTTCCAGAACTATTTATTTCACTGCTGTTTTGTATAGATAATTATCAGAGTTCTAGATACTATTGCCAAGCAGAGTATGGTAGGCCCTGGATTCATTTTGACTTTGTAAACGTGTACTTAATATCTTTTCTTCAGTTTCAGTGATAATATAATTATTATAGGCAATAGCATTTTTAACTTAGTGATACAATGTATATAAGTACTTTAAGATCCTTAAAGGCTCAGGATTTAATGTAACACAAAATTATTGTTGTGACTTATTGAAGGTCAGACAACAGTGACAGTACTCTGCAGATAATAGTGACAACCTTAGGCTCCATTAGAACTGAAGCCCTATAGCGGCTCTAGGGAAGAAATACCATCTCTGTTTCCCCAGCTGCAACACCAGGGGAATATCAGAGGAAGACATTTGTGAAGGAAACTATTGTTTAATTTTCTTTCCATCATTTTTTTTTAACTTTTTATTATTGAAAATGACAAGCATAAAACAAAATTAGGCAGAATGTTATAAAGGTTCCGTCTCCTCCTTTATCCCATGTATCTATCATCCAGCTTAAAAAAAAAAACACCACCACCCCAAAATCAGGACCTGTCTTGCTGTATAATTCCATCAACCACTCCCTGGCCGCACTTTTTTTTCTTTTTTTTTTTTTAAAGAGACAAGGTCTTGCTATGTTGTACAGCCACTGGAGTACAGTGGCTATTCACAGGTATGATTGTAGTGTGCTACGGCTTCAGATTCATGGTCTCAAGCAATCTTCCTGCTTCAGTCTCCCAAGTAGCTGGGACTACAGATTTTCTACACTACCATTTCTGGCTCCCACTGCATTTTTTGGAAGCAAATTTCTTTATTTGTTTACATTTTAAAAATTCATCTCTTTGAATGTACAGTTCTACACTTAAGTCCAATAGAATGAAATAAAGCAGAGCAAGAACTAACGATAATTGTGAAGCAGTCTGCTCACTGCGGCCTCTGCCTCCGACTTCCCAGGTTCAAGCAGTTCTTGTGCCTCAGCCTCCAAAGTAGCTAGGATTAGAAGCACATGCCACCATGCCCAGCTAATTTTTGTATTTGTATTTGAATTTTTTCGAGACAGAGTTTCACTCTGTCATCCAAGCTGGAGTGCAGTGGCGTGATCTCAGCTCATTGTAGCCTCCACCTCCTGGGTTCAAGCGATTCTCCTGCCTCAGCCTCCTGAGTAGGCAGGATTATGTGTGCCTGCCACCATGCCTAGTTAATTTTTGTACTTTTAGTAGAGACAAGGTTTCACCATGTTGACCAGACTGGTCTCAAATTCCTGACCTCAGGTAATTTGCCTGTGTTGGCCTCCCAAAGTGCTGGGATTACAGACGTGAGCCACGACGCCCAGCCTTGTATTTTTAGTAGAGGTGAGGTTTCACCATGATGGCCAGGCTGGTCTCGAACTCCTGACCTCAAGTGATCCACCTGCCTCGGCCTCCCAAAGTGCTGAGATTACAGGCGTGAGCCTTTGTACCCGGCCCATTTATATGATCTGTAGGACAAAAGGAATGTTAAAAAGCAGGTATTATGCTAGCAAGAGTTTCAGTGTTTCAGTGACTTGGGCTGTGTTTTAAGTTTTTTACAGGCTGGTGGATAATGATTGATGCAGCTGTGGTGTATCCTAAGCCAGAACAGTTGAACCATGCCTTTCACACATGTGGTGTATTTTCCACATTGGCTTTCTTCATGTAAGTACGATGATAATTCTGTAATCAATATGATTTTTCTAAAAATACTTTCCTGTTAATGTGCAGTGCTTTCTTGAATAACTTTTTGATTTATTTGATAGATTATTTTTTAACATGATGCATACATAATTCCCATTTTATTACGATTTTTTTTTTTAACCAAGAATGAGTGTGGGATTTGGGCATATATCTTTTTAGCACCTATAACGATTATCTTGTGATTTTTTTCCTCATATTTTTTAATCTGGTCAGTTACATATTTTGTCAGTTCCAAGATCTACTTTTTCACATTTTAATACCTCTGAATATCAGGATGCATCTTGCAGTCAGTATATAATTAGTATATTTAGTATAATTAGAATTATAATTGATAACATTTTTATTTCTTGTCAGTATTAAAAATTAATGGTGTATCTTAAAACTCATGGCCTCTGAGATTTAATGAAACACGTTACATTTCTGTGTTTTTTAGTAGTGAATCGTCCATAGGTGTTGTAGTACACTCAACTTTTACCTTGCAGTATTATTATTATTTTTTTAATGTGCTACTTGACTGTGTTTGCCAGTGTTTGAGGAAAAGGCAAGATTGATCTCAAAGAGATTTGTTTGTAGCTTTTATTTAAATTATTTTTAAGTTTATGTTACCTCATTTCATAAAACTAGGAAGCTTTTTATGGATGTCTTTTAACAATTAAAAAATATTAAACATTAAGATTACATCATTTCCTTATACTGTCAGGAGGTTTTATTATTATTGTTTTTTTTTGAGACAGAGTCTTACTCTGTTGTTTGGGCTGGACCGCAGTGGCGCGATCTCAGTTCACTGCAACCTCTGCCTCCTGGGTTCAAGTGCTTCTCCTGCCCCAGCCTCCCAAGTAGCTGGGATTACAGGTGCCTGCTACTACGCCCAGCTAATATTTTGCATTTTTAGTAGAGACGGTGGTTTCACTGTGTTGGCCAGGCTGGCATTGAACTCCTGACCTTGTGATTCACCTGCCTTGGCCTCTCAAAGTGCTGGAATTACAGGTGTAAGCCACCACACCTGGCCAGGAGTTTAAAAAGGTTATATTATGGGAATTGGAACTACTTATATCCATTGTGACTGCTAAAAAAAGGAAATTCCTGCTACTAATTAATGTACCTTGCTCTAACAAAAATGAAAGGGGAAGCTGAATAAAGTGGGCATATTACATAAACTACATTTTCTCTGAGCTTAAGGAATGGATCATAGAAAATCACTTGACTTTTAACACAAGGAGAAACTGTTTAACTCTTGATAATAATGAGAACCTTGAAATGGGATAGCAGTGAGTCATTCATGTATAAATGTGAAATAGACAAAGAAACCAGAAAACTGGCCCCTCTTGTATAATCTCTGCAGACAAGTGATAGAAATCTCTTAAAATAAGTGTGTTTTCTGGGTGTACTTTATGAAAAATAAGACTAATGTAACATTTCTATCCACTAGCATTTTTATTAGGTTAAAAGATGTTAAATTATTCGTATATTGATTTTAGTTATGAAATAATCTGTTTTCTAAGTGATATATAAATATTTGAGTATTTTAACAGCAAATACTGAAATTCATTTAATGATTTTGTACTGTTCTAGGATAAATGCTGTATCCAATGCTCAGGTGAGAGGTGATAGCTATGAAAGCGGCTGTTTAGGAAGAACAGGTAAAGATACTTTGAGCTGTTAATGTGTGTTAACAAAATAGAAATTTGTCACCAGAAAAAAAGCCTCTCTTGTGAGTCTTTATTCAGGACTGGTGATGATTATATGGAATATTTTTTATTTGCTTTAGAAACAAGTTTTAGTGTTATTCAAATCCTTAAGAAAGTAAGTTATTGCTAGAAGTTATTATTTTTGTCATGTTACACTGCCCATGATATAGATAAAAAATGTTGCTATTCAGATGGATCTTGGACTCCAGTGCTAATGATGGATTTATTCTTATCCCAGTTGTTGACCAATAATGCTACTTACAAGATGGCTGACTGTGATTATTAACGGAAAATAATGAACACATTAGGGGATCGAACCTAGGACTACAGTGTCTTTACATTCACTTCTGATCACCTGAGTAGCCACCCACAGACTGCAACAAAATTGTTCAGAAGAAAGATGCTATTTGTCTACACATAAATTAGTTTTTTTAGTTTGAATTCATTTGAATTATCATCCCTTTTTTTTTTTTTCAGACGGAATTTCGCTTTTCTTGCCCAGGCTGGAGTGCAGTGGTGCGTTTTTGGCTCACCGCAACCTCCACCTCCTGGGTTCAAGCGATTCTCCTGCCTCAGCCTCCAGAGTAACTGGGATTACAGGCATGCGCCACCATGCCTGCCTAGTTTTGTAGGTTTAGTAGAGATGGGGTTTCTACATGTTGATCAGGTGATCTGCCCACCTTGGCCTCCCAAAGTGCTAGGATTACAGGAGTGAGCCACTGTGCCTGGCCCAACTGTGTTTTTTAAAAATTTACGGCCAGGCATGGTAGCTCACACCTGTAATTCCAGCACTTTGGGAGGCTGAGACGGGTGGATCACCTAAGGTCAGGAGTTTAAGACCAGCTTCGCCAACATGGAGAAACCCCGTCTCTACTTAAAAAAAAATACAAAATTAGCCAGGCATGTTGACTCACTTCCGTAGTCCCAGCTACTTGGGAGACTGAGGCAAGAGAATCGCTTGTACCCGGGAGGCGGAGGTTGCAGTGAGCCAAGATCACCTCATTGCACTCCAGCCTGGGTAACAAGAGCGAAACTCTGTCTCAAAAACAAACAAACAAAAAATTTACATTATAATATGAAGAAATTAAGGTACAGTGGGCTTAAATAATGTGTCCAAAGTCACAGAGCAAGTAAGTGGTGGAGCCAGGATTGAACACTCCAGAGCCCATGCTTTTAGCCACCATGCTGTACTTGTTTCCCATCTAGAACCATTTGGTCACTTTGTCTGGTTTGGTACCACGTGTATATTTTTTCTTTTTGTCAACTTAACTGAATATAATTTAAGTATAATATAATTCACTATTATTTTATGAAATTTTTTTGAGATAGAGTCTCTCTGTCCCCCAGGCTGGAGTGCAGTGGCACAATCTTGGCTCACTGCAGCCTCCACAGCCTGGGACTCAAGTGATCCTCCCACCTCAGTTTCTCAAGCAGTTGTGATTATAGGGACATGCCATCACGCCCAGCTAATTTACTTATTTTTTGTAGAGACAGGGTTTTACCATGTGGTTCAGGCTGGTCTTGATCTCCTGGCCTCAAGCTATCCACCTGTCCTCAAGTTATTAGCTTCCCAAAGTGCTGGGATTACAGGCATGAGCCACCACGCCTGACCAGAATCCACCAATTTAAAGTGTACAGTTTGATGAGTTTGAACAAATGTGTACAGTTACAGTTGTGTAACTACCACTACAATCATGATATAGAACACCAAAAAGTTCCTTCATACCCCTTTTTATAGTTAATCCCCTTCCCCTCACCTCCTGGTCACCACTGATATACTTTCTATGACGGTAGCTTTGCCTTTTCTGCTCTTTCATATAAATGGGATCATATGGTAAGTATCATAGCCTTTTAAACCAAATAAAGCAGCTGTGAAGAGCTTAGCTTGCTTTTCTACTTGGCGTCTTATTTTTTTAATTTTGTATGTATTTTTTTTGAGATGGAGTCTTACTCTGTCACCCAGGCTGGAGTGCAGTAGTGTAATCTCAGCTCACTGCATCATCCGCCTCCCAGGCTCCAGCAATTCTTCTGCCTCAGCCTCTTGAGTAGCTGGGATTACAGGTGCCCGCCACCACGCTTGGCTAATTTTTGTATTTTTAGTAGAAACTGGGTTTCACCATGTTGGCCAGGCTGGTCTCGAACTCCTGACCTCAGGTGATCCACCCGCCTTGGCCTCCCAAAGTGCTGGGATTACAGGCATGAGCCACCATGCCCAGCCTTCTACCTGATACTTTAATGCTGATGTAGATTTTATAACCTCACTTCTACTGGAATCCATGGAGAATTCGCGAGAGGATATAATGACAAATGACAGATGAACCTAAGTTTAAAGTGTGTGTGTGTATGCGCATGCAATTGCGCTCACTTTTTAGCATATCCTGTGTGTCAGCCTCAGCAGTAATGTCAGGAATGAGGGAAGGTAAAGAAAAAATAATATATATTAGCAAGTGAAGATGTTGTATGTAGAGCATACAATAATGTACTCCATCATTTTTCTTTAAAGAATATTCCACGGACATTGCTGTGAATTATGTTACTATTATCTTTTTTTGAGACAGGGTCTTGCTCTGTCACCCAGGCTAGGGTGCAGTGGTGTGATCATAGCGCAGAAAAGCCTGGAACTCCTGGGCTCAAGCAGTCCTCCCCCTTCAGCCTCCAGAATAGTTGGGATTACCCGTGTAAGCCACTGTGGCTGGCCACTATTACCCGTTTTTTATAGGAAGTTTCATTGTAACTTATCCAAAGTTTTTTAACTTAAAAGTGGAACCTGTATTTGTCTTTGGTCTGTCTGGTTCCCAGGCCCATCGTTTTTACCCTCACTAAGTGATTATTCTGTGATATTCCCTATTCTGTTAAAATTAACAGTGCAGTTTATATATTGTGCATATAGTGCAGTTTCTGTCTAGTGCTTCAGAAATTAAGGACAAACTGTCTTAGAGTCATGCCCAGGTGTTGCTACTCTTTAGCTTTTGTACTCCTTAAGTGGTTTATTTGTAAACCATCTCTATTTAGTTCCCAGAGGAATTAATAGGAAAGTATCAAAATAATAAATATACTATAAATGAAACAGGTAAATAATAAAACCATAAAAAGGAACCAGAACTAGGTAGAAAAATGATCGTTGTACTTAGAACCTGGGACAAGATGGATGCTTTTAATTGTCATTAACCTTAGCTCAGAGCTTCCTTGTAGCCAGAGCAAACAAGAAAATATTATAGTTTTATTTTTTTGCTAAACAAAAGCATACTTCTTTTTCTTTTTTTTCTCTTTTTGTTAATATGCCGTCAGACGTACTTATTTTTCAAGAGAAACTTTTTTCTTGTTTAATTCTATTAGAAAGTTTAATGTATATAGCTATAAATAAAGGTCATGATGGAAAATAATTGTAAGGATTTTTTTTTTTTTTTTTTTTGGCGGGGGGAAACAGAGTTTTGCTTTGTTATGCAGGCCAGAGTGCAGTGGCAGGATCTCGGCTCACTGCAACCTCTGCCTCTCAGGTTCAAGCAATTCTCTTGCCTCAGCTTCTTGAATGGCTGGGACTACAGCACCCAATTGATTTTTTGTTCTTTTAGTAGAGATGGGGTTTTACCATGTTGCCAAGGCTGGTCTCGAACTCCTGAGCTCAGGCAGTCCGCCCACCTTGGCCTCCCAAATTTCTAGGATTTACAGGTGTGAGCTACTGTGCCCGGCCTTTAAGGATTTTTAATAGTTCCTTTTATTCACATTAGATAAAAGCTATAATTGAATATAATTTAGAGATTGTATTTCTCCAAAGCATTAAACATTACTGTTTTTATTTCTGGAGATCTGCTTAGTATTGTAATAAAATTTAGATAATATAGAGATCTGTTTCTCTCAAATATCAGCTGTTCTAACCATCATGAACTTTGATCAGTGTTTCCTCCTTATCTAGTGTCTAAAATGAATCTATTCAGTGGTAACGAAATATTTGCAACTGAGGCAAATTTAGTTTTCTGTTATGGAAGTTGGCTAGGATTTTATTTTTACTTCAGTGGAGCTTTGTTCCCCTTGCAGAGGTGATGGGGCTGTCAGTATACCTGTGAACAGGGTCTGGTGCAAGTGTTAACCTGCTTTCCTAAAAATGTGTTGAATCTACTCAGGTGTCCAGATGATTACATTATTGACATCTAGAATTTTGTTCAATACAGGGTTGAAGAGATGCTTCTGATTTTGAAGTTTTCATGAATATGTGGTACAGATTGGCTGCCTCAGCAATAAACAAGCCTGAATATACTCTAAAGAATGGCCATTATTTGTACTATATTGAGTAATGGTGTGATTATAGAAGCTTATTATTGATTAAAAAGGGACATATTAGTCCTTCTTCATTTGACGTCTCTCATTCCTTTGTGATGATGGCTATCCCGAATGCATATGCTACTTTTAATAGGGCAGTTATTTTGATAATATATACAGCAGCGTAATTTTTTAGTTAGGGCATTCATTTCTCTAGTCAGTAAAAAGGTAACTTACTTTTTTTCCTTTTCCATGTATGGTTTAACTTCTTTTAGTTTTTTTTTTTTTTTTTTAATCATCATTCATTTAACTTAGAGCAGATTTATATAAATATATGACTATCTTTGATATGCATAATACATATAAGGCTAACAGGGCTTCTAGTGTTATGTATTCCTAAGACGTTATAGGGCTGTAAAATTGAACAAAATCATAAGCCTCTTCTCCACACAGGTGCTCGAGTTTGGCTTTTCATTGGTTTCATGTTGATGTTTGGGTCACTTATTGCTTCCATGTGGATTCTTTTTGGTGCATATGTTACCCAAAGTAAGTATTCTTCCTGTATTTTATAGGAGAGATTCAGATATGTCTTTTATATTTGGCTAACTCTACCTTGAGTACAATTTAGTATCATTACTCAGTTAGATTGAAGATATTACTCTGTGTGAAGATACATGAGTTGTTTAATAAAACTTGTCAGTGGGAACACAGTGCAGTAGGATAGCTGTGGTTAGGAAATCCAAGCCACTGACAAAGCCGGTACCTCTCAGCCATCTCCAGACTTTCTGCTTTCCTTCCTTACCTTAGGATAGCCAGGATTTTTTGCTAGAGGCCCATTTACTGGGAGTTGCAGTAGAACAAGTGAGAAACCAGTACAGGTGTACAGTCCCTTATATATAATTCTAAAATCCACAAAATGCTGAAAATCAAGTTATTTATAACTAGTTTGGCAGCAAAACCTGACCTAAACTGACACAGGGCTCACTGTTTTCTTTATCCCATTTAGTGTCAGTATTCAAATGTTTTGTTGTAGGAATGAAAATAGATGTATTAGGTTATAGGATGCTTGTCCATACCCAGCTGGCAGTGCTATGCAGTATATGTGCTTTGCCTTACTGTTCTTAAATCTGAAGAATTCTGAATCCCAAAATATATCTTGCCCCAGGGATTTCAGATAAGGGGCATAGACCCCTTATCTGATAATCTATGGATTATCAGTAATCTTTCTTTTCATAAACACCTTCTTTGTCCAACCTAATCCTGTACTTTTTTTTTTTGGAGATAGAGTCTCACTCTATCGCCCAGGGTGGAGTGCAGTGGTGTGATCTTGGCTCTTTGCAACCTCCGCTTCCCAGGTTCAAGTAATTCGCCTGTCTCAGCCTCCCAAGTAGCTGGGATTAGAGGTGCGTGCCACTATGCCCAGCTAATTTTTGTATTTTTTTTTAGTAGAGACAGGGTTTCACCATGTTTTCCAGGCTGGTCTCAAACTCCTGACCTCAAGTGATCCACCCATATTGGCCTCCCAAACTGCTGGGATTACAGGTGTGAGCCACCGCGCCCAGCCAAACCTGTTATTTTAAGTCACGGGTACAGGGGGAGTTTTTTAAGGGCAAGACTGAAGATATATATGTGTACCCTTCATACAGAAACAGTTGATGGAGTGGGATGAACTCTTATTACACCATGCTGAGTTTTCTGGATGTGCCAGGTGCCATAGCTTTTCATTCACAGTAGTGTTGAAAAACAGAACTCAGCTTCAGAAGTGTCTCTGGAAGCGTTGGAAGACTGTTTCACTGGCCGTCTTCCTTTGCTCCAAAGACAGGAGTCAGAGAACACAATTTATTCATCCTCTGACTCCTCTGCCTCTGGAATCTCTTTGTCAGCCTTCTTTGCTTAACTGTCACATCTCCTTGTCCTGACTCACAGCTGATTTTTGAATACTTTTGATAGTATCATTTAAGTCTCATAGTTTGATCAGTGTAAGATCTTTGGAATACCTTTGTTTTTGCTTTGTCTTTCACTTGGTACAAAATAAGTCACATTACAAGAGGACAGTGGTTGGCTTAAATAACATTGGTCACCAGCTGTGTCTGAAATGTGTTTTTTAGTTAATTAAAAATACTACTAGAGCACATAGTTCTGGTATGAAGTGTATCTGAAGGAAAATGCTTTTTTAAAAATAGCTTCATCGAGATGTAATTTGCATGCCATATAATTCAGCCATTTAAAATATGCAGTTGAATGTTTTTAGTATTTTCACAGAATTATGCTACCATCACCACAATCCAATTTGAGAATATTTTTATCACCACCATACCCACTAGCAGTCACTCCCCATTACTCCTTCCCATAGCCCTAGGCAGCCACTAATGTACTTTCTGTCTCTATAGATATATCTATTTCATACACATGGAATCTTATAGGAAACTGTTTTTTTGAGACAGAGCCTTGCTCTGTTGCCCAGGCTGGAGTGTGGTGGCATGATCTTGGCTCACTGCAACCTCTCCCTCCCAGGTTCAAGCAATTCTCCTTTCTCAGCCTCCTGGGTAGCTGGGATTTCAGGTGCATGCCAACACGCCCGGATAATTTTTGTGTTTTTAATAGAGATGGGATTTTACCATATTGGTCAGGCTGGTCTCGAATTTCTGACCTCAGGTGATCCACCCACCTCAGCCTCCCAAGGTGCTGGGATTACAGGCATGAGCCACTGTACCCAGCCAGAAAGTGTGTTTTTTTTTTGTTTTTTTTTTCTTTCTGAGACAGAGTTTTGCTCTGTCGCCCAGGCTGGAGTGCAGTGGCGCGATCTTGGCTCACTGCAAACTCTACTTTCCAGGTTCCCGCCATTCTCCTGCCTCAGCCTCCCGAGTGGCTGGGGCTACAGGCGCCTGCCACCATACCCAGCTAAGTTTTTGTATTTTTAGTAGAGACAGGGTTTCACCATGTTAGCCAGGATGGTCTCAATCTCCTGACCTCATGATCCACCCACCTCAGCCTCCCAAAGTGCTGGGATTACAGGCATGAGCCACTGTGCCCCGCCAAAAGTGTGTTTTAAACTCATTTTATCCCTGACTAAGAAGGGTGGGCTGCTGTCACTGATTTTCTTAAAAGGTCTCCATAGTTATGTTAAAGAAAAACTTTAGATAAATTAACAATTTGAGCAAAGAATGATTCATGAATTGGGCAGGACCCAGAACGAAGAAGAGGTTCAGAGAGCTTCACCCAGCAGCATTTGCATGCTGTAGGCTGAACACAAAGCAAAGACAAGAAATTTTTAGATTGTCTATAGCTATGTTTGTCTTATTTGTGCATGGTCTCATCAGTTGGCTGCTTGGGATTGGCTAAAGCTTAGCTGTTTGTGATTGACTAAAATTCAGCTATTTATTACAAAAATATAACCCTAGGTTTCAGTTTGTTTACATAAGTTAGGTTGCAGGGGGTGGGGTCACACAGGAACTCAGAGTGGGGAGATAGCCTCAGGTTAATGGCCACCTGCTTATTTACTTTAGCACTTGATGTGATCCATGAACTTTACAGTTTCTATAGTGAAAATAGGAATAAATTGCCATTTCTCTAAGGTATGTAGGGAAATATTGTTTGTAAAGGCTATACTCTCGTTGAGTGTATCTTTTTTTTTTTTTTTGAGACGCGTTTCACTCTTCTCGCCCAGGCTGTAGTGCAATGGCATAGTCTTGGCTCACTGCAATCTCTGCCTCCTGGGTTCAAGCGATTCTCCTGCCTCAGCTTCCCGAATAGCTGGGATTATAGCCATCTGCCACCACTCCCAGCTAATTTTTTGTATTTTTAGTAGAGATGGGGTTTCACCATGTTGGCCAAGCTGGTCTTGAAGTCCTGACCTCAGACGATCCACCTGCCTTGGCCTCCCAAAGTGTTGGGATTACAGGCATGAACCACCATTCCCAGTCAATTGTATCTTAATATTTAAAGAACTAGTACATATTGATAAATTTCTTGGTTGTGAATTTCATCTTTCTATTTCAACAGCTTTACTAATTTAAATATACTTTTTTTTTTTTTTAAGATGGAGTTTCGCCCTGTCGTCTAGGGTAGAGTGCAGTGGTGCAGTCTTGGCCCACTGCAACCTCTGCCTCCTGGGTTCAAGTGATTCCCCTGTCTCAGTCTCCCAAGTAGCTGGGATTACAGCCATCCACCACCATGCCCGGCTAATTTTGTATTTTTAGTAGAGACAGGGTTTCACCATGTTGGCCAGGCTAGTCTCAAACTCCTGACCTCAAGTGATCCACCCACCTTGGCCTCCCAGAATGCTAGGATTACAAGCGTGAGTCACCACGCCCAGCCTAAATATTCTTTTTTATTTGTAAAGTGAATATGACTTTATTTCAGAGAGCATTTCTAGGGCATGTTTCCAGTCTTTTATTGTGCAGATTTGCTTGAACTATTAATATTCATAATGATAGCCAACTTTTATATATTACTTTATAGGCTAGATATTGTTCTAACACTATATAGAGTCACTCATCTAATTCTTACACTCTGGAGTAGGTGCTATTACAATGCCTGTTTTACAGGTGAGGAAATGAAGATATACTGAGGTTAAATAATTTGTCCAAGGTCATACATTTAGTCATTGGTGTAGATAGGATTCAAACCTGGGTCTGGCTCAAATTTGGAGCTCTTAACCATGGTGTTCTTTGTTTGCTATGATATCAAGAGCTCAGAATTGAACCAGTTTCTTCATCCTCTCCAGTATTTTTTAATCAACATTTATAGTTTTACAAAAGTTAATCATCTACAAAAATTTAAGTAGTTTCCATTTTGTTTCTTTTCTCTTCCTATAAAGATAGTAACCATTTCCTCCAGGATAGATTCAGTGAGAGAGAATAATGGTAAATTATAACTGTGTTATTTATATCTGACATGTTTGCATAATAAAACTCCTGGATTGAGAGCCAGGCACTGTGGTGTGTGCCTGTAGTCTCAGCCACATGGGAGGCTGAGGCAGGAGGATCACTTGAGCCCAGGAGTTTGGACTGTAGTTTGCTATGATAGTGCCTGTCAGTAGCTGCTGCACTCCAGTCTGGGCAATGTAGTGAGGCCCCATTTCTTTAAAAACAAACACAAAAACTTCTTGAATTCATGAAAGAAAATAAATTAACAGACTGTTTAAAAGTCAAGAATTTAACTTGTATATTTTTACGATTTTGTATTTCATTGTTGGCCATAGGAGGCAAAGGAACAAGTTACTGCTTCCTCAGCAGTTTTGATGTAGCTAGAACCAGCAATTACTTTAGACTAAAAGAAAACTTGATTAAGTTCATTGACTTTTATCCAGAGTAAGAGCAGTCCTTTGCTTTGGGGGAATTAAATTGGCATTTTCTTCTTTCAGTGTCATTATAGATGTCTTAGAGTTAATGAATAATAGTGTTATGTTGTAATATACAAAATGTATCATTATGAATGGTATTGATACTTTATTAGTGACGTTTGCCTATATAACCTTCTAATCTGTTTTACTTTATGTATGTAGATACTGATGTTTATCCGGGTCTAGCTGTGTTTTTTCAAAATGCACTTATATTTTTTAGGTAAGTTGCCTAATTTTTTAACTACACCTGTAACATTTACAGAAATGTCAGCTTAATTAAGGCAGCATATACATGAAACACATATAAATCCCATGGACTGGTTACAATGATAGAACTTCTTTTAAAGGGTGAGAATTCCACTGTTACATAAGAGCAGACAGGCCTTTTAAATAGGGGTCTTGCTGTGTATCAAGACTTGAGCTGGATCCTTTATATATTTTACCTTTTAAATTCCCATTTAGACCAAGTGCAGTGGCTCATGCCTGTAATCCCAGCACTTTGGGAGGCTGAGGTGGGTGGATTGCTTGAGCCTAGGAGTTTAAGACCAGCCTGGGCAACATGGCAAAACCCTGTCTCTACAAAAAAATAGGAAAATTATCTGGTTGTGATGATGTACAGTGCCAGCTGCTCAAGAGGCTGAGGTGGGAGAACTGCTTGAGCCCAGGAGGTTGAGGCTGCAGTGAGGCAAGATTGCACCACTGTACTCCAGCCTGGGCAATAGAGTGAGACCCTGTCTCAAAAATAAAATAAAATAAATAAATGAATAAATAAATTCCCATTTAATTATTTTAAATATATGTCAGGTGTTATTCCCATTTTATTTATTTTTATTTTCATTTATTTATTTATTTTTGAGATGGAGTCTCACCCTGTAGCCCAAGCTGGAGTGCAGTGGAACAATCTCGGCTCACTGCAACCTCTGCCTCAGGGCTCAAGCGAATGATTCCCGTGCCTCAGCCTCCTAAGTAGCTGGGACTACAGGTGCACACCACCACGCCCAGCTAATTTTTTGTATTTTAGTAGAGACGGGGTTTCACCATATTGCCCAGGGTGGCCTCGAACTCCTGAGCTCAGACGATTTGCCTGCCTTGGCCTCCCAAAGTGCTGGGATTATAGGTGAGAGCCACTGCACCCAGCGTTATTCCCATTTTATAGACGAGGAAATAAAGTTTAGAGCTTGCTTTAGGATGCCTAGCTAGTAATTGAGAAGCTGGGATTTGAATCCAGACTGCTGCTTCCATAGCCTGTGTTTTGTTAAAAAACATATCAGACCCGTTGTTTCTCTTAACTAGCCTTTTGAAAAAAAAAAAAAAATTAACGACAACAACAGGTAAAGTACCTTTATTAAGAAAAAAGGAAAAACCAGAATTAATACATAGTGGCCAGGCGTGGTGGCTCATGCCTGTAATCCCAGCACTTTGGGAGGCTGAGGCAGGTGGATCACCTGAGGTCAGGGGTTTGAGACCAGCCTGGCCAACATGGTGAAACCCCATCTCTAATAAAAATACAAAAATTAGCCGGGCATGGTGGTGCATGACTGTAATCCCAGCTACTCAGAAGGCTGAGGCAGGAGAATCACTTGAACTCGGGAGGCGGGGGTTGGAGTGAGTCAAGATAGTGCCACTGCATTTCAGCCTGGGTGACAGAGCTGTATCAAAAATAATAATAATAATTAATACATGGTATGCATGTTATATACAAAACCTGTTGGGAAATTGTGTTTTCTGAATGCCTTTTTAAGAAAACTTAAGTGGAAAAATAAACCAATATTAAAAGTATTTTTTAGGAGCAATCTTCTAAAAATATCCCCCAAATGAAGTCCATATTCTATGATTTTTAGAATAAATGTCTTTTTTTTGAGGCGGGGGGGCTGGATTCTCACTCTGTTGCCCAGGCTGGTGTGCAGTGGTGCAATCTCAGTTTAGCGTAATCTCTGCCTCCCAAGTTCAAGCAATTCTCGTGCCTCAGCCTCTCAAGTAGCTGGGATTACAGGCACGCACTGCCACACCCAGCTAATTTTTGTATTTTTAGTAGAGATGGGGCTTTGCCATGTTGACCAGGCTGGTCTCGAACTTCTGACCTCAAGTGATCTGCCGGCCTCAGCCTCCCAACATGGTAGGATTACAGGTGTGAACCACTATGCCCGGCCTAGAATGAATGTCTTTTAATGTCAACATAGGATATTTAGGTATTTATTTATAAAATTTTATCTGCCTCTGTCCCCACCCCCCATAAATCATTAAGTAAATTCTAAGCCTTGAAAAACTTTGTTTTTGTCACTGGTTTTAAGTAATTTGATTATGATGTACTGTGGTCTAGTTTTCTTCATATTCCTTTCACTTGGTGTATATTGAGTTTCTTGGATCTGTGGGTTTATAGTTCATCAACAAATCTAGATTCTTTTCAGCCATTATTTCTTCAAGCATTTTTTGTATCCACTCCACCCTTCTTCTGGGATTTCAGTTGCATGTTATAACAGACTGCTTAAAGTTGTCTCACAGCTCGCTAATGGTCAAATTTTTTTTTCCTCTTTGTGTTTCAGTTTGGATAGTTTCTATTGTTACATTTTAAAATTAATCTCTGCTGGGCATGGTGGCTCACGCCTGTAATCCCAGCACTTTGGGAGGCCAAGACGGGTGGATCACTTGAGGTCAGGAGTTCGAGACCAGCCTGGCCAACATGGTGAAACCTCATCTCTACTAAAAATACAGACATTAGCTGGGCATGGTGGTGCATGCTTGTAACAGCTATTCGGAAGGCTGAGGCCGGAGAATCACTTGAACCCAGGAGGCTGAGGTTGCAGTGAGCTAAGATCGCACCATTGCTGAGCAACAGAACGAGAATGAGACTTCATCTCAAAAAAAAAAAAAAATTACTCTCTACTTCTGCAGTGTCTAATCTATGCCATCCAATGATTTTTTCATCTCAGACGTTGTATTTTCTGTCTCTAGAAGCTTGATTGGGTCTTTAGAAATATTTCTGATGTCTTTCTTTAACATGCTCATGCCCTCTTCCACCTTCTTGAACACACAGAGTATATTTATAGCTATCTCAGGGTCCTTGTCCAATTGTCTGTGTCATTTCTGCATCTGCTTCTATTGATTTTTTTCTGCTTCTGTTTGCTCTTCATTTTGGACCTATTTTCCCTTATTTGGTGCTTTGCATACAATTTGTTGGGACTGGATCTTTGTTAGTCCTTTAAATGTTTTTGAGCTTTGTTTTGGGATGCAGTTAGGTGACTCAGAAACAGTTTGGTCCTTTTATGTCTTTTAAGCTTTGTTATAGGCAGGACCAGAGCAGCTATAGCCCAGGACTGATTTGTCCGCTTACTAAGGCAGTCATACCAGTACTTTGAGTGTTTCCACGGTCTGATGCTTCGTGTATTCCAAGGTTTCTCTACTCGACTTGTGAGAATGTGAACTCTCTTCCAGCCTTGTGGTAGCTGTGGGATGTGTTCTTTCCAGTGGTTCTTTCCTTCACTTGGGTAGTTTCCTCTTATGTATAGACTGATCAATACTCAGCCACAGACTCAAGGAGCACCCCCTGCAGATCTCCTGCGTTCCCTCTGTGTGGCTGTCTGTATGCTGTGTGGCAAACTGTAGCCATGTGGTCTCCCCCAACTCTCAGACCACCCTGCTCTACCTGGATTTCTCCTTATGGCCTTGACATTCTGGTTTTGAAAGATGTTTGGCAGTTTCTGCTTTCTTACGTGCTGTCAGTCACATGTCTTTGGCATGTGACTGACAGCCTTCTGGTGATATAAGTTATTATGAAGACATTTGAGGCAATCTTTATAGATTAAGTTTAAGGTCAGATTCAACGCTTTGTGGTGGTAGATGAATCCACTTAAATGACTGTTGGATGAACAGAAACCTTGTATGCTCAGGTGGACATAGCTGACAGCCGTGTCAACTATGTGCTCTGCCCAGAGGCTGGCAAGTTATCAGGCAGCCTGTGTGCTTCCTCTGAGCTGCACCTGTTCTAAGCTCTGGGGTACAGCCTCTTTTATTTACATCTCTGGTCACTCCTCTGTTTCCCTTGCAAGCTGATCCTCCACTCCATGCCTACTACCTTTTGAAGTCTCTTAAAGCTCTGTTCTTGGCCTTAAGAAACTCCTTGTTATTTTTCTGTCTCTGGGTGAACTCATGTATACTTAGGACTCCAGTTATTGCTTATATGCCAGTGAGTCACAGATGTCCCTTTCCAGGCCTAAACCATATATCCAGATTCCTACTTCACATCCCTTCCTGGGTTGCTGACAATTCAAATCCAAAACATTTAGTACGCCCACAGCTCAATGCGTGGCCCTGGAGTGTCCCATCTCTCTGTTCCCACCTCCTTATCCCCTCTCTCACTTTGCCGAGATAATTCCCCCTCTTCTTTGGGATCTGAGTTCAGTCACCACTCCTCAGGAAAACCTTTCCTGACCTCTCTAACTAGGTCTGATCCTTATGTTTCACTCTTAGGACACTGCACCTCTCATTTATAGCGTTTTTTTTATAGTTGGAATTTTATATTTATTTGATTGTCTCCTTATTAGACCCTTAGCTCCATTAGGGAGCAAGTTTGTCTGGACTCAAAGTCTCATCCCAGCACTTAGGTGCTTGGTACATAACCAGTTTTCAGTGCACAATAATTATTTGTTGAAGGAATGAAGAATTGCAGTATGGTCTGTTGTAGGGTGCTTCAGTTACTGTAGTTTAGATATGGTAGGCTCCTGGAGACATAAAATGGCCCTAATGCCTGTCACTATGAGAATGGTCTCTCTCTCTCTTTTATTTTTTTTGATGTATTGATTCATTTTTTTTGTTTCTGAGTCATAGAGAAATGTCTCTTTTCCTTACAAGTTGCCTATTTATAACTTTCCAGGCTTTAAGAAAGAATACAGTTATGCTCAGCCATCGTGGTTAACAGACTGCTTTACAAAATAAGCAAATTAAGACCAACACTGCCATGATGTCTAATTTAATTTTTTAAATTGATAGAAAGGAATCAGTGAAGTACCTGTCAAAGCATATTGAGAAAATGAATTTTGTGTTGCTTGTTCCATCTGTTTTTTCCTCATGATTTGTTTTCCTATCTTTCTAGCACTCTGATCTACAAATTTGGAAGAACTGAAGAGCTATGGACCTGAGATCACTTCTTAAGTCACATTTTCCTTTTGTTATATTCTGTTTGTAGATAAGTTTTTTATCTCTCAGTACACATTGCCAAATGGAGTAGATTGTACACTAAATGTTTTGTTTCTTTACATTTTTATGTTCCGAGTTTTGAAATAGTTTTATGAAACGTCTTTATTTTTCATTGCGTAGACTGTTAATACTAATATGTATATAATACAAGACTATATGAATTGGATAATGAGTATCAGTTTTTTATTCCTGAGATTTAGAACTTGATCTGTTCCCTGAGCCAGGGTTATATCATCATGTCATTTTAGAAGTAACCACTCTCTCTGGCTGGGCACGGTGGCTCATGCCTGTAATCCCAGAACATTGGGAGGCCGAGGCAGGCGGATTGCTTGAGGTCAGGAGTTTGAGACCAGCCTGGCCAACGTGGCGAAACTCCATCTACTAAAAATACAAAAATTAGCCAGGTGTGGTGGTGTGTGCCTGTAATCCCAGCTACCCAGGAGGCTGAGGCAGGAGAATCGCTTGAACCCAGGGGACGGAGGTTGCAGTGAGCTGAGTTTGTGCCACTGCACTCTAGCCTGGGGCACAAAGTGAAACTCCGTCTCAAAAAAAAAAAAACAAAAAACCACTCTCTCTCAGTATCTCTGATTTCTGAAGATGTACTAAAAATACAGCTTTGGCCGGGCGCGGTGGCTCACGCCTGTAATCCCAGCACTTTGGGAGGCCGAGGCAGGCGGATCACCAGGTCAGGAGATCAAGACCATCCTGACTAACACAGTGAAACCCCGTCTCTACTAAAAATACAAAAAATTAGCTGGGCATAGTGGCGAGCACCTGTAGTCCCAGCTACTCGGGAGGCTGAGGCAGTAGAATGGCATGAACCCAGGAGGCGGAGTTTGCAGTGAGCTGAGATCGCACCACTGCACTCCAGCCTGGGCCACAGAGCGAGACTCTGTCTCAAATAAAAATAAAAATAAAAATAAAATATATATATATATAGCTTCATATATCTGGAATGAGCACTGAGCCATAAAAGGTTTTCAGCAAGTTGTAATTTATTTTGGCCTAAAAATGAGTTTTTTTTGTAAAGGAAAAATGTTTGTTCTTATGTATTGAAGAAGTGTACTTTTATATAATGATTTTTTAAATGCCCAAAGGACTAGTTTGAAAGCTTCTTTTAAAAAGAACTCCTCTAATATGACTTTATGTGAGGAGGGATAATACCTGGTCAAATCAACTCAGTTTTTTATGGTTACTGTAAAAAGACTGTGTAAGGCAGCTCAGCACCATGCTTCTCGTAAAAGCAGCTTAAATTATCCACTGGGATTATCTTTTGGCAGCCTGCCGTTTTCTTATGTTACACAATTCAATAGCAAGTAAGTTTGAGACAATCGCAGTTTAAAAGCATGAACCATTTAACAAAAAGTGGAATAATTAAAGATAAAGCACTTCTTCCCAAAGGGAATTATCACCTAGTGAAAAATTAGGCGTTTCATCCACTGCAAGTCTCTCTTCACTCTAGCTCTCAAGCTTTGGGTGAATGTTCCTGCAAAATATATCTTCAACTTGAAAGTTCATATAAAAAAACTCCTTTTACTGAGTTTGCAGTACTGTATTTGCACTGTTTGTATTCCTCTGGGCCCTTATTGCTACTTTTGATTTCCTTTGTTACACAGATTTTGTGTTGCACTTTTTCTCCAGAGGGGTGTTGTAGAGCCTTGGTTGTATGAATAATAGCAGTGGTAGTGTCCACAGCTCAAATCCAAGCCCGTTTGGCATCACTCCTCTCCTCTCTCTGAGAGGCTTTCTTGTGCACAGAGTATGAAGCAGTTGTGGAGCACTGTGCCTTTGTCAAGATACCATCTTGTTTGATGACGTCTTTCTTTGCTGTTTTTTCTTCAAAATGTTAGTAAGCTCTGTCATGCTTCTAGCAAATTGTAAGACGAATTACTTATTTCCACCTCATAACCTGTTGCAATAAATATTACTTCTCATACAGTTTAATATTGTTGTTTGTTGGAGAAAATGAACCATAAACATTGATTTGCTGTTCAGTTTTCAATTATTCAAGTATACACAAATATGCAATTATGTTTATAAAATAAGAAATAGACTTGTAAAATGCTCATGTGAAGTTTATTGAAGGTTTCCCTGAAGACTGACTGGAAATGGTAGCTTTTTTTTTTCTATTTCTCACTGTGCCATGAATTTTTCTTTCCTTTTTTTTTTTTTTTTTTGAAAGACAAGATCTCACTCTGTTGCGTAGGCTGGAGTGCAGTGGTGCAATCACAGCTCACTGCACCTTCAAACGCTAGGGCTCAAGCAATCCTCTCACCTCAGCTTTCCAAGTAGCTGGGACCACAGGTGTGTGTCATCACGCCTGATTAATTAAAAAAATGTTTTGGGAGGCCGAGGTGGGCGGATCACGAGGTCCAGGAGATGGAGACTATCCTGATTAACACAGTGAAACCCCGTCTCTACTAAAAATACAAAAAAATTAGCTGGGCGTGGTGGTGAGTGCCTGTAGTTCCAGCTACTTGGGGGGCTGAGGCAAGAGAATGGCGTGAACCCGGGAGGCGTAGCTTGCAGCGAGCCAAAATCGCGCCACTGTACTCCAGCCTGGGTGACAGAGTGAGACTCCATCTCAAAAAAAAAAAAAAAAAAAAGAAACCAAGAAGTTGTTTTTTGTAGAGACGGGGGTCTCACTATACTGTTCTGGGTGAACTCCTGGTCTCAACACATCCACCTACCTCAACTTCACAAAGTGCTAGGATGACAGGCATGAGCCACCACGCCCAGCCCTGAATTTGTTTTTTAGTTGTGAGCAAATCACTTAATTTTCTGTTTCCTCATTTTAAAAAAAGAGATAATGTGGTTGGGCGTTGGGGCTCACGCCTATACTGTAATCCCAGCACTTTGGGAGGCCAAGGCAGGCAGATCATGAGATCAGGAGTTTGAGACCAGCCTGGCCAACATACTGAAACCCAGTCTCTGCTAAAAATACAACAAATTAGGCAGGCATGGTGGTGCACGCCTGTAATCCCAGCTACTCGGGAGGCTGAGGCAGGGAGAATTGCTTGAACCTGGAAGGCGGAGGTTGCAGTGAGCCAAGATTGCGCCACTGCACTCCAGCCTGGGCAACAAAGCAAGACTCTGTCTAAAAAATTAATAATAAAAGAGATAATATTAGTATCCACTCTTAGAAATATTGTGAGTTAGAAAGGACAGCATCTTTGTTAATCATCTACAAATGCATGTGATTCTCTTACTAAAGTTCTCAAGCTGTCACATAGGTTCAGTGGTCATTGAATCTGAGTGTCTTTTGTGTGTGGACCAGTATTATCAGAGTATTCCATTTTATTGCTCTAAGATCCTTGTATTTCTTGTGCTGTTGCCACTGAGGAAAAACCCAGAGGCTGTATTTTTCCATTATATATATGTGTGTATATACACAAGACATTGACTTGCATCAACATAATGAAATTGGAAGACTGAAAGATTGATGATATCAAGCCATATAATTGGCCCCTTGAGCAAGAGCCCCCAGAGGGTTTGACACGTGTGCATTGAACTCATGATGTCTACATTTTTCCCTGGTGGAAGGGTTTTCAGTAACAACATTAACTCAGGAGCCTTTGTTTTCATTGTTCTTTTTTATGGAGTCCTTTTTACAGTGTCTCACTCTTGCCCAGGCTGGAACGCTATGGCGTGATTATAGCTCACTACTGCCTTGAACTCCTTGGCTCAAGCAGTCCTTCCCTCAGCCTACTGAGTAGGTAGGACTATAGGTGTGCATCACCACACTCAGCTCTCCTTTTTAGATTTAATTGCACCTTTCCCAAGTTGTTTGTAGAACACTGGTGCCCCTGAAGGTGTACCTGAGAAAAGGTGTGTGTGTCAGAGAAGCTTGGGAAACCCTGGGCTGAACTAGGTCTAAACATGTTTTTTCTTTACTTCTTGATTTTTTTTTTTCCAGAGGGAGCTTTGCTCTTGTTCCCCAGGCTGGAGTGCAGTGGTACGATCTCGGCTCACTGCAGCCTCTGTCTCCTGGGTTCAAGTGATTCTTGTGCCTCAGCCTCCCAAGTAGCTGGGGTTACAGGTGTGCACCATTATACCCAGCTAATTTTTGTATTTTTAGTAGACACATGGTTTTACCATGTTGGTCTCAAATTTCTGACCTCAGGTGATCCACCCGCCTCGGCCTCCCAAAGTGCTGGGATTACAGGAGTGAGCCACTGCACCCCACCTTCTTGCTTAGTTTTTTTTTTAGAGAGCCATCTTGGCTGTATTGCCCAGGCTGGCCTTGAACTCCTGAGCTCAAGTGATCCTCCTGCCTCAGCCTCCTGAATAGCTGGGACTAGAGGTGCAAACCACCACACTAGGCCCCAAAACACCTTTTTAAAATTCTGTAAAGTTCTTTCCTTAGAGTTTTTTTGAAGTGTGCATTGTATGTCTTTAGGAAGAAGGTGTCAATTATATGGTGTTTTCTATTATTGAGACTTGGAAATTTATCTCCTGGAACATGTTGAAAAATGTAATTTGGGGCCAGGCCTGTACTCCCAGTACTTTGGGAGGCCGAGGCGGGCAGATTACTTGAGGTCAGGAATTCGAGATCAGCCTGGCCAACATGGTGAAACCCGTCTCTACTAAAAATACAGAAAATTAGCTAAGTGTGGTGGCACATGCCTGTAATCCCAGCTACTCGGAAGGCTGAGGCAGGAGAATTGCTTGAACCCAGGAGGCAGAGGCTGCAGTGAGCTGAGATCACACCACTGCACTCCAGTGTGGGCAACAGAGCAAGACTCTGTTTCAAAAAAAAAAAAAAGCAAAAAAGAAAAATGTAATTTGGAGAAACTGCTGCTATGGTGGCTTTAGAAAAGAACACAGGGAATTAACAAAGGAGAGGAAAATGTTTAGGTGTGGGCATGGCTGACTTTGGGAAAAGCCTGTGGCCAGCTTGATTATGTGGAATAAAAATGGTGGGAGGAGGGCACAGTAGGAAGAATTCTTCCAGTTGCGTTGTTACTAGACGATTCTGGTTTGGGCGCTGGGATTCTTGGAGGCCTATGGATTTAAGTTTAGGTTGGTTTACTTCTCCCTTATTCCCTTATTCTGGCACTGCCACTTATTAGCTATGTGACTGCAAGACTGTTTCCCTGTCTGTAAGTATGAGAATTAATCTGAGGAAATGCTTAACATAGTTCTGGAAATAGTAAGTGATCCACACAAGTAGGCTATTTTTTTCTTTTTTTGAGACGGAGCCTCACTCTGTCATCCAGGCTGGAGTGCAGTGGCCCACTGCAACCTTAGCCTCCTGGGTTCAAGCCATTCTCGTGCCTCGGCCTCCCAAGTAACTGGGATTATAGGCACGTGCCACCATGCCCAGCTAATTGTTTTTGTATTTTTAGTAGAGATGGGTGTTTGCCATGTTGGCCAGGCTGGTCTCGAACTTCTGACCTCAAGAGATCTGCCAGCCTCAGCCTCCCAAAGTGCAGGGAATTACAGGTACCGTGCCTGGCATTTCTTATGACTTGAAGGGATGTTTCCTTTCTCATCTGATGACTTTTTAGCTTTTTGCCACAAGGTAGCATGCCATGCTAAGAAAAACAAAGACTTCCAAGTTTAGAGCCTGCCAGAGGTTTTTTTTGTAGCACTTTTATCACAGCTTAAGTAATTTTACGTAGGGTTTTGGATAACAGTAAATGCCTCTTCAATTCTTTTAGCTGCGGCAAATAGGATATTTTAAATTTGTTTGAGTAAGTATGGCAGGACAGGCTGCCTAGACCCTCATGGATTATGCCAGTGTAGAGAGCGCTGGGGTCTTTGATTTGGGGAGCATGTTGACCTCTTCCCCACCCCAGAGGTTTAGACATAAAACCAGAGAGCTCTCCAAAAAGGATGTAAATTGTGCTCTTTTCCAGCAGCAGTTTCTGGGGTTTTTTTTGTTTGTTTTGTTTTTTGGGTTTTTTTTTTGAGACTGGGTCTCAGACTCTGTCACCCTCCGCCTCCCAGGCTCAAGCAATCCTCCCACCTCAGCCTTCCAAGTAGCTCAGACTACAGGTTCATGCCACTACATCCTGGCTAATTGTTAATGTTTTGTAAAGATGGGGTTTCACCATGTTACCCAGGCTGGTCTCGAACTCCTGGGCTCAAAGGATCTGCCTACCTCAGCCTCCTAAAGTGCTGGGATTACAGGTATGAGCCACTGCACCCAGCCAGCAGTTTATTTTCTTTTCTTTCTTTTCTTTTCTTTTTCTTTTCTTTCTCTTTCTTTTCTTTCTCTTTCTTTTCTTTCTTTTCTTCCTTTTCTTTCTTTTCTTTCCTTCCTTTTCTTTCTTTTCTTTCTTTCTTTCGAGATGGAGTCTCACTATTTTACCCAGGCTGGAGTGCAGTGGCTTTCACAGGCATGATCGTTGCACACTTCGACCTGGAACTGCTGAGCTCAAGTGACCCTCCAGCCTCAGCCTCCCAAGTAGCTGGGACTATAGTACAGGTCTGTACTCCAACAGTTTCTACTTCTGGTGCCAAAATCATGATTCAGTATGATCAATGTACTTCTCTCCCACCATGGAAGTTGGGAGTTTAGAAATTAACTTTTTTTTTTTTTTTTTTTCGAGACAGGGTCTGGCTCTGTCACTCAGGCTGGAGTGCAGTGGTGTGAGCTCGGCTCACTGCAACCTCTGTCTGCTAGGCTCAGGAGATCCTCTCACCTCAGCCTCCTAAGTAGCTTAGACTACAGACGCATGCCTCCACGCCTGGCTAATTGTATTTTCTGTAGAGACAGGGTTTCACCACGTTGCCCAGATTGGTCTGGAGCTCCTGAGCTCAAGCGATCTGTTCACCTCAACCTCCCAAAGTGCTAGGATTACAGGCATGAGCCACCGCACCCAGCCTGAGATTAACTTTTTATGCTGAAATTACATCAGACTTACCAGGAGAGTAACAAAAATAGCACAAAGAGGCCAGGCATGGTGGCTCACGCCTATAATCCCAGTGCTTTGGGA